TTCTTTGAAAACCTTTTGCTTCTCACCCAGGAACTGACGAACTGAATTGGAGGAGAAGTGAAAACGTTTTCAAGGGAAACAAAAACAAAAAAACAAAAACCCCAAGAAAGTCCACTTGCCTTTTGGAAAAGCATCTTTGGGAGAAACCGTGATCTGGATGATTGAGAATCTCCAAAGACATCTCACCAAATATTGAGAATCTCCAAAGACTTCTCACCAAATATGGAGAAAGGCTGGATTTTGCATCCATCGATTTTTTTTTCTCCCCTTTTGAGGGTTTGGAGTAAGTAGCTTCTTCTATTTCCTTCTTATCCTTCCTTGTGGAGTGGAGGAGGAGAACTGCAGGATCCTTGGTGCTCGCTGAGCTTGGTGGTTTTTTGCAGACTTTTCATGACCCAACTAGGTAACATTATCAGTGCTAGAAAGAAGTGGAGTGTGGGGGAGAGGAGGAGGAGGAGGACTATGGGGCCCTTGGTGCTCTCTGAGCTTGGTTGTTTTCTTGGAGACATTTCGTTACCCAATTACATCATCTGTGCTAAAGATGAACGGGATTTGCATGTACTGTACAAGCCCATTCCCTTCTAGCACTGATAATGTTATCTGGATGGGTCATGAAACATCTTCAAGAAAACCAAGCTCAGAGAGCACCAAGGACCCCACAGTCCTCCTCCTCCTCCTCCTCCTCCTCCTCCTCCTCCTCCTCCTCCTCCTCCTCCTCCTCCTCCTCCTCCTCCTCCTCCTCCTCCCCTTTTCCACAATGCCCCTTCCCTTCTAGCACTGATGATGTTCCCTAGTTGGGTCATGAAACGTCTGCAAGAAAACCACCCAGCTCAGAGAGCACCGAGAAGCCCACAGTTCAACCCTGAGCTACGAATATTCTCTTTATCCGTTACCTAAGTCTTTTTCCTGTTGCTATTTCGAACTCATTCTGGAGGACACGAGTCTTGCAAGCTAGAAAAGGTGGAACTGAGCCAGATAATTCTCGTCTCTAGGCCTTTCATACCTCAGTACAAGTCATAAAGCATTGCAAATGTCTTAAGAATGTAGCTGGCTCCATCATCGGATTTTATGAGAAAGGTGCCTCAACTTACACAGGCTGGAGATGGGCACAGCGGGAGAGAGCAGCAAAGGCAGAAGAAGACCTGGGATTTTCTGCTCTTGTACAGACAACTGATCCCCAGATTTATATTGTTAAGCAAGACATTTGTTAAGTGAGTTTGGGCCCATTTTCTCACCCCCGTTCTTAAGTGAACCACTGCAGTCGTTAACTCAGTCACACGGTTGTTAAGTGAATCTGTCTTCGCTTGTCAGATGGTTGCAAAAGGGGATCACATCACCCCGGGGACACTGCAGCGGTCATAAACGCGAGTCCGTTGCCAAGCGTCCGAATTTTGATCGCGTGATGATGGGGAGGCTTCAACGATTGCGAGTGCGAAAAACGGTCAGATGTTCACTTTGTAAGTTTGCACGATCACGAAGTGAGCGGGTGGAAGTCAAGGACTGCCTGCCTGAGATCCCATTTCCTGTGAGAGTCAGACATGCTTTCTGAAACCACAACGAGGAAGCTTGCAAATGAAAAAAAGAAAAGAAAAGAAAAAAAACGCCGCAAGTGAACAGAGACTATCGGGAAAGGACACCAGTGGTTTCCTTCTCCACCTTCTTTATCAGGAAGGATCAGACACGAGTTTTGTTGTCGTTTTTCTCCTCCTTCTCCACCCTCTTATCCGACTATCTGGAAGAGTCAGACACAAATGGTTCTCTTCTCCGCCCCCTTGTCCGGCGACTCACAACACCTTTGTGTGAACTCACTGAAGCGACAGGAGTCCTGGGTGCCAAGTTTCAAAAAGAATCCCCGTCGGCAGGATGACGTGGCATAAAGCACCCTGTCTGACGAAGCTTGTCTTTCGGGGGAAAAAAAAATGTCTTTGTGTGTGTGTGTGTGTGTGTGTCTGTGTGTGTGTGCACCATGCTGCAGAGTTCCCCAAGCCAACATTCCTTTCGTGCCAGGCTCAGGGTGCCTGTGAGAATCAGCCAGATGGACACATCTGGATGGTTGGCCCGTGTCAATCAAGGGCAGAAATAAAAACCGTCCCGGAATTCCACCCACGCAAACCTCCCAACCAGGTGGAGTCCAAAGGTGCTGGTTGCTCACACGCAAGCTTTCCCGCAGACGTTGCGTTACTCCACTAGGTAACGTTCTCAGTGTTAGTGAGTGTGGGGTTTGCTTCCTGTTTAGGGGATCGGAGTGTGGTTTTCTCCTTTGTCGTTCTTTGATGGGGATGTTGATTTCCGCTTGGTGGTTTGTCTGGTGCAAATCCCCGTTTATCTGTTACAGATAATTCTCGGCTTACAACACTTCATTTAGTGGCCGTTTGAAGCTATAAAGGCACTGAAAAAAGCAACTTAGGAGCTTTTTCCACACTTGTGACTGCTGCAGCATCCCCCGGGTCCCGGGATTTACATTCGGATACTTGACAACTGACTCACATTTACGATGGTCGCAGTGTGTCCCCGGGGGGGTTACGTGATCCCCTTTTGTGACCCTCTGACAAGCAAAGTCAAGGGGGGGAGCCCAATCCACTTAACAACCAGGTTGCCAACGTATCACACGCCGTGATTCACTTAACAACGATGGCAGGAAAGGTGGTAAAATGGGGCAAAACTCATTTAACAAATGTCTCACTTAACGATATAAATGTTGGGCTCGGCTGCGGTTGTAAGTGGTACATAATCAGCAAGCAAATCGTACCTTCGCTGACACTGGTGATTTTGCCTGGTTGAATAGGGAAATGTCTGCAAGGACAGCCAAGCTCAGAGAGCAATTAAGGACCCCACAGTCCTCACTCCTCTTCCTCCTCCTCTCTGCAAATCCCTTCTAGCACTGATTATGTTATCCAGTCGGGTGAAGAAACATCTGTAAGAAAACCACCAAGCTCAGAGAGCACCAAGGACCCCACACTGACTAGAGATGCAGCACCCTTTTAACAGAGCAGAACAGAAGGCAGGACAAGAAGCAACGGATGGAAACTGATCAAGGAGAGAAGCAACCTAGAACTAAGGAGAAACTTCATAACAGTGAGGACAATTAACCAGTGGAACAACCTGCCTCCAGAAGTTGTGAATGCTCCAACACTGGAAGTTTTTAAGAAGAAACTGGACAGCCATTTGTCCGAAATGGTATAGGGTTTCCTGCCTGAGCAGGGGTTGGACTAGACGACCTCCAAGGTCCCTTCCAACTTTATCATCATCATCATCATTATTATTATTAGAACTCCCCATTTATCCTCCCTCTTCTAGGGCTTTGTGTAATCAAGCACACTCAAAGATCATTAGCTTTTCTGGTTGATTCTCTTTCCTTGGCCAAATTCAACAAAGTCCTGTAAAACAGGTCCTCAGCAATGCCCTTTGAAGATTCCCTGTCTGTCTGTCTGTCTACCTAGCTACTATCTATCTATCTATCTATCTATCTATCTATCTATCTATCTATCTATCTATCTATCTATCTATCTATCTCTATCTGTCCAAGCACTTTATAGAAAAAATACATTCTTGCAAGTGCGGGTGGCTAACCAGTAGGCACACCCCGAAACAGATTTCAAAAAGCATTTTATTCCCTCGGCCCAAAGCGCAAGTCCTTCTCACGTCATCCCATTTGACGAGCACCACACCATTCACAATCTTTCCGGTATGCCCAGTTCTCCTCTTTTCGGAATTTCCCTACCTTTACAGTCCTCCCTTCCTTTGAAATTACCTTTGCCCTTTAAGCTGGTTTTTTTTTTTTTATTAGCAAATATGTGCAAGTTTCCTTAACGCACAGTGCCTGCTTTCTTGGAACTTACTGTAGAGGCATAAGCATGAATTGAAACAAGCAGTTAATTTCCAGATTATGTGCAGGCTCTTGTGGTTAACACTGCCAAGTAGCCTGACTTCGGAGCTGCAAAACAACATCTAGCTATTATTATTACTTTTCTTTATCTATCTATCTATCTATCTATCTATCTATCTATCTATCTATCTATCTATCTATCTATCTATCTATCCATCCAAATACAAATATAAATATAAATATAAATAAAAGGCAGAATAAAAATAGAATTATAGTAATAAATTTCTCCATTCTCCTATCATCTCTCTCTCTCTCCATCCGTCTATCTACCTACCTACCTACCTACCTACCTACCTACCTACCTACCTACCTACCTACCTACCTATATCTATCTATCTATCTATCTATCTATCTATCTATCTATCTATCTATCTATCTATCTATTTCAATCATCAGTCTACTTACCCAGCTAACTATCCATTCGATCATCTATAAGCTATCTGTGTCTGTCTATTGGTCTATCTTTCATCTATCCATCGGTCATCTATCAATTCATCCCTTCTACCTCTCTGGCTGAAGTAGCTTCCCCATGCCTTCTCCAGGAGTCAGCCGCCAAGTTGGCATCAAAACATTTCCACCGCGCTCCTAAACTTGAAATAAAGGCTGAACTCTCCAGAGTGTGCTACTGTTTACAGATCAACAAACTCTCCAGAGCTTTGTATAGGATTTCTTCTTTCTCCCCCAAGCCAGATCAGAGATGAATTGAACCTTCCTTCCTTCCTTTCCTTCCTTCCTTCCTTCCTTCCTTCCTTCCTTCCTTCCTTCCTTCCTTCCTTCCTTCCTTCCTCTTTTTTTTTTCATCCACAGCCCGGAAAGCAATGGCCTTTCGGGGCCTCAAAAATTGTGTGAGCCCTCTCCCTGAAATTTCTCTATTGCACACATTCCTCTAAGATGCTCACCTGGACGGCTTGGAAACTCAGCAAGCAAACATTTCGGTGGAGAAAGTGTTACAACCTGACGTGCTTTGCTGGGGGAAAAAAAATGGTAAACAAAACCTGTGAGCAGGATGTGCTCCAGTGTTGTGTGTGTGTGTGTGTGTGTATAGGAGGGGTGTTGCCTAAGAGGACCTCTGAGGCTAGGAAGGGAGGGAGGGAGGGGAAACACGAGGAGTTGACCCAGCGGCATTAATCTCCGTCCACAAGCAAGCTTGGCACCGGAATCGGCCAGTGTGTAACCTCACAACGGAGAGCTGCTCCCCATTTCCTGGTGCTATTCTGCCCCGGTTCCTGAGAAGACCTACTTTCTGCTCTCTGGAGGTAAGTGAGGACAACTCTCCTTCTCTTCCCTTTGGGGGGCAATGTGGTACAGGGGGGGGAGAGCTTGTCTTTCTTCTCCTTCTGTTTCTTCTGGTTTTTCGTTTCTTTTAGATATTTTAGTACCTAAAGGAGAAGGCACATTATTATTATTATTTCTTCTTCTTCTTCTTCTTCTTCTTCTTCTTCTTCTTCTTCTTCTTCTTCTTCTTCTTCTTCTTCTTCTTCTTCTTCTTCTTCTTCTTCTCTTCTTCTTCTTCTTCTTCTTCTTCTTCTTCTTCTTCTTCTTCTTCTTCTTCTTCTTCTTCTCCTCCTCCTCCTCCTCCTCCTCCTCCTCTCCTTCTTCTTCTTCTGCTTTTGCTTCTTCTGCTTCTGCTTCTTCTGCTCCTCCTCCACCACCTCCTCCTCCTCCTACTTGCCCATCTCAGCCAAGGACTCTAGGTGGCTTACAGTTTAAAAAAAAATAACCAGGTTTTTAGGGCCTTATGAAAGTCTAACAGTGTTGGGGTCATTCCAATCTCCAAAGGGAAAATGTGTCATACACCAGAGTCCACTACAGGATCCTCTTTGGTTGACGGGATCTGCAGCAGATCTGTTTGGACCACCCTTAGAATATTGTATCCAATTTTGGTCACCACAATATATATATATAAAAGGTTGAGACTCTGGAAAGAGTGCAGAGAAGAGCAACACAGATAATCAGGGGACTGGAGGCTGAAATACGAAAAATGGTTGCAGGAATTGTGAATGACTACTCTTATGAAGAGAAGGACCAGGAGTGACATCATAACAGTCTTCTAATATCTCAGGGGTTGCCCCAAAGAAAAGGGGGTCAAGCAGTTCCCCAAAGCAGCTGAAGGCAGGACAAGAAGCAACGGATGGCAACTGATCAAGGAGAGAAGCAACCTGGAACTAAGGAGAAATTTCCTGACAGTGAGAACAATTAATCAGTGGAAGGGCTTCCCTCCAGAAGCTGTGGATGCTCCAACACTGGAGGTTTTTAAGAAGAGATTGGACAACCGTCTGAAATAGTATAGGGCTTCCTGCCTGAGCAGGGGGTTGGACTAGATGACCTCCAAGGTCCCTTTCAACACTGTTATTCTGTCATCCTGAAATGGGTAGAAACTCTTTGAGTTGTCAGCTGACACAACATTTGTTTTGGTACAGATATTACGGAATAAACTGAAGATGGAAACTGTTTTGCTGCGGGCTGAACTGACTGGATTGTATATTATACATTAGAAATTATATATTAAAAATTAACTAAGATGATGAGAAAGTTCTATTCACCCTTAGCCTTTCCCCTTTCTGTTTAAACAAACAACCTTCACTTGAAAGCATAAGTAGATCAGATAAAAGGTGTGGGGGAGATCCCTTACGCTTGTTTCTTCCAGCCTTATGACTAGATTCACTTGGATCGGTTAGCAGTTTTGCTAATCTTGTGGTCCGGGACCTGGCGAAGATCCTGTGGCCCCCTCAGCTGAATTCATCTCCCATCCGAGATCATTCTTCGAATATCTCCTATCCTTTAGGAATGCCAGCTGCCTGGGCAAAAGGTTAATTATTAAATGCTGAGAAAATAAACAGGAGCAAATCAGAGAAATAATGAGGGCTGAGCAGATAAGGAGAGCTAAAAATTAAGTGCCCGTTTTGCCATTTTGCGTATTACCATTTTGCAGCTGTCCACTGTGGGAAGCTTGTTAAAACTGGAGGGAAATAAGCATTAAAATGCTGAAACTATTCCTATGGACAGGAGATACAACTTTTTATTATATATATTCGGGTTGAAACATTAACTTTGCGGCTCCCAAGGATTGGAAGGCAGATAACTGTTGAAACGTCGTTTGCTATCACCATTGTCCAAATATGCTTATCAACCGACTCGTATACGATCCCCTTTTGCAAACTTCTGACTTTCTGGCAAATCCATCTGCTCCCTAAAAAGCATCGTTCCTTAATAATATTATTCCTAACCTCAATACCTCCGGCCTTTAGAAGCCGCTTTGCAAGAAGCAGTGTGGCGTAGGGTTAATTTAGCTTCTCAAGGGAGTAGGACAGCATTAAAAAAAAAAATGCTTTCCAAGGGTGTCATTAAGTAATTTTCAGCTTTGGGTTTAATGGGCTTAACTGCCCACAAAGTTTCTAGATCTCTTTGTGTCCGCCATTGTACCCACTTCCTTCCTGGATTTCTTTTGAAATCCTTTTGTTCCAGCTGAAACAAAAGAGAGCGGTGTGTAGCTAAGCTTGTGAAAGCTACACTGATAATCATCTTTTGATGTATTTGGGGGGGGGGAAAGAAACCAAAGCAACCTCAAGTGGCACTTAAGGTATTCTGGTTTGATACCATGAGATGCTGCCCCACTGCAGATATGGACTTTCCAGAGGGGTTTAGGACAAAAAAATCATAGCGTTGGAAGGGACCTTGGAGGTCTTCTAGTCCAACCCCTTGCTCAAGCAGGAGACCTTATATCATTCTGGACAAATTCATGTCCAATCTTTTTTTTTTTTTTTTAAACCTCCAGTGATGGACAAGAGTAAAAAAAAAAAAAATGAAATTAGCAACAATCCCCCTGTTCTTATATGTGTCACAAAGAGCCAATTTGACATAGCCGTGGAGGGCATTACATTAGAAACCAAGAGGCGAGTTCTGATTCTGCCTTGGACACAAAAGCCAGCTGGAATTTGCGTGAGATGGGAGTGGCTGACATCAGTTGGCAAGGGGGCCCCCTTGCCCATCTTTTTACAGCTCTTTGGAATGTGGTAATTCTGTTGGCACAAGGTTGGTTTCTTGGCTGAAGTCCAGCAGCTCAATCAACTCATTTGATTGTCCCTGTTTCTATATATAGATGTAGACGCACACTGTCTAAACAAGAATGTTCACTAGATGAGATCAAATGGGAAGCTAATGTCCTTGGTGACTTTTTCTGATTCTTTTATTTTCTTTTTGTCCAACAGGATGCAAACCATATGGGTTAAATATTGGTTGCCAGAAGCTACATTTAGTTACTAGTCAGCCTAACATCTCAACATCTGTAAACTTTATTTCTCCTTCTCCTTCTCCTTCTTCTTCCTCCTCCTCCTCCTCCTCCTCCTCCTCCTCCTCCTCCTCCTCCTCCTCCTCCTCCTCCTCCTCTTCTCCTCCTCCTCCTCCTCCTCCTCTTTTATATTCCTAAATTTATATTCTGAAACAGTGTCAGATCTTCCTTCCTTCCTTCCTTCCTTCCTTCCTTCCTTCCTTCCTTCCTTCCTTCCTTCCTTCCTTTTGGGCCCATCTTTACCAGCTTCAAACAGGGCTCAGCAGAAGAGGGAAAAGGTTCAATTCACTCCAGAGCAGTCTGTATTTTTGCAACCAGACTGGAAATGTTCTAATTCCCAGGCTTATCAGATGAGGTTTTCCTCAGCTCCCAAACCTCAAAAGCAGAACATAAAACTGAAAAATACATATATTTCCTTGAAGCAACGATGGCTACACTCTGCCTCGTTGTGCAGGGTTTTCCCTCCTGCAGTTTGCAGCCCCATTCAGACTCCCCCCCCCCCAAGCAAATTAACACAGGTGCCAAGAGCAGGAGGTTAATCCTTCCTTGGGCTAAGCTCCCTTGTCATCCCAGCTTGAGTTGTTCTCTGAAGCTGGGAAGAAAGGAAGAAGGCTGCCGACAGCCTTCCGCAACTTGATGGCCTACAATGATTTTGGTTGGGCAGCCTTGCAGGTGGTCAAAAGGGGCATCTCTACCTGGCGTGCCTAGGACAAAGGAAATACGTGGCTAGAAGGAAGCCACAGTCACCCTAATTGATTTGGAATGCAAATGCAATTGAATTCAAGACTCAGAAGGGATCTGTCGTCTTCTCCCTTCTTGGATTTGAGCTGGAGAACCTGGTGGCACAGAACTGTTTCTCATGAAGTAGGATGCCCAAACGCCAGGATCTCAGAAAGGGTAGGGAGGAGGAGGAGGAGGAGGAGGAGGAGGAGGAGGAGATTATATGGATTTCCAGAAGAGGTTCTCCAGGATCCACACCCCACTAACCTGGCCCATCACCGGTTTATATTTCCAAAATCAGAAGGAACCTGAATTGAGTTTCTTTAGAGTTATCGTTGTGACTCTTTGAGTTGGGAACTCCCAACGCATTCCTGATTTGTTTTTGGTTTTTTTTTTTGTCCTCTCAGAAATGGGCTCCAAATGGAACAAATGGTATCTCCATGGAGGTCTGACTCTTTTGGGTATCTTTTCTCTGATTGCTCTGATCCTCAGCTTGGTGAAAATCCACAACATCACACAACCTTCTGAGAACAAGGTGAGTGCGCAAAGCGCTTGGGAGTCCACGTGGCACGATGGTTAAAGGAGCGAATCAGGGTTGGAAAGACTGACTCCAATTCAATTTGAGGAGTGGAAGATTGGGGTCTTCAAGATGCCTTCAAGTCCAAGACAAGAAAAACCAGAATATCTATTTGAACTATCTTATCTATTTGAATGTGGTGGTTGATCTCTGGAACACTGCCTTCGCAATTTAGACAGCTGTCTAAATTGTTTCATTTCAAACCACTTTTTAAAATGCTGGAATTGCATTTTAAAAAAAAAAAACTTTTCTGCGGATATAGGCTCCTACTTTCACTAAAGTTAACAAAATATAGTTCCTTTTCATTTAAATTTACTAATGAATACACTGAAGACCATAAACATTTTCTTATAATTGTTGAACAAAAATTGCTTTTCCATAACAATGTTATAGCTTTATTTTCTCCTTACAAAGTATATTGCACAGTACAACTTAGGCCTGTCTGTAGTAATAGCTGGACCGAATTTCCAACTTCAGAAAAAAAAAAAAACTTAGCTTGGGATGTTATTTGCAGAGAACGTGGTAAGAGGTTCTCCGATCTGACTATTTTATTTCTGAATGACTCTTTTCCAGTATGGCTTGGTGTTTGATGCTGGTTCATCGCACACGTCCCTCTTTGTATACCAGTGGCCGGAAGAGAAGGAAAACAATACGGGCATGGTTAGCCAGATGTTCTCCTGCAATGTCAAAGGTCAGCTTTTTTTTTTCATTATTCTGAGATGTATTATGGTGTCTGTGGAAGGTGAGATGGAGTATTCAATAGCAAAGAATATACATTACCAAACTAGGTGATGTAGCACTGAAGATGCTACATTCCTAGTTGGGTAATGAAATGTCTGCAAGAAAACAACCAAACTCTTAGAGCATCAAGGATGACCTCCTCCTCCTCCTCCTCCTTCTCTTCCTCCTCCTTCTCCTCCTCCTTTTCTCACCTTGTTTTTGGTCGTCACAGGACCTGGAATCTCAAGCTACACCAGTAACCCTCCACAGGCTGGTGGTTCTCTGCGGGAATGTCTGAATGCAGCAATCAGAGTTATCCCTCCAGAAAGACAGCAAGAGTCACCAGTTTACTTGGGAGCTACAGCAGGCATGCGACTGCTCAGGTACAAAAAGTCAGGCAGCAAATCAATTCAATAATAAATAAAGGGTGCAAACATGGTGCTAAAGTCAGGTTTGTTTAATCGTTGTTTATTAATGCAAACAGAACTGGCTTTGCACCATAACAAGCGCCGTAGCACTGAACACTCTGGTCTCAAGGGTAGCTGTCAGCCAAGGATTTCTATGTTTCTCGTCCTCGTGAAGGCAAAAACTCACACCTTTCTGTGTGAACGATTCTGCAGGACACAGAACAAGTCAGCCGCAGCGCAGATTTTGGAGGCGGTCTCACAAACGATCCAGAAATATCCTGTGAATTTCCAAGGTGCTCGAATTATCAGCGGGAAAGAAGAAGGGGCCTTTGGCTGGATCACCATCAACTATCTGCTGAACTCCTTCACACAGGTAGGGATGGGCTCGGGGTAATTGAAGGTAAACTAAAGTATCCAAGGAGAGATCCAGCCTAGAACTAAAGAGAAGCTTCCTGACAGTGAGAACAATTAATCAGTGGAACAGCTTGCCTTCAGAAGTGGTGGGTGCTCCATCACTGGAGGTTTTTGAGAAGAGACTGGACAGCCACTTGTCTGAAATGGTATAGGGTCTCCTGCTTGAGCAGGGGGTTGGACTAGATGACTTCCAAGGTCCCTTCCAAATATTCTATTCTATTCTCCAGTACTCGGCAAAAGACCGAGACTGGATCCGTCCTCCCTCAGCCAATATCTTGGGAGCCCTGGACCTCGGAGGAGCCTCCACCCAGATCAGCTTCATCCCGGCTGGCCCAATCGCAGATCCATCCGAAGCCCTGCAGTTCCGCCTCTACGGCTTCGACTACACCATCTATAGCCACAGCTACCTCTGCTACGGCCAAAACGAAGCCTTCCAGCGGGTGATCCGGTTGATCCTTGTAAGTGAGCCCGATGGTGACTTGGAAGCCACCGGGAAGGGTGGGGAGATAAAGAAAAGCACCCCACTTTTCAGGTTTCCTGGAAAAGTGTGAAGACCCAGCTGTGCCAAGTAGTCTGGGGTGTGTGTGTGGATATCTAAAATGCAATTCTAGGGATGGCTGGTGGCTCAGGGGCTAATCCTTGTTGGCTTTTTTTAGTCTTCTGAAGTTTTGAACTATGATTGCCATTTTTTTTTTTTTAACTTGCAAATGTTCACCTTGTTCCGAATTCTGTTCGGAACTGGCTTTTATGTGTTTACTTTACTTTTATGTGTTTACTTTTTTGCTGTCCAATACCCAGTCAACTTAGGTGTAAAAATTTAATAAATCCATAAAATAAGGGACATATTTGATGGGCCAACCGCTCCCTGTTTTGACCACAGGGAGATGGGGTGGTTGAGAGAATAACTCTAGGACTGAGGCATTTCATTTGACTTGCTGCCTTCTTGGTTTTTTTTCTGGCTGTTTTTTTTAGAAAGGGGGCTTCCCTGGAGACCCCCAACCCCATTTTTTTCGAACTAATATTGGCCTAATTCTGTGTAGGAGAAGGAATGGCAGAACCCGGGGTGGAGTCAAAAGAGGGATCAGCCTAGAATCCCCACATAGGCACCAGCGAGCTGAATCCAATCTCTCTCGTGAACTCCGTTGACCCTTCTCTAACTCTGATTGTGAGTTAAGCTAAAGTGAAATCAGTAAAATCCTCCTGGAATTAAGGATTTCATTAGTTAAATCCTGCTAGCATTGAGGAGAAATTTCCTGACAGTGAGAACAATTAACCAGCGGAAGAGCTTGCCTCCGGAAATTGTGGGTGCTCCATTTGTGGAGGTTTTTAAGAAGTGAACAGCCACTTGTCTGGCATGGTATAGGATCTCCTGCTTGAGCAGGGGGTTGGACTAGAAGACCTCCAAGGTCCCTTCCAGCTCTGTTGTTCTGTAAGTCTGTGCTCGAGCATTTAGCAACAGATCAGCTTAACTGGTCCTTCCGCTGTGGATCTGGTCCTTCGTGCCTGACAATTGGCGTGTGTGTCGCTTTCAGGATGGACCCGTCAGCGTTGAGGTGGGTCATCCCTGCTACCCAAAAGGCTACGAAGAAATAGTACAGAGGGCATCTCTCTCTAGAAACCCCTGTACCAAGCCTCTGCCCCCAACCGCATCTTCGGGGAACGTAACTCTAGTGGGCAAAGGGAACGTCACGCTTTGCCGGGAAAAGCTCAAAGCGATTTTCAACTTCACCGGCTGTCGAGACCCGTCGTCCTGCGGCTTTGAGGGGACCTACCAGCCGAGAGTCAACGGGAAGTTTCTGGTAAGAGGTCTTGCTAACCAATTCCCGAATTCCTGGATCAGGGAATTGGGTTTAGGGGCGTGCTCTGAGATTTGGGAACAGCCCTTTACTTGAGCCCAAGATTTCTGCTGCAAAATGAGACCCTTTGTTAAGTCAGTGTTACAACCATTTTGCAAACTCTCTTGTCCCCGGTGCTCAGTGAATCTCTGCAGTTGTGAAGTTAGTCATGCAGTTTGTAAAGTGAAGAGGCTTTGTTGTCCGAAGGCCACACAAAGGGGATCACGTGACCCGGGGGGACACTGCGGCTGCCATAAATACGAGCCAAATTGCCAAGCGTTCCGAATTTTGATCGCCTGATCATGAGGATTGCTGCAAGTGTGAAAAGTGTGAAAAATGGTCATAAGTCACCTTTTTCAGTGCAGCTGTAGCTTCAGACGGTCACTAAATGAACTGTCACTAAGTCAAGGACTACCTCTAGTTTGGAGCATCCGTTCCATAAATTAGAGGCAGGAATTATATCTCTCCGATTTGGAGTCTGGAAGTAGGAAATCTTTAAATTCTTGCTCCAGCCCATTACTAATCTCTAAGCTTTGGGGCTTGCCAAAGAAATAGGCTATTTGAGACAGCCTCGGCTTGTACCAGTCTCTTAAAAAAAAAAGGGGTGGGGAGGGAACAAAAGAGAATTGGGGTTCTTGGTCTAGCTATGTTCCTGCTTGGCTCTCGTGACTGCTTAGCTAATTCAGGTGAGATCTCCACCCTGTTGCAGATATGGTGAGGAATTTCCATTGGGACGTTTATGTATTGTTTTAAAATCTTCCAGGCCTTTTCTGCATATTACTACACTTTCCGCTTTTTGAACCTGACAGTCACTAGTCCATTGGCCACTGTAGAGAAAGCCATACAGATTTTCTGTGCCAGAACATGGAAAGATGTAAGTATTTTATCTCTCTGTGTGTCCATCTACCTACCTACCTATCTACCTACCTACTCATCTATCAATCTATCTATCTATCTATCTATCTATCTATCTATCTATCTATCTATCTATCTATCTATCTATCTATCTATCTATCTATCTATCGTATCATCTGTCTTATCTATCTTAGATCTATCTCTATTCAAATCCATCCATCCACTTAATCTGTCTGTTTGTCACCTGTCTATCTAGTCAATTTACCCATCCATCCATCCACTCAACTTGTCTGTCTGTCCATCTTTCCCTCTCTCTCTCGTATGTATGTATATGTGAGTGTATGTGTATGTATGTATATTCCTTCCTTCCTTCCTTCCTTCCTTCCTTCCTTCCTTCCTTCCTTCCTTCCTTCCTTTCCTTCCTTCCCTTCCTTCCTTCCTTCCTTCCTTCCTTCCTTCCTTTCCTTCCTTCTTTCCTTTCCTTCCTTCCCTTCCTTCCTTCCTTCCTTCCTTCCTTCCTTCCTTCCTTCCTTCCTTCCTTCCTTCCTTCCTTCTGATTATTCAGACTTTTGAGGCTGATGATACGCCAAAGCCATCCTGCCCATTTCCATTAAGATTCCCTTTCTCCCAGCTGAGCACCAGTTACCCTCGCGAGAAGCCCTTCCACCTGAAGAATTACTGTGCCAGTGCCAACTACATCCTGACCCTTTTATTGGACGGTTATGGCTTCCAAAACGACACCTGGCAGAACATCGCCTTCCAAATGCAGGTGAGACGGCCTCAGGGGGCAGGGACCCCGTGAATTTGTTTCCGTTCATGGTGTAACCTGCCAAAGTCTCTGTGTTGGTCTTCACCGTTGTGCCCATTTCTCCAGTCGGGACACCCACCTGTTCATTGATCAAAATATCTCACCTGGGCAGTTTTACCATCATTAAAATCCCATAAGAAACATTAAAACATGAAACGGCAACCGTTTAATTCAGTCTAAAATTGACCAAGGTGGGGAGGAAGGGAACAAGGTGCATCCAGGGAAGAGGTGAGGTCTTCTTCTCATTCTCCTCTCACCTATTCTCAAGGTTTCTCCCCCCACACACACTCTCTCTTTCCCCACAGGCCGCCAATTCGGACATCGGTTGGGCCTTGGGCTACATGCTGAACCTCACCAACAGGATCCCGGCTGAAGCCCCTCAACAGCTGAAAGGTCACGAAGAAGCTATTTGGATTGCAAGCATCTTCTTCATCGTGGCCACCCTGGCCCTCTGCCTCCTCGTCCTCATTTTGCATTCTCTGCTGTGAGGGACACCCCGAGAGGACTTTTGTCCCCACCACCCTCATCCCTTGCTTGGGAGATGTTCTGGGTCTTCTCCAACCAAGGCATGAAGCTCTAAGGCCACACACGCGTCCTACCTCATCCGTCTCTGCCCGTTTCGGTACGAGGCAGAGATGGTCTCCTTCCATGGAGGGCACCAACCCAACCCCTGACCCGTCCACCTCTCTTCAGCCTTGGGACGTAGGCTGCTTGTTTTTGGTTTCTTATTTATTAAATCTGTCAGCCACCGACCCATGGCGGGTTGAGGTGACATCTTCAAGTTTCCGTAGGGTGAGACCTCCCTCAACAGAAAACAAGTTCAACGAGAAGAAAACAGTTCTTAGGATGCCGTTTAAGAAAGGAACCTCTGACTAGCAATGACAGCATTCACTTGCTAAAGAATGTAATTTTCAGGAAAACAATTAAGTTTCAGATAGAGAAAGGAACGGGAGGTTTTGCTGGTGTAGCACAAATTAGGAACCACAGACCACCCTGGAGGTTTTGAAGAAGAGATTGGACATCCATTTGTCTGGAATGGTGTAGGATCTCCTGCTTGAGCAGGGGGGGGGTTGGACTAGAGGACCTCCAAGGTCCCGTCCAACACTATTATTCTGTGTCTGTTTTGAATCACGGACCCCACCATCATCATCATCTCCTCTTCCTCCCCCTTCTAGTACTGATGATGCTACCTATTTGGGTAACGAAACGTCTGCAAGAAAACAAACAAGCTCAGAAAGCACCAAGGACCCCCTCAGAAAACCCACTCCTCCAACGTTTGTCTCTCAACAGCAGGGAAACTGAGGCTCGGTGTCAGCAATTGAGACCTTTTTTATTCCTCTAAAGTCGGGTGGCTCCAGGGTACTCAGCCTCCGCGAACAGTTTGGGGAAAATCCCTGTCCTTCCGTTGCATCGGCCTTCTAGCCATTCCGCGTTCACTGTGGAAACACAGAAGATTCAGGGTGAGGAGTGGGAGGGGGAAAATCCCTTGAGAAAGAAAACCAGCCTGGATCCCTCTCTTCTAGGATGGATCGGTTTAATCCAGGGTGACAAAATCTGCTTAATTTGCACGCATTTTAATCTTGTACAGGGGAGACCTCGACTTACAACGGTACATTTAGTAAGTACACGCCTGTGGCCAGCCACCCGAATTTTGATCGTGGGACCAAGGGGAGGCTGTCAGGGTAGTAAGCCTGAGGACTTTTTTGCAAATCGCTTTTCCAGGGCGGTTGTGACTTCAGAGGTTTGCTAAATGAATCGTTGTGAGTCAAGGACGACAACCGTAGCATTCCCAAGCTATGGAAACAGGACACTGAACGCCCTCAGCAAACGCCCCTGTTAGGACTTGTGTCCTGTCTCCTACCTTCGGACAGGACCTCCAGCATGTCCCCATCTTTAAAATTCAGGTCTTCCGGGGCGTCAGAGATGTAAGAACATTTTCCCACCATGCGGTAAAGGACGGCTTGATCCGCTCGTTCTTCTTCACCCTTGAACGTGCAAGTGGAATGGTTAAAGGAAGAAACTGGCAAAGGCTATTTTGCTTCTGCTTTTCTCGAAAGAGCTCCCCACCTGTAGAAAACCAGCATGTCAGATAGATAGATAGATAGATAGATAGATAGATAGATAGATAGATCATGGATCAATAAAGATAGACTAGATAGATAGATAGATGAGATAGATAGATAGATAGATAGATAGATAGATAGATAGATAGATAGATAGATAGATAGATAGATAGATAGACAGAGACAGAGAGATCATGGATCAATAAAGATAGACTAGATAGATGAGATAGATAGATAGATAGATAGATAGATAGATAGATAGATAGATAGATAGATAGATGAGATAGATAGATAGATAGATAGATAGAAAGATAGATAGATAGATAGACAGAGAGAGACAGAGACAGACAGAGAGATCATGGATCAATAAAGATAGACTAGATAGATGAGATAGATGACAGAGATAGATAGATAGACAGATAGATAGATAGATAGACAGACAGACAGACAGACAGACAGACAGACAGACAGACAGATAGATAGATAGATAGATAGATAGATTATACAGATAGATGTATGCTGTGTTGCAGTGTCCCAGGCTCATGTGATCAACGTTGGCGACTTTCTGACAAGCAAAGTTCATGGGGGGAAGCCGTACTTATTTAACAACTGGGTTATCCACTGCAGTCCTTCACTGATCAACTGTGGCAAAAAGGTCGTAAAATGGGGGCAAAATTCACTGAACAATTGTTTCACTTAGCAACATAAATTTTGGGCTCCATTGTGGCCGTATGTCAAGGGCTATCTGTGTGTTGGGGGGGGGAACCAAACTTTGCTTGAGAAGGAGAGAATTTTACCTCTTGAAGACACTCCAATCTTTTGGAATCGGTTTCATTTCCTTCTCTGTCTCCTGCAAAAAAAAAAAAAAAAGGGAGGGGGTCCTATTTTCATTTCTTCTCTTTGAGAGAGAGAGAGAGAGAGAAAAACCAAACCAGCAATTTTGCTGGCAAATAAATAAAAGCAGCACGGGGAGAAAGAAGGGTGGTTGGGGGCGGGGGACAGAAACTGCCTCTAATCTTTGGCGGAATTTAAACGTATTCCTAAAGGGCTAAGCTGGGAAGGAAATGTTCCTTTGAGGTTGAAATAAACGCCAGCTCTCTAAATCATACTCATTGTTCTTTCCACAATGTTTGTATGTCCATTGTGGTTAGAATTGACTGTTTTAATCTCCTTCCCATTGTGGCTTCTCATATTTCCCAGCAAAGTTTGAGATACCTTATAGATATTGGTTGTAACTAACAACCTTGTTTCCTCACAATTGCTTCATTGTGGCTGCTTATATTTTCCGGACCCATCCATCCATTTATCCGTCTATCTATCTATCTATCTATCTATCTATCTATCTATCTATCTATCTATCTGTCTACAGTATCTCTCTCTGACTGTCTGACTCTCTATCAATCATCCATCCGTCTATCTATCTATCTATCTATCTATCTATCTATCTATCTATCTATCTATCTATCTATCTATCACTTTATCTTCCATTTGCTTCATTGTAGCTTTTGATATTTCCAGCGAAGAAAACCTGTTGAAATGAACTAGATCTCATTTCCTATTAGGAAGCCATGGAGAGGAACCTGTGGTTTCACCCACCCATTGCAATTCCAGCCTGGAAATTGCAATTCAAAGAAGCCCTTCCAATGGGTTTGCACCTGTCAATTCCGATAATGGTTTTTATTTCGTGATGCTCAGATTTTTGCCTTTAGAGGCATGCTAGAACAAGCAACAGAGGAAGATAGATTTTTTTAATAATAATAATAACTCAGTAGCTGTGGACTCCACTGGGGTTTTGTTTTTGGGGTTTTTTTGCCCGCCAAAAAACCTCAGTTCGGTGCTAATATGATAGAGGCTTTAGGATACATTAATCAAGAAGATTGATGTTCGTGCAAACACTGGAAATATTAACTCCCCTTGAAAATTAACTCCCAAGGAAGCTGGTTTTAGCTTAAAATAATCCTGGGGTTATTTGGGATTAAGCAATGCCCCGTGAGTAGAACCAAGGGGCAGATGAAACCCCCTCCTCATTTTCAAAAGAAAAGTCAAGTCCTAGAGTGGTTCTGTAAAAACAAGGCTTCTCAAGGCACTTGATTGTCATCCAACTCTATGATCATGACAGGAGATTTGGAAAGGAAGACTGATGGATAACACACATACACACACACAGGGGCATCCACTAGACTAGACAATCCACTGGTGGTCATCTTGGGCCTGACCTGGTCTCCAGATCTTTTGGTTCTCGTGAAGAAGACTGGGTGGTGTCATTTCCGGTGGAGCTTCTGGGTTTCCTTGGAAGATCTTCTGCAAAAAGAGAGATGCATTTTCGTTTGCCGAATGCCTTCCCGAAAGATGTGAGGTCCTTGCAGCTTTAAGCTTCTGCGGAAGCCAAGAGGACCCCGATCAGCTAAAATATAGGCAAAACAGGAGATGGGGAGGAACAATTCATCCTAGAGACATTATTCATCCTCTTGAAGTCCCACTAGAGGGCACAAAAACACATCGCTAAGGTAGAAGGCTGTATCTAAAAAGGGTTGGTATGACAAAGGATCTCGATCTGAGCTTCTGAAAGGCCAGCTTTTGAAGGAAAACTTTAGGAAAAGGGACCAAATGGAGATCTACGGTTGTAGGGTCCTCGTGGCTCTCTAAGCTTGGTGGTTTTCTTGCAGACGTTTCATTACCCAGCTAGATAACACCTTCAGTGCTGGAAGAGAGTGGAGTTTGTAGAGAGGAGGAGGAGGAGGAGGAGGAAAAGGGGAAGAAGAGGACCGCAAAGTCCTTGGTGCTCTCAGAGCTTGGTGGCTTTCTTGCAGATTTTGCATTACACAACCCGGTAACACCATCAGTGCTAGGAAGGTGTGGGGTTTGTTCTCTGTTTACATGCAAGGGGTTGTGAAAATAAACTAGGTTAATGTTCACTAGACTCTTACGTTGGGCAGTGCCATCCCAGCCCATTTGCTTCATCTAACAATCCATTCTGCAAGCCCAGAAAACAAGTATTTTTTATTTGTATTTAATTTTATTTATATGCCGCCCAATCCTAAAGTCAAATCAAATAGCCAGATCACCATTGTATGCAGCCGCTGCCAAAAAGAGAAGCAACACACCAATAAACGTAGTTTGTATAGTGAAATACTAGCTCTTAAGACAATCAAAATATTTTTTTTTTTTATAATCACGGAATGTCAGACGTACCTGGGATTGGCCGAGATAGTCCTTCTCTTTCAACCCATCAGCCTGCAAGGGAGGGCTAAAAAGTTTTCCCGGTGGGACGCTCTGGGGTTCCAGCAAGAGACGATCCTGACACGAGACAGAGGCAAAGTCTCAGCTCAAAATGGGAGAAGAACGGAGTTAAGTTTTTAAGATGGCATAAAATCTCAAGTTTTATTGCCGGGGGTGAGGAGGGATTGAAATCGCACACACACACACACACACACACACACACACCCCATTGAAACAAGATTGGCTCACCTCCACTTGCTTTAAAGCAGCCACGGCTTCTCTCTTGGGCATTTGCGTGGCTGCTTCTTCCAGAGTGTCTCGCGCTTCAGGCCATCTTCCAAGCCGGCAGTGGGTGGCTGCCGTATTGTGCAAAACCTGTAGCCATACAGAAATGAGTCACAAGCTCCGGGGGGTCACACAGAATTCTTTGGCAGAGAGAAGGTGAAAATTAGATCGGCTTGTTGTTGTTTTTTCCCTCTCCCAGCCACAGGCAACAAATCTCAAAAAGCTGTTCAGGTTTAAAAAAAAAAAAACTGGGATGGGGACTCCCAAGAGAACTTGAACAAAAGTTGTAAACCGTTTGCGGCGGAGCAAATAAATTGCAAAGATTTTCATCTGCAGCAGAGCCGAACGGTGATTATAAAGAATAAAAAGGCTTTTAAAAAAAGGGCGCCTTTTTACGTTTATGATACAGATGTCGGTACTGGGCTGGCCCAATTCTCTTAGTCATTTCAAGAGTTTGGCGGCATAATTCCTTGCTACCTATCCAGAGGTCACTTGACTGGGGAAAGTATTCTAAGGTTTAGTAAAATACGATCTACGATGATGTACAAGTAATCCTCCACTTTGCAACTGACACCAGAATTTCTATTGCTAAATGAGGCAGTTGTTAAATGAGGCTGGCCCTGATTTTACGACCTTCTTTGCCACGTTAAGCAAATCTCTGCAGTGGGTCAATGAACCAGGAGGTCTTTAAGCAAATCCAACTTGCCCCGTTGATTTTGCATGGTGGAAACCAACTGGGAAGATCCCAAAATGGGGATCACGTGACCCTGGGATGCTGCAAGCATCCGACACCCATGCTGTTGCCAAGCAACTGGATTTTGATCATGTGACCCTGGGGAGGCTGCAAGTGCAAGAATTGGGTCTTGTAATTTCAAACAGTTGTTAAATGATGGGTTGAAAGTCAAGGATTACCTGTAATATATTACAAATTCCTTTATCCAATGAAAACTGAGAAAATATCTCTTTTTTTTTCTTTCTCATTTGGATGCCATTGAGACCCATGTTGGAAAGGATGCTGCTAAGAAAGATGGGAGAACACCCCCCCCCCATCATTTTGCTCCAACGTCCCTCAGTTGTTTCACATCCCTCACCTCCGAGGCACGTAGCACAAAGGCCAAACCGAGCGGTTTGTAATTGATGCAGGAATTATTCCGGAGACAGCGCAGAGCCAGCTTCCCATCTCTCAAAGCTTCCTCATACCTGGATATCAGAAGAGAGGAGAGAAAGACGAAAAAGGGAAGGAAAAAAAATTATTAAGGTAGGGAACAAAGTTGCGTTGATGATTTAGAGAGAGCGCGTTATCGGTAAACGTTGCGCTTTGTACATTGTCCCGCGGTTGTTGGTTTCCACAGCTTACAATCAAAACATTTAGATGACAGAAGCGATGGAATTTATTTATTAATTAAATGTACAGGTTGCCCCTCACCCTAAGTATACTATACTCTAAGACGTAGTAGTCTGTTGGTGGTTTTCTTCTTGATGTATAGCTCGTGTTGATTGTGCTGTATTGAACTGAGCGGTCAAGCACTTTTTGGAAAATTTGTGTGGATATTCCTTTTGTTCAATTTTTATAGTAATTTATTCTTATTACGTACGTGTTTCTGTATTGTTTTATTCTTTTTAGCGCTGTAAGCCCCCCAGAATCACTTAACAACCATGACAAAATCAGGTCTTACTAGAACTAATTGTGGTTTGTTCCATCAAACCTAGGTTTAGCATGCTGTATGAATGCAACAGGGGAGGGTGACACCTGCTTACCTGCCCAGCTGCAGATGAACGTAACCCCTTTGGAAGAAGCCCACAGCTAAGCAATTGTCTTTGGAAAGTGTTTGATCAAAAGCCTAAAAGGAAAAAAAAAACAGAATAGCTAGTCAACACAATGAAAAAAAACCAGGTCGTTTTTCTGTTGCTTTTAATCGTCTTTCGTCTTGGAGAAAAGAAATAGAAAGCAGCAAAGAAAACCCCAAAACTGTTCCAGTGTCATTTCTGCACCTCAGGATGCTTACGGGCTAAGGAACAGGACTCATCATAAAGAGTTGACTTATTCTAAAGACTTATTATTCTAAAAAATAAGAGGGGTACATCAAGATCGTGAGAAGTGATCACACTTGATAGCATCAAGATTACAATATTTACACTGCTCTAATGAAACCCACTTGGAATACCGCATCCAGTTCTGGTCACCACAATACGGAAAAGATGTTGTGTGACTCTAGAAAGAGTAGAGAGAAGAGCAACAGAGATGATTAGGAGACTGGAGGCTAAACCTTATGATGAACCATTAAGGGAACTAGATATATCTAGTCTGATGGAGAGAAAGTGTAGGTGGGACATGATGACTATCTGGAGAGGTTGTCACAAAGAATTACGGATTGACTTATTATCTAACCCACCAGAGGGCAGGACCAGAAGCGATGGGTAAAAGCTCGTTAAAGAGAGATCCAATCTTAGAAATAAGGAGACATTTTCTGACAATGGGAACAATTAATCAATGCCTCTGGGGTTGTGGCTTCTCCATCACTATTTTAAAAGTAGACTGGACCACCCTTTGATCGGGATGGTATATAGAGTCTCTTGCCTTGAGTAAAGGGGCTGGACTAGAAATCCTTCCAGGTCCCTTCCAGCCGTATAATTCTATTTTTTTCATGTGAGCTGACGTTCATTGCATTGGAAAGCCGTGAATCAGAGGCTTCTGAAATGTCTGAAACTGAGAGAAAAAAATGCCTTGGGGTTAACTTGAGGGAGATTGTTTAGATTGCGTTTCTGGGAAGGACTCCATCAACTCTTTCAAAACTAGGGCACGGCTGGATGCCAAATCTTTCTGCGTGGGGACCCATCGGCACACAGGGATGCTGAACTTAGCAAGAAGTCATTTCAACGGAGTTTGAGAAACCCTTTGCTGCCTGGTGTCTTTTGTCGGCTGGAAAGCGGGGCGCTTCTGAGCATGGACAAAGTGCCTTTAGGAGAAGGGACTCCAGCTGAGCGGGAGAGTGTTTATTTTTCACGCTGTCTCTCTTTCTACATTCCTACACTAGGTTTATATCTGAACCAAACAGAGATGCTGTTTTCGTTAGGAATTCTACCAGTTATTGCAACACAGCCATTTTTCTCTGCACTGCAATTCAGAATAAAAAATAAGTTGAAAAACTGCTTGGGGAGGGAGAAGCAATCTAAAATTGATAGAAAAGAAATGTCTTTATTAGCCTAAGCAAAAGTTTACAAAATCAGGGGTGTTTTTTTTAGTCTCCACCAACAATTCAGCAATCAAGGGAGCTTAAACATCCCAGAACACAAGCAGAAGAGAAAAAGATATTAGCGCTGCCTAAATCATAGGCGACACAGATTGTCTTCCTGGAGTGTAAATCATAACTGAAGCCTTGCAAAATCAAACTGTTGAGCAAGTCACAATTAAATGGATCACTCATCACCGCAAACCATCATCCAGGGGTCACGAACTAGACCAGCTCAAGCCAAGCAAATGACATTGAGGCTTAATGTGATTCATGAACTAAGTTGTTTGGATTTTATTCAAGCAAGCACTGCCAGAGAAATAATGGAATACCTAAATGTTAACTTTTTTTGGTTCCTTTGAGAATGCAACCCTCAGATCAAGCCTAAATAGAATTTGGTAATTTGGAATATACCCTGTGTTGGGAGTAACCACTGCATTTTATTAACCAGAGTTTGGGGTTTAGCCTAGGACGGTGCCAGCACTGTAGATATTTGGAATTAAACTTTCTTTTTCTTTTTTTCAAAAAAAAAAGTGCAAAGTCCATTAACTTTGTGCTAAGGAAAAGGGACTTTGTTTGTGCTTTTAAAATTAGATTTTAAAAGGAGAGAGGGCAAATAATGTTTCCTTGATATGAAGAACTTGACTTGAAGGACCACAGTGGTAACTCTTTCTTTTCTCGCCTTGTGATTTTTCGGTGAAGACCTTTTCCTTCTTCATGATACGATAACTTGAATTTCTAAAAGGAAAAGGAATTTCCAACACTGGAGGTTTTTAAGAAGATTCTGGACAACCCTTTGTCTGAAATGGTGTAGGGTTTCCTGCCTGAGCAGGGGGCTGGACTAAAAGTCCCTTCCAACTCATCATCATCATCATCATCATTATTATTATTATTATCGGAAATGTTGTGATCGTAAATCAAGGACTGCCTATAGGGCTCTAAGAATGAAGTTGGGTCAGATCCTACAATGGTTGAGAAGGTTGCTTCTCTTACCTTCAAGGCCTGATCCAGGTTTCCTAGCTGGAGATGCAGACAGCCAATGTTGAAGTCTATTTTGGAAGGAGGGTTCTTTATGCCCTGAAAGATGTCCAAGGCGGTGGTAAGATTGCCTTTCTCAAGGGCTAGGACACCTTGGTTCCAGTCTATTATAAGCTCTTGATAAGACATCAGTCTTGGATTCTAAGAGCCGTTGATCTTCACAACAGTCTTGCTTTAGGTCGCCGGAGAGTTGATTCCAGTCTTTGTTCTGCTGGATTTGGCTTTTAGAATGAAGCAAACCAGGAAGCTGCATATCTTTTTTTGCTCAACTGCAAGAAAGTGCAGTGGGAGAGGAGGCGGGTCCTCCAAGATAATCTACCAAGGATTACTGAGGGTTGCTATGATCTAGATAGGCACTAGGTGGCACCAGAGGGACACAGAAATGTCGCCATCTAGTGACCGTCTTGAGGCTTTGCGGCCAATTCAACTGGACTTAGGTTCTTATAAAGTTCAAGAAGCCCCAGTCCCAGCTAGTTATTTTTATTTCTATCTCGCCTTTATTATTATTATTATTTTACAAATAACTCAAAGCACTGAACATATTCAAACACACCTTCCTCATCCTGTTCCTTCCGCAATAACCACCCTGTGAGGTGGGCTGGATTGGGAAAGCGGGGCAGATCCAAAGTCACCCAGCTGGCCTTCAAAGCTAAGTTTGGACTTGAACTCATGGTCTCCTCTGTTTTCAGAGTAGGTCCATCTAGGTGTGCACAGAGGCCAAATCTCTTAAATTTAACCGATTCCACACATTACAATTGGCAAATCCATTGGAAAGTCAGTTCAATTTGCCCCGTCACGCCCCAAATCTCATTCTAGAACTCAGGAAAAATGGATATATTGGTAAGCAATCCCCAAGAATTGACTCCATCTCTGTCGTAGCTGAAGGAACTGCGTGCAAAAATGGAAACAGATAGAAGGAACAGGCAGGGTGAGAAAAACCAACAGACTTTATTGGTCATTTGTCAACGTATAAAAATTCTCATCAGAATAAAGAACAGCTTCTTCTAAGCAACAGTGTGATTACGGAGGAATTCCTGGTTAAATTCATATATTATACTATGTACACATCTGAATGCCATTTCTAAATACAAAATGTACAGAGCTAAAGAGTCAAATTACATAAAAACGGTGGGTTAGCAAAAATAGAATAGAAAAGGAAGGAAAAAAATGTGTGGTTTCCCCCCCCCCCAGGGAATCCTATGTGCTTTGCGACAAAGTGGTTATATATCCACAGTTTTCAAACTTCAAGTAACGTGGAAAGACAATCTCCCACCCTCAGAAGGAAGAGAAATTAGTCAAAGGTGAGGGGGACATAATTATTGCTTTTAATTATTATTTTTTTAGACATTTTGATCGATTGATTGTTGCTAAGAGAGGCACAGAAAGGTTTTTAGAAATGGCCATCTATTTTATTTTTTTAAAAAAATAGCCCCGGTTTGATCCTGCATCTTTTGTATTTTTTAAAAAAAAAATACAAAATATCTTTCATATGTTTTTTTTTTAAAAAATGCAAAATATCTTTGGTATTTTTTTTAAAAAAATACAAAAGTTCCATGCAGAAAAACCTGTAAGTGGAACTCTCTCTGGCATTCAACTGGTCTTGAAAACAGAGGAACAAAGAGTTAGCAAATATTGATCTATTTTGCTCCGAAACCATGCTGGGGAATGTTTGCTAACTGCCAAGGAAATGTTGAAAAGCCAGGGGTTTTTTTGGAGTTACGGGAGCATGGCTTATTGAAGCAAAAAGGCAAGGTAACCAAAAAGTTGGGGGGAGAGGGGAGACTCTAACCCCACCAGTTCTCCATAGGATAGTGGTTGGAATGATCTTTAGACCAGGTATACATAATTGACAATTAAGGCACTAAAGTCAAAAACCAAGCAGAGGTAATAACATTCCCTTAAATATCAGGTGTACACCAAGTCTCCTTCCAGATGTTCTTCTCAACTACAATCCCCAGCAGGCCTGGCTGGAGCAACAACAGTGAAGAATCCTGGGACTTTTTCTGCAGCAGCATTTGGAGGACCACAAGCCCTCCCTTTCTGCTGAAACCAACTCTGATGACCAATGTATGAATTTGGACAGATGGGTTGAGGGTTCCTTCAGGCAGAGCTCGTTAGGGGAACCCAACAATTGTGTCCTAGGGACCCAGGTTCCATGGAGAGTTGGAACCTACCAATGATTGGTATCTGGTGAGCCCATCTTAAGTTCTCAACCAGCTTGGCCTTCGTGCGAGACATTCCCTTTCTCGATTCTATGAATTCCAGTTATCCCCAAATTCCCGGCTCCCTGAATAGATCATACAATGTGACTTGCCACCAACAACACTCTTACAAAGGAGAAGCTATATCTGTAAATGCCCCTGTTTCTGTCTCTTCCAATCATGGAGATGTATCCCCAGCCAAATACAGCTGTCCTTCCTTGGTCAACACAATTGATGCAATGGAAATGTTCCTTTTATTGTGTAGGGAAGAAGTTGCTAAATTACTCTTTCACTGATTATATGCCAGTCTAGGACACCAGCAGGCCATGTCTACCATTTGGGGTGGTCTTCAGGGAAATGGGGTGCATGTGACCTATAAGAAGAGGCAGTTGGGGCTACCGAAGAGAGAAGATCAAGTCTTCTTCTCCAGTATCAAGTTCCTCAAACTAATTTGCATCCCTGTGGTATTAAGGCAGAAGATAAAAGTCTTCTGTATTATCGAGTTCCCCAAACTAATTTGCATTTCCTTGATATTAATTAAAAAAGAGAGCAAGAACTGAACTATTTGAATAGGGCCTGGCACTTCAGTAAAGCCTTTAAGTCAAGGGTGCTACTGGTTTACAGAGACGTCCAGGTAGTTCGTGTCAATTCAATGTACGCCAGGTGGTTTCCCACTCACGTTTGCATTTTCCACCTCAGCCAGGGTGAAGAGGGTTGACGATTAAACTGTTTAAAGAGTTCTTTTTCTCTTCCCTGAGCTGAAAATCGTAATTCTGGAAGACAACGTTTACCGAAAGGTCTCCAGCAAAGATCTTTTTTTTTTTTCCTTCTTCTTCTTCCTCCTCCTCAAAAAAATCAGTCCGGTTGCCTTTTCCAAAATAACTTTTCATTCGTCTCCACCAAAGAATTCTCCACATTTCCCCCCCCCCCAAATGCCAATTCCTGGATTGGCCTGGGAAAATGGGAGTTATTTACCAAATTGATTTGCTCTAGCTTTGCTCCATTATTGTTTTGTGTAATTAACAATGACCTTAAGCACCACACACAAAAAAATAAACCAAGCTGTAACAACAACAACTTGCTACGCATTAATTTGAAACCATGGGCTGGTTAAAAAGTGGACAGTTTGCAGGATAGACCCTACTGCCAAATTGTGCCAATTGATCTTTTTTTTTCTACAAATGTGGATCCTTTTGAGGGGACACAGAGGGAAACATTCAGGGCATTTGAGTGCCAACTCTGCCTTCTCCAAGATCTTTCTTAAGATCCCACCCATCACAAAACTCCAAATTTTCAAGCTTAAATCCTCGTGGGCTAGAAACCTAGTTGGCTAATTTTCAAACTTAAAAATGAAAGCAGCAGATGTTTAAGAGGTTTAAAATAAAGAAGGAATGGAAGGCTGGATGGAAATGAAATTGAGATGTACTAAGGTGGGCTATGACCTGTTTGGTGTCTTGACACATTTCAAATTTCAGCGTGATCTAAATCTCAGACCCTTTGGGCTACAACAGATCCATTTTATCTTGACATTAACCACACTGGTGGCTAATCATTCCTCTACAATCATGCCAGCCCCCTAAAGTAAATCCTTTCCATTTGTTGCTATCTATCTATCTAGAAGGACTTCTTATCAACTTTGACGTTTGTTTTCATTTTGTTCTTCATAAAAGTAGTAAATCCAGTGTGGGAAACTTCACACGTCTCTCCTTTGGGTGAATCGGCAGTCACAAGGATCCATCGGCTCCCCAAGGATAGTAGAAAGGATAGTAGCTGGTGGCTCAACAGAAAACAGGGCCTGTCCCACAGGATGCACCGAACGTGGTTTTCAGGAAAGGTGGACAGATGTCCCAAGAAACTGACTCTTCCATAGAGACGGAACATTATTTGTCTTCCATTTTGGAGAGAGTGAATTCTGCTGATAGCTAGAAAAGAGGGACAAAGCACAGGCAAAAGATCCTCTCCATATTTCAAGGAAAGGAGACAAAACTATTCCGTGAGATGTTAGCTTCTCAGCCCTCTGGAACTCGGAATCATGGCTGAGAAAAGCAGCAGCTTCCAAGATGGCCCCAAGGAGAGGATGTTGCAAAGCATGGATTCCTCTCGCCAAGGTGATGTAGTCACCTCAACTTTGGGCCATGCTTCTTCTCAGGATGGCCCCCAGCCTCGTGAGAAAGAGGACCCATCAGGCCACCTCTTGAAGAAATCTCAAGAAGGACACCTTCAGCGGTTACTTTGGAGGTTCGTCTGACTCCACCTGGACTTGTCCACAGGAAAGAGGGAGTCAAACAGACCCTTGAGAACCTTTAGCCCAACTTCAGTGGTCTTTCGACAGCCTCATGACCTCATATCGTTCCGATACTTCCGTCCATTTGTTCAATGAGAAACAGATGGGTTGCTTCAAAGGTGGGGCGGTCTTTGATATCCCGGCTCCAGCATTTCATCATCAATGAAAAGACAGGATTTGAACACAGAGGCGGCTGGGACAAGTAAGCCTGAAGACCAGAAAAGCAGAAGAATGTCACAGAGGGGTTTTTGGAGTCATTTGACATCCTTCCCCCCCCCATAGAATAATAGGGTTGGAAGGGACCCTGAAGATCTTCTAGTCCAACCGCCTGCCTGAGCAGGAGAATCTATACTATCCTGGACAAATAGCCGTCCAATCTATTCTTGCAGGAATGGAGCACCCACAAATTCCAGAGATAAGCGATTCCACTGATTAATTATTCCCACTGCCTATTTTTAATTTATTTCAGAAAGGCCGTTCACAGCCACTTAGATGGGCCTCAAAAGCTAGGGAATCTAATGCTAGTGATCATGCTTAGGGTTATGTCCCTTCCCCCCCCCAATAAGATCTTCAACCAATCTTCAACAATCCCATGGGACGAGGCTGTACAGAACATGCCTTAACTGACCAGTTAAAAAATAGCAATAGCACTAGAGTGTTTTACAGCACTCTCGAAGTCACTTTTGAAAAGATGGAAGGTTGAATCGATCTGGGTTGAACTCCAAGCGGTGGGCAGAGTTAGCCAGCAGTACCACATTCTAACCACGTGGCGCCACCACCATGGCTCAAAAAAAAAAAAAAAAAAAAAAAAACCAACCCTTGGAAATGGCTATGAGAACCAGAGGCTGCTGGTCTGGTTAGAAGGTGAGAGAACATAGCAGTCAGCTTTGGTCAACTCTCTGTCTTTTCCAACAAGCTAGGAAGACCCAACATAATTAACTGATTTGGGGTATTCTACCTGTCGGCCTTGATCTCGGAAGAATTCCCCCGTGTTCTCAATGACCTGTTCGTCAGAAAGCCAGCTGTAGGGCTGCTCTTTGCACAAGGTGAACATCTCCCACAATGTCACACCAAAGGCCCACACGTCACTGGCGGTGGTGAACTTGCCCTAAAGAAGAAGAAGAAAAAAACAGTGGCAAGTGACCCGTTCAGGATCATGTCCATTCCCATTTGAGGAGCTACTAAGTCCTTTCTCAATTTTCACCAACCTGAATATCCTCCAGGCCTCTCATTCAATGGGATTCTTGCTAAGAATTCTAAGAATTGATGTTCATACATGCAGAAAACCTGAGGTTGGGACTGTTTGCCCTGGAGATCATGTCACGGGGGGGGGGGGGAGGAAATAAAGTCTGTTCTGCTGCCTGCTGACTTTTCATCAGTTGGATATTAATTAGCCCATTTAATGCAAATGCCAGACTGATTGAATAATAATAGCAATTCACCTTTTCTTGAAAATATCCTGGAAATTTTCATTCAAGAAAGGTGGGCTATTGATCTTCTAAGGACGTTTCTGGGCTTGCTCAGTTAGAAAGGAGTAGAAGAGGAGATGATGATGATGAAGGAGAAAGGAAGGATGAGGAGATGGGATGGTGACAGTTGTTGATGATGATAATGGAAGAGGAGGAGGAGGAGGAGGAGGAAGAAAAGAAAGGAGAGAAAGAGGAGAAGGAGATGGAGACAGGATGATGATGTTTGAGGGAGATGATGGAGAAGGAAAAGCAAGAAGGAGAAGGAGAAGAATGACAAAGAAGGAGGAGGAGGAGAAGAAGAAGGAGAAGGAGAAGGAGAAGGAGAAGAAGAAGAAGAAGAAGAAGAAGAAGAAGAAGAAGAAGAAGAAGAAGAAGAAGAAGAAGAAGAAGAAGAAGAAGAAGGATGAGGGATAGAGATAGGGTGATGGTGATTGATGGAGATGATTGAGAAGAAAAGTGAGAAGAAAGATGAGGAGAAGGAGGAGGAGCAGAAGGGGAAGGAGAAGGAAGAAAGTCGATAGAGACAAGGTGATGATGACTGATGAAAAAGAAAGGAGAAAGAGAAGAACACAATTTTAGTAGGTCTACTATTCCGCCTTCTTACCAACAGAATACTTTCCCAGGCCATCCAACGAATTGGTAACACAGCTCTGCCCTGTATCCGGTAATAATCACCACTGTACAGATTCCTGCTCATGCCAAAATCAGCAATCTTGATGGTGTAGTTATTTCCAACTAAGCAGTTGCGTGTGGCCAGATCCCGGTGGACAAAGTTGAGGGACGCCAAGTATTTCATGCCAGAAGCAATCTGAGTTGCCATGAGCAAGAGGTGGAGGTTACTGAGGAAGAAAAAGTCAACGCAAAGTATCAAGCAAGGAATCTTGAAGGTCTCGCTGTCATCTATGCTATAGATTCTTCTATCACTTAACGACATTATGTCTCACTTAGCGACATAAATTTTGGCTCAGTTTTGGGCTCAACTTAGGACCTGTACTGGAAGACCTGTAATTTACCTGCTTCTTATAGAGCGATAAAATTAATATCGAGCAGAATTAAGCAAATACTGGAGCATGTAACACCAGACATGGAAGGCAATATCACACAAAACTTCTCAGGCAGCCTCTTGGGAAAATGCGTAAGACCACAAGAGATGCAATCCCCACAGAATTGTTCTCAACTCTACTTCGGGCTAACAATCCTTCCCTTCCCCTCCGTCACCTGACACAAGGAACGTTGCTGGACCGTGTGAAGGTGCTTCTACTCTGCCGTTGCAGGAGGAACTGGTGAAGGTCCCCATTTTCCATGTATTCAGTGATCATGCAGAGAGGGTCATCCTTCACACACACACCCAACAAACGGATGATGTTTGGGTCATTCAGCCGGGACATGATTTTGATCTCTTTTAGGAAATCGTTCCTAGGAAGGGTAGAAGAAGAAGGATGGATGGCCAAACGTTCAGTGGTGAAAAGCTGATGGACATCATTATTATTCCAACTTTATGGGGAAAGAAGCATATTTAGAATAGAATAGAACAGAATGAAAGAGTTGTAAGGGACCTTGGAGGTCTTCTAGTCCAACCCCCTGCTCAGACAGGAAACCCTATACAATTTCAGATAAGTAGCTTGTCCAATCTCTTCTTAAAAACTTCCAGTGTTGGAGCATTCACAACTTCTGGAGGCAAGTTGTTCCACTGGTTAATAGTTCTAACTGTCAGGAAATTTCTCCTTAGTTCTAGGGTGCTTCTCTCCTTGATTATTTTCTATCTTCTTGTCCTGCCCTCAGGTGCTTTTCTGATCAAGGGTCAAGGATTAAGTTGACGCCACATGTTTTTGGACCTCCTGTTTCATGCAAGTCATTAATTAGTTTAATTAAACTATCACAAGTAATGTGATCACAACAGAGAACTATTTGGGCTCCAGTGAGGAAGAACTGTCACTCCTCTTGATTGTTGGTTTCTTTCCTGCAAAGGAAGTTTATCCTAGGATTAAACCAGAATCTCCCTTCTTAGACTTAGGACCATTTCTACATGTCCATAGATAGCCTAGGGTGATAGACAACAATGGCCAAAAGATTGAAATGACATCTGCTCAGATCTTTGAGAACTTCTGAGAGAGCAAGCAGGCTCCCACTTTACTGATGCTTGCTCATTCGCTGAAACTCACCTGGCTGTCTTGGTGACATCCGTTCTCAACATCTTCACAGCCACCAAAATCGCCTGGCTGGAACTGTCTGGAGAAGCGCGGCCCAAGAATTCCAGAAGACCCACAGCTTCACACAGGTGGACCTGTCCATGGGAAGGGCCAACCCATGAAAGCAACAATTAGGCTAAGCTACAACCTACCTGCAGAGTTCAATTTAACCGAACGGTGAGCAGTCAATGAATTACCCTATGTCTCCTTGGATTGCCGATCTCTGACCGGGAAATATGATCTACTCGCTTCCCCACACTGCACTTCTTGATATACTCACCTCCCCAAATTGCCCTTCTCCCAACTTCTCCTTGAGCCGCAGCTGGTGCCGGGGAAACTCGGCTACGGAGATGTCCTTCTTGGTCAACGAGTCAACAGTGATGGCTGGCACGGCGTAGGTGTTGTTCCCGGTCACCCCTTGCAAGTTGACGATGTCCGTCTCTGCGTAATGGGGAACATTGTTCTGGAATCCCTGGTGAGGGGTGCACTTGGTGAGGTCAGGCTCTGCATAATCCCCGCTGCAGGCTGAAAGACCAAGGGAGACAAAATGGGTTCGGACCAAGGTCACGCTCAGAATTCCAGACCATTTATTTGGGGCTTCCTCTTCCACTGTTGGACAAAGCAAGGAGAGTTTTAGAAAAAGACTCTGAAGGCACTTCCAATCGGATGCTTTCTTTTCGAAAAGTCTCAAAACGTTCTGGATGTTTGAAGGATGAAGCTTTCTGAGTCAGCTGTAAAATGTGTGTGATCTTATTTAGATGTTTTGGCTGCAGATCTCCTGGTGACCTCACATATGAGCAGCTTGGGCTTTTATCAACAGTAGATGAATGTTTGAGGTTGGGTTGAGAAAAGTCAACTGCTTTTCTTTGGCTGGGGATAAACTGGCATAGAGTATAGAATCATAGGCTGGAAGGGACCTCAGAGGTCTTCTAGTTCAACGCCCTTCTCCATTTCAAATCAAGGACTGCCCAGTCTCTTCTTAAAAACTCTCCAGTGATGGAGCACCCACAACTTCTGGAGGCAAGCCCTTCCACCGATTAATTGTTCTAATGAAATTGTTGGTTTCAGGGTTTGGTCCACCTGGTGGGAACTGAGCTCTGAGGAGGCAAAAGTGATCTATCAGGATTCATGTCGCTGCAGAAATCTAGGGAACAACCTCACCTGGACTGCCAAGTGATCTGGTAAGCCGCGAACCAAAAGCTGTTTGGAAGGCAGCAAAAAAAGAAAAAAGAAATAGAAAGGAGAGACTGAAAAGAAAAGCTGCCAAAAATGGAATAGAAAAAAAAAGAGGGGCAGGAGAGATCAACTCCTGGTAGAAAGGGAGGGAAAGAGAGATCCCATCCATTATCCTCTCTGGACCTATACATTAGTGGTGACAGCGGCCTCGCCCCGTGCAAATTACTCTGGGAAAAACTTGTAAGAAAAACCATTCTCCATGTATAGCTTTCAATTAGAACAGGAGGTAGTTATTTTCTTCATCCTGTCTGCTCTCTTCATCCACTCTTGTGAAGGATGCCAGTGGCCAAACCAAGTAGAACCATGATCCGGAGCCCACATGCTCTTCCCTTAACCCTCAGCTCAAAAGGGATGTGTTATGTGAACTCAACCGCAGTAAAAGCTTCCCTACCTGAGTCTTCGGCGCTTTGAGATAACTCTGGCAATTTCTGGAGGAGGGTGAGAGGCTGGTGGTATTCCAGATCCAAGGGGAAGACTCTCTCGTAGGTGGGGTTGGTCTGGTGGATCTGGGTCTGGCCGTTGACAATTCTGGAGCTGTAGAAGGAGAGACGGACCGTGGCATCTTCTTCCAGGATTCGCCGGGGAGCCTACGGGAGGAGAAGCTGCTGAGATCATTTGAGAGATCTTTTCCAGAACAGCTAACCCCATTGGGAACTGTGGTATTCTTTCTCCAAAGCTTGAGAAAGTTCTAGGTAGCTCAACAAGGGAGGCACGGTACCGTCTCCAGATGCTTCTGAGCATACTGTCTCCACAGGATGGCGATGATAACCACCAAAAGGAGAAGAATGATGGCCACAAGACAGCTGATCAAACTAGAAGAGTTGGAGTTCTCTGCCTTCTGTTCGACCCTGGGACTGATGGAAGCTAGGGCACTGCTCCCTGTAAAGTAGGTTCATGGTTGATCAGTCCAAATCAATCTAGAATGAAAGGGTTGAAAATAGCTCTGGAGGTTTCCCAATCCAACCCCTTCCTCAGAGAAGATTTAAAACCTTTGTCTCTCTGGCTTCTTACCCAAAATCCCCTGTGTAGTGTTTGGTCTCTCTGATGATGGATATGATTCCGTGGTGGGACTCCATGCAGACGTAACCAGGATTGGGTCAGAAGCATCCATGTTCACTGAAGAATTGGAAGGGGGAAAACAAGCATTATCTCAATATACAACCTGAGAAGTCTGTCTATTTTTATATCTCCCTCTCTCCCTCCATGTCTCCTCTCTCACACTTTCCATCCATCTACTCATCCATCCATGTTTTCTCTCTCTCTCTTTGTCTCTCTCTCTCCCCCTCTTTCTGTATCCCTCCCTCCATCATTCCATCCATCCATCCATCCATCCCTCCCACCCAGATTCCTGGGGGCTCACCTGATTGAAAAGAAACTTCGCTTATCATCATCCAGGTATCAGCAAAGTAGAAATGGCAAAGAATGGCTTTGCCAACGTGGTGGTTGAAGGGGACGGTCACGAATCGTGCGCTGGGATTTTTGTCATCCAAAACAGTGTCCAAGCCCACAGGCTGTGGGTCCCACTCGGCGGTCAACTGCGGCTTGAAGAGGCACTCCACCCTCTCAAAGATCTTCACCCCTTTGGAAAACATGTTGTTGCAGTGGACCTGCAATTCCACAGCAGCGGGGAAAGAAAAAAAATGGCAGCCATCAGATAACCAGGTTGGTTTTCCATTGCAGGAAGTGGCACGTCACTCTGACATATCGACGGGCTCAACGTAAACCTGTGGAGGCCGTGCGCTCAACCTGGCTTGGCAGAAAGGGCAGGCATCAAAAATGTTCCCCAGAAGAAAGCTCTACCTTCATGGAGGTGAAGTTCCTCTGGTGGTCAAACTGGAACTCCATCTCCAAGACGCCGTTCCGTAAGCTGTCGTTCCTCCAGCCGATGTAATCGTAGCCTGGCCACACTCGGTATTGGTGGCTCTTGGTGAAATCATCCAATCCCAGAACACCGTCTGTAAGCTGGCCCAGCCCGCCGTGGAGGAGCCTGGCACGAAAGCATTGCTCATTCAGAAGGATTCTTGAAGATGCCCTCCAAGTGACAGGTATGCTACGAGGGACTTCATGCTTTTCTCCATTTCTCTCCCATAACAGTCATTTATATTTTAGCTAAACATATATATATTTTTTTGCACTTGGCCCCCTCTTACTTTCGTTCCTGGTAACCATCATAAATTGAGTCATTTAGATAAACGATAAGATTGCCGGGGGCCATCATGGTTTCTCCTTCGGGCATGCTGTAGGACTCCAGGCCATCTAGGAAAGGAGATGGCTGAGCGTCAAAAGAAGGAAACAACCCTTTCTCCTACACGTTTTCCCAGAATTTATCTTCCCTTTTCTTCCATCCCAAAAGCTTATCTGAGACTTTCAAGCTTCTCTAGAGGCTGACAGCTTTTCAGCGTACACAGGTGGACCTCAAGTTGGTAAACATCAAAGAAGATGTCCATATTAGGCACCCTCCTGCCATGGAAGGCCTCTAGAATCAACATGTAAGTCAACACAAAGGTGTTTTTTTTTTTTCCCAAAAGGCAATTGGATTTCCTTGGTTTTTTTTTTCCCTTGAAGACATTTTGCTTCTCCTCCAAGAAGCTTCTTCAGTTTTGACTGAATGGGCGGGGGGGGGGGCGTTCTGAAGAATGTTTCCAAGAGAAAAACCAAGAAAATCCTGTTGCCTTTTGGAAAAGCACCTTAGGGACCACCAGGACCTGGATGACTGAAGATCTCCATCAACATAGAAGTCCTTACCAGACCAGACACAACCATAGAGTTCTACTCTCATGCAGACCGTCATCGGCTGCTCTGTCACCGGGATGACACGGATGTAGCGAGCGATGATAGGCGGGCGAAGGTCCTTCAGCACAACTTCGTAGGTGTCTGTGTTGCCTTGGATCACCTGGAAGGGATTTGGCCATCTTAGAGGCACCGGACCTGGAGAATTGTGAGTCTTGAGAAGGGGAAGCCCATAGTCTCTATGGGTAACTTTGAATCTACCTGGTTGGGGGCAGCCTAGCTGGAAACATCTGGGAAGGTTGGAGAAGGCTACCGTGAAGATCTCAAGCAAGGATCAGGCCATCTGAGAACTTGCTCGTGAACAAATTGGGGGAGGGTGGTCCTTAAGTACATTTTAAGATATGAGGGATTCTTTGGGAGTTCACCTTAGACTTTTGGTGACATTCCTATCACCACCATGATTTTGTCAGTTCCTGATGCCAGTAACACGATGAACTAAGCCATAAACCCTGGTTTTATGGCAACATTGATATCCCCATTAATCCAATTTGTACGGACACTTGACTAGCTCAGGAAATATGCCCAGACAAAATGAAACCAACTACGCTGTAGCTCAGAGGCGTGGTAGAAAGAGCTTCACTCGTTCCTTCCCTCCAATATATTAAGTTACTCCCGCTTCTATTTTCCTGTCTGCTTAGGCAACCTATGTTCCTAACAGCTGCTAGGTCTGCACCAAGAGCCAGTCCTTTACAAACAGATGCAGAGAAATAACCTAAAAGGAAAGCAGCAAAGGGTTTGTGGGCAGGAGTTAAGCAACTTTGGAACTCATCTGGATGAGTAATAAATTAAGATTTATTCCACACACACACATCCTCTTTTTTTCTTTCTTTTTTTTTTTAAACAGGGCCTAACAGCTTTTGGTAAATGTATCCTGAGGGCTCAATTTCTCTTTGCAGAGTTTCCGTTGCTTGCCCACCTGCCTGTTCTGACGATCTTTCCAAGTGATCCACTGTTCGCCATTACGACTGTAATTGATCCGATAGGCACGGGCAAATTCCTTCCCGGTGGCACGGGCATGGCGTCCTTGTGTTCCCACCAGGGTGATGAAGTACAGTTTGTGGAGGTCAATCTGGAGAAACTGCACGTCTTCTGGCTGCAAGAGTCCCGCGGGACACCAAGCTCCATCGCCTTCTTCTCTGAGCAAGCTGAACATGTGCGGGGCAGAAAGAGATGGAGGAGGAGACTAGAAGCCATAACTCAAAGACCAGGTTAGCCAACTGAGAAACGATGAACGATGACAGAGGTTCTCCATCCGTCAGGGTTGTCTCCAAGATGCTTTTCCAAAGATCAACTGGACTTCCTTGCTTCTCCCAAAGAGGCAACTGGACCTCCTTGTTTTTCTTTGAAGACGTTTTGCTTCTCATCCAAGAAGCTTCTTCAGCTCGGACTGGATGGTGGGTGGATGACTGAGAATCTCCATCAAGATTTTCTCGCTTTTTCTTCAGAACTGAAGAAGCTTCTTGGATGAATGAGAAGTGAAATGTTTTCCAAGGGAAAAAAAAACAACCAAGAAGGTCCAGTTGTCTTTTGGAAAAGCATCTTTGGGATAACTTGAACAAGGAACTCTATGGAGCAAGAACTAGATTCATGATTGCCGTTACCTATTGTAATTAACCTGGTTGATACCTAGCCTATTTTCTGGAGTCACATAACGCCTTGATCCAAGTTGGCAAGGTTCATGCAATCCATTAACCCAGGAAAAAAACTCTAACCAATACGAATATTACCCTGGCTCGGTCTGGCTGATGTTATCTTGAATGGTTATCCTTCAAAATTGGACCAGACAACGAATCAAATCTCCCATAGCTCAATATCCCACAAGTGCTTTTTCAAAAGGCAACTGGACTTTATTTTTCCTTGAAGACGTTTCGCTTCTCATCCAAGAAGCTTCTTCAGTTCTTCAGCTTCTTGGATGAGAAGCGAAAAGTCTTCATGAGAAAACCAGAAAGTCCAGTTGCCCTTTGAAAAAGCATCTTTGGGGCAACCATGGACCTGGATGACCGAGAATCTCCGTAGACATGTAGCTCAATACCACTTTGTTGTAAAGCTGTAGTAACAAGAGTTGTGCAAATCTGAGCTTTCCCCTCCTTGTCTTTATCTGTGTGAGAACTAGGGAGGGGGCTGAGACATTTTCTCACATCCTTGGAAGGAATTCCACGCACCGGGCATATTGGGGTCCCGTTGAATCATACCACTGGCTGGAAGCAGTAATGTCCTCGTCACGGATGGTCCCTTCGTACATCCCCAAAGGATAGCGGCATATTGCTGGGAAAGCGGAAAGAGGAGAAGGTCACTAAGTATGCGATGAAAAAAAGATGAAGACCCCTTCATCCAAGCTTTTTAAAACTCCGTGAAAAAAAATACTTCATTTCTCTTGCTTGGAAGCTCCGTGCTTATTTCCTCAGCTAGGCTGGAATTTCAGGCACTGAGAATCAGGCGCAGACTTTAAATTCCAGTGAAGCTGGTTTATTGCTCGTGCCTGTATACAACTCACTGGTCAGCACTAAATTGGCGCTAGGGACCATTTGTGACAACGTTAAGGACTCCAGGCTGATTCCTCTCTTGACTCCATCGCCTGGCTCTGCCTGTTCTCCTCCAAATGGAGAATACAAGTGAGCCCAAAATTTCTGTCACTAAGGGAAACATTTGTTTTTACGACCTTTTACGACCTTTCTCGCCACACTCATTAAGCGAATCGCTGCAGTTATTAATCTGTTAATTGTCAATCTGGCTTTCCCCTTGACTTTGTGCATCAGAAGATCACAGAAGGGGATCACACGATGCCGGGGACACAGCAGCCGTCATAATATGAGTCATTCCAAGCAACCTTAGTTTTGATCACGTGACCATGGGGATGCTCCAATGGTCATTAGTGTGAAGAAGAGTCATAGGTCTTTTTTTTTAAATGGTCACTAAATAGAACTGTTGTAAATCAAGGACTACCTGTGTCAAAGCAAGGACATCCAGTGTTAGCAGCGTTGATATCTGCTAACATTGGAAGTTCTTGCTCTGACAACCTGTACTGCTGTGGTTACATTGTTCAAATGTGTTATTCGCCCCGACACTAATGAATCATGCTTTTTTGTAAATAATAACATACTTAATGTACTACAGAGTTGTGGAAACATATCGCCCAGAGGATCAAACTAACAACTTAGTCCAATATTCTGTCAATCCCTTTGCTAATCCCGTTTTATCACACAAGGACTGCCCCAGATGACTCAAGCTGTCACATGTCCTTTTAATACCATTTCAGGTCATTCCATCATTGGGGTTCTGGCCAAGTACAATATATCAATATGTAATCCTGTCTTGACAAGAAACAAGAGGCTATTTGGGGGAAAATATGCATTATCTAGAAAAGCAGAGGAAGATAAATCCAAAAGCTTTCTCTTGAAACTGACCGGATAAGCTATGGTGAAACTGACTCTTCTGGATTACCTACAGAAATAACATCTCTTGTGAAATCAACCCGAAAGAACGGAAGAGCTCAAAGCCATCTTAGAATAAGCAGCTATTTTCTATCTTGGCTTTTAATGGACAACAAAAACATGGCCGCCGTTGTTATTTTTCTATATTTACATCCCCTGACCAGACGGAAGGAAAAAATATTTATCTAGTCCCATCTGGAGACAAGAAATCGGATTCAGTAAATACACATGACGATTGGCTGGGGATTAATCCTCAAATGCTGCTGTCTCTTCCACGTTTTCTAAATGGATGGGGCGAGTGCCTTAGACTGGCATCATCAACACGGCAGAAATGGCATCTTGAAAAATGCATAACGGCCCATAAACGTTTATGCCCATTTTTGCACAGACTTAAAACGGTTACTGATGGACTGGGCAGAAATGGAACAGATATTTAAGGCTGGGAAAGCAAGGGGTATTTCTGTTTAGTTATGAGGTTCATACCAGGATTGACTTCAGACCCCCAACATGGTGGAAATCCAGCCAAGAGCAGAAGAGATAAGCAGAACATCCTTGGTGAAGGTAACCTGCGAATGGGTCACCTTTGTTGGGCAGTTTGAGGGGCGCTCAGTCACTGCCATTCATGATTCTGAGGGAAAAGAGAGAGAGAAAAAACTCGATTAGAACTAGAGGATCAGGTTCTAGATCAGCTGCCAAGCACCAGGTGAATCAAGAGATCTGGACTTTCTTTGTTTTTCCTGGAAGGCGTTTCGCCTCTCATCCAAGAAGCTTCTTCAGTTGAGTCTGAACAGTTCTTGAGCGTGAACTGAAGAAGCTTCTTGGATGAGAAGCGAAACGTCTTTCAAGAAAGTCCAGTTGCCTCTTGAAAAAACACCTTTGGGACCTCCAATGCAGAGGGCGGTGGTCCACCTCAATTATCCCTCGTTCCTTTTACATGGAAAGAAGGTTTAAAAACACAGGACTTTTCCTCACATTTTGATAAGGCTTAGATGAGCTGCCCAACGCGTTCTTGGATCGGCGAGAAGGAAGAAGGACAGCCATCAAGCAAGCCGCTGCGCCTGCAAATCATATCCTGGAGGAAATTAACTTTCCGCTTCTGAACACAATGGAATTCCTTTGCCTGGGCCGTCTTCTGGGGCGTGCAGACCCAGCCCCAAACTTCCGTCCCAAAGCGAGCTTTGCAAGGTGCAAGCGAAGACTCCGATTTCCTCTCTAGCTTTCCGATAGCCTAGCACAAAAGCGTTAAAATTCTGCTTGCCGGGGGCCCAGGGCGTGTTTTTTTTTCTGCCGCTAATTGCTAACAGCTGCGAGAACTGTATATTTAAAAAAACATATTACAGCAGAAACGGTGGTGATAGCAGAAGACAAGTTAGGAGGGTTTGGCCAAGGTCAAAGAAGAAAAAAAAGGGGGGGGAAAAGTGCTCGGAGCTGGAGAAGAACAACCCTCTTCCTTTGCAAGTGGCCAAAAGGCCCACCTGTCCTTCTCACCTTCTCCTGTCCCTCTACTTTTGAGGGTCCCCCCCCCTCCTTCTCACTCTCTCTCTCTGGCACAGGTTTCCAGCTCTGATCCGCCTGGTGTGCCACGCTCCCTGGCCTGGTTTTGCACACGCGTCAGTCTTGCTCGCATCCCCGCGCCTCCCCCCAGCTCAAGTTCTGCTCCAAGAACTATCCCTGGAAGGAAGCAGACAACGAGGATCCCACCATCTGCCTGCCTTCTGCTTCTCTCTCTGGGCTTTTGTTGGCTAACGAGATCCAATCCATGGCCGTTTCTGCTTCTCTGCCCCCCCCCCCTTTGGGAAAGTGTTTGGATGCTTGCTGTCCCCTTCCCCCCCCCCGGATTTCCCCCTGCTTCTTTCTCTTCTGAAATATCAGCTTCTCCAAAGGAGGAACTTTCAGCTGGCTCTATCTTTTGGAAGAATGACAGAGTAGGAAGGGACACTGGAGGTCATCTAGTCCAGCCCTCTGCTCCAGCAGGTGACTTAGCCTAGACCATTCCAGACAAATGGCTGTCCAATCTCTCTCTCTCTCTTTTTTTTAAACTCCAGTGTTGGAGCACCCACAATTTCTGGAGGCAAACTGTCCCACTGTCAAGAAATTTCTCCTTCGTTCTAGGTTGCTTCTCTCCTTGACTAGTTTCCATCTGTAACAGAATAACAACGTTGGAAGGGACCTTGGAGGTCTTCTAGTCCAACCCCCTGTTCAAGCAGGAGACCTTATACCATTCCAGACAAAGGGCTGTCCAGTCTCTTCTTCAAAACCTCCAGTGATGGAGCACCCCCCAGCTTCTAGAGGCAAGCTGTTCCACTGGTTAATTGTTCTCACTGTCGCTTGCCTTCCTGTGATCTTGGATGACCCCAACTGGGTCAAGAAAGCAAAATGGGGGCAGAGTGGTGATGATCATTTTGTTTGGGGCTCGTGTAACCACACATGAATTCCTCAAGGCTTGTGATCGCAAAATCTGCATCTCTTAGCCAAGCAGAGCACAGCCTCGGCCTCTGGTGACCCCTGATGGGTGGGATTTTGATTGCCAAGAGCTAGAAGGCAACAAGGGAGCTGTAGCCCTACCTCTCTCTCTCTCTGTGTGTGTGTGTTTGTGAAATCACTTAATTGGGGAAGGTTGATGCTTTTCTTTCTCTTTCTTGTAAGTTTTTAGCATTTTTCAATTTGGATTTGTGGAGTATCGCACTCTGCTTTCATTCTCTCATATATGTGAGAATCTCTCTCTCTCTCCGGTATCTATCTATCTATCTATCTATCTATCTATCTATCTATCTATCTATCTATCTATCTATCTCTCTATCTTATCCCTTGTCTCTTGTTTATCTTATCTCTTGTCTATATGTATCTATATTTATTTCTTTATTTCTATTTCTCTCTATCTGTATCTATTTTATCTTTATGTTTATCTCTATGTATCTATGTATCTATCTATTTTATCTTTATGTTTATCTCTATGTATCTATGTATGTATCTATGTATCTATGTATCACCATCTGATCTATCTAACTATCTATCTATCTATCTATCTATCTATCTATCTATCTATCTATCTATTCTAGCCCTCTCTCTCTCTCCCTATTTATCTATCTCATCTATCATCTATCAATAAATATCTCCATCTCTCTCTCTCTCTCTCTCTTATATATTGATAATCTATCTATCTGTCTATCTATCTATCTATCTATCTATCTATCTATCTATCTATCTATCTATCTATCTATCTTTCTCTATCTCTCCATGTATCCCTTTTATCCTACTTATTCATTCCGTCTGCCAATCAATTTCTCTATCTCTCTGTCTGTCTCTCTGCCTCTCTATGAATTGTCAGGCATCTCTGTGTACTACAGAAGGAAGGGCCCTGTTTGGTCCTTCAGAATTAAAAAACAACAACAACCACAACAATAGCCAGATACTCCCTCCCTCTTCCCGGATAGAACTGGGCCAAGAAAATAGCAGCCCCTCTTCCTTCCTTTAAGCCAGAAACCAGAGAGAGGCAGCTCCGCGCTCTTCCGGCTGCCCTGGGCCCTGCCCTCCGCTTTCCCCTGCGATGCCCCCGGAGCAAACATGTCAAGAACACGGCTTCCAAATTCCCCCTTGCCTTCCTCTCTCTTTGCAGGGGAGGAAGGGGCGGGCAGGCCTCAAGTCCCCGGAAGAGCAGGGAGCTGCTGAACTCGACAAAGTCAACAAAAAATGTTGTCTGATAGGGAGTTGGAGAGCGAAGAGAAAGAAAAGAAAAAAGAAAAGAAAGAATGAGAGGGAGAGGAGGAGGGGGAGGGAGGAAGGAAGGAAAAGGAAGGAAGGAAGGAAGGAAGGAAGGAAAAAAGAATAGAAAACAAAAAGGAAGGAAAGGGAGGGAGGGAGAAAGAAAAAAAGAAAGAAAGAAAGATAGAAAGAAAGAAGAGGAAGGAAGAAAGGAAGAAAACAAAAGGAAGGAATGAAAAGAGAAAAGAAAACAAGAAGGAAGGAAGGAAGAAAAGAAAGAATGAAAGAAAGAAAAAAAGAAAAAGAAAGAAAGAGGAAGGAAGGAAAGAAGGAAGGAAGAAAACAAAAGGAAGGAAGGAAAAGAGAAAAGAAAACAAGAAGGAAGGAAGAAAGAAAGAAAGAAAGAAAGAAAGAAAGAAAGAAAGAAAGAAAGAAAGAAAGGAAAGCAAGCTCATGCATCTGGCGCAACAGGCCTTACCTCCCTGGCTGCCTTAGCTGTCCTGCCACCCCCGCCATGGGGTGGGGAGAGCCCAGGGGCTTTACCGCCACGGAGCCAGCTGGGCTCCCCTTCCCAGCATCCCTTCTCCGGCCGAGCAACTTCTGCCAGCGGTGCTGAGCGTTGTGGCCGAGGAAGACGCGGCTCCTCCTGGCTGCTCTGTCCCTCCGCAGAGGCCCAGGACACTCTTTCCCCTTCTCCTTCTTCTATGTCACTCCGGTCTCTATGGCAACCCCTGACGGAGGCTACGGGGAAAGAGCAGATGTGCGTGTGTGTGTGTGTGTGTGTGTGTGTGTGTGTGTGTGTGTGTGCTGGTGTGCAAAGCCAGAGGCTGCCTTTTGGCGCGCTCCCCTCCTCCTTCCTCTCTCACCCCCCTCCCACTGGAAGCTGCTCCCACTGTGGCTCGGCCCACAGCTGGACGCTGTCCAACATCTGCACGCAAGGAAGGGAAGCCACAATGCCAAGAAAACAAGGGGAGCCAAGGTGGGCCGTGGGCGGAGAGAGGCAATCCCCCCCACCCACCCACCCTTCTCGCTTTCCAGCCTGCTGACCCTACAGAAATGGGAAGCTTGCACCACAGGCGCCGGCGTGCCCAGCGAGCAAACTGAACTTTTGGCCTTCTGCGAGAAGGCAAAGCCGTTCCTCGAAGGGTGTGGGGCTCAGATCTGTGGGGAAACTGCCCCACTGGGACAGGGAGATGATCCACCACATGTGTCTCTTGCAATCCTTCTTCTTGAGAAATCCTTTTCTTTGTTTGGTTTTGTTCTTGGTTTCCATCCCACCAAGTGTCAGGAATAGCTACGGTATATTGAGAATACTTTTTTTGGGGGGGGTGTAGAATGAGTGCCGGTACTCTCAGCCTTTACTATAAATCGTAAAAAGAATAACAGAATCACACAGTTACTAGTAAAGGAGAATATTTGTGGCTCCGGATTGAAATGAGTGTTCTTTGGTGCTCTCTGAGCTTGGTAGCTTTCTTGCAGACGTTTCACGACCCAACTAGGTAACATCATCAGTGCTAGAAGAGAGGAGGAGGAAGAGGAGGAGGAAGAGGAGGAGAACTGTGGGGTCCTGGGTCCTCTCTGAGCTTGGCTGTTTTCTTACAGACGTTTCATGACCCAACTAGGTAACATAATCAGGGCTAGTGAGTGTGATTTGCTCCCTGTTTATATACAATAGCTCTGAGCTTGGTGGTTTTTTTGCAGACGTTTCATGACCCAACTAGGTAACATCATCAGTATTAGTGGGTGTGGCTTGGTCCCTGTTTATATATTGTAGCTCTGAACGTCATTGTTTTCTTGCAGAAAACAACGATGCACTAGCCCTGATGACATTCCCTAACTGGGTCATGAAACATCTACAAGAAAACAACCAAACTCAAGAGAGCACCAAGGACCCCTAATAATAGACTTGGAAGGGACCTTGGAGGTCTTCTAGTCCAACCCCCTGCTCAAGCAGGAGACCCTATACTCAATACTTAAATGCTGTAGGCCAATGTTCATCGTATGGGCAACATACGGAGAGATCTTGAAATTCTAATGTTACGAGGGCAAGTGTGATACCGTAGCTATAACTGATACTGGGTGGGATAGAACATACAACTAGAAGGATATACACTGTTCAAAAGGAACTGACCCAACAAAAGAAAGGGAGGGGGCCGCATTGAATGTAAGGAATGATTACATCTCTAGCCAAATATACAACACACGTATATTACAATCTTTCATTTAGTGACTGTTTGAAGTTACGACACTGGAAAATAAAGTGACTTATGACCGTTTTTCACTTATATGACCGTTGCAGCCTCCCCGTGGATCACCGTCACCCAGTCCCATCTAAGGTCTTTTTTTTTTTTTTAACACTTAAAAAAGTTTACCGTGTGCACTCTTTTATTTCAACCGTCGTTTCCCCAGGGGCTGAAATAACGATGTGAGCAAATATGTTAGTTGGCTTGGTCGGCTGCCCACACATCAGCGAGAACCTGTGAATGGATTCTGAGTCATTTGCTCAGCGTTTTCCTTCTGTATTTCCCAGTGTTTTGCAGAGGGAAATTAGGGGAAGCTGCTAACGGTGTCAGAAAAATCAGAATGACAGAGCTGGAAGAGTAGTCCAACCCCTTGCTCAGGCAGGAGACCCTAACCCTACCATTTCCGACAAATGATTGTCGAGATTAAAAGCCTTTGGTGATGGAGCACTCACAGCTTCTGAAGGCAAGTCCTTCCACTGATTGATTGTTCTCCCTGTCAAGAAATTTCTCCTTAGTTCCAGGTCGCTTCTCTCCTTGATCAGTTTCCATCCGTTGCTTTGTATCCTGCCTACATATCATTTCCTTTCCTACCAAATTATCCTGTCCCAAACTCTCCTGGTTTGGTTCTTTCAGACTACAACTCCTATCTTCCTCATTCCAGGAGACTGAGGAAGGGGGGAGCTCACCTCATCCTCTACAACTGGAGGACCCCAATACTCATCTAACCCCCAACCGTTGTTCGCTGAGCAGAAGAAATACCAAAAGAATTCTACCATGAAATCTTCAGGGCATGTGTACGAGTGGGTCAACAAAAAAGACAGTACGAGTAGGAACAAAGAGGCTGATAAAATGTTGCTTTCCCTTAGCAAAACTCTTATTTATTTCTTAAAAGCTAGAGAGGTTTTTTTCTCTTCCTTTGAACAGCAAGGAAAAGTGAAGAAGATCCATTTATATCCAGGAGGTATCACGCTCTCCAAAGCCTTGGAGATGACAATTTGATGGCATCCATTCACCTTCGTTTATTCCTCCTGTTTTGTTTTGGTTTTTTTCCTAATTTATAATCTGGCCAGCAGCTAAGCTGAAGATACCATTTCTCCTGTAAACAAGGCTAGGAGGTCAAAAGCAGAGATCTTAAGTCCAACTCTTTCTCCATTAGCAAAGAACATTCTGGTAGGGATTGCAAGAGGGAAAGATTTTGCTGACTCTGACTTTTCTGGTGACCCTCAAACTAGTCCCTGACCTTAGAAACCACAGACAAGCTAAGAAAGGGGGGGGGAAGCCCCAACCCTCTGAAACAAAATATATATATATATCTCCAGAGAGTTGAGCAGGCCAAACCCACAGACCGTTGTTGGCTTCCATGTAAATCTGATGTCTCCGTGCACTCACAAGCGTGAGGCAGACCCTCTAGGAATTATGTTGTATTTGTTTTGTGGGTATTAAGCGGGGGGGGGGGAGAGAGAGAATTGTATATCCCCAGGCCTCCAATTGGGATTATGATGTGGTGAAGTGGGAGGCAGAAATAGCTCCAGCTATTTAGGGAGAACACCTGGGAAGAGAAGAAGAAGCGTTGCGTGCAAAGATCTTGCCTACCAGAATAGACAGCCTCTATTTCTCCTCTGGCAGGGCAGCAAGTAACTGTGTGCCAGGGCATTATGGGGCACACACTCATGCCTGTTTTAGCCTGGGCACAGATGAAAATAGAACGCGCTTGTAAGATCTTGTCCCAACGTGTTTGCCCATGCTGGACTTTATTTATTGAGGCAATCTATATGTCCATCCAACTCACTCAAGCTGACTCCGAGTAGCTGTAAAGCACCGTGAAGTGGCATATAAGTCTACTACTATTAACCGCTCACTTGCTTGCTGCTTGCAAGGCCCGGTTCCCAACGAGCCGTGGACTGGTACCCAGTCCACGGACTGGGGGTTAGGGACCCCAGTACTGGGATATTTTCCCAGAGTGAGCAAAATTGACTCTAAGGTTGCTTTGATCACTGCCACCAACTTTATGTTGTCTCTAAGAGAAAACAGATTTTGACCTCGCTGGCTGGGAAACTGGAAGATTATTCTCCCAATAAATTGGAAGAAGCACAGGATAGGGCTTAAAAAAAAAACAAGGAAAGGGAAGGAAAATAACCACAAGAGAGACATTCGGTTAATCATAGAAAAAAGGTAACTGTTTATTTGCTTGTGTCCAAAGTCAGGCATCTTGTCCATTTTCTTCCAAGAAAAGCGGAAACCTCAAAAATCCGCCGGCGATGGAAGGCTGCAAGAAGCAATAGTTGGGAAGAAAGTTGACCGGGATGACCTGCTAAGGATGATGAGAGCAGATCTGCTTTGGGAAGCTGAATTAGAGATGCGTTGTTTGGAAGTGCCTCCATACCACCACAGAGATCCTGCTATAGCAAAGCCATTGAGATGCCACCTGCTTCAAAGTTGTAGGACATATGAAGAGCTAGATCCATGCATGATAATCTGGGGAGAGGACGTCTGTGGTCCTGGGATCCTCTCCAGGCATCCCATTAATTTCCAGTCCCGTGATCATGTTGCTCTTTGCTATTCATCAAAGAATCCACTCCTTAAAGTCCAAGGAGCATCAATCTTCTCCAGAACAGCTCTGTTTTGTTTTGTTTTTGTATTCTGGTCTTTGAGGGGCTGCCACCAAGAAGAGGAGGTCAACGTATTCTCCAAAGCACCCGAAGGCAGGACAAGAAGCAACGGATGGAAACTAACCAAGGAGAGAATCAACCTAGAACTAAGGAGAAATTTCCTAACAGTGAGAACAATTAACCAGTGGAAGGGCTTGCCTTCAGAAGTTGTGGGTGCTCCAACACTAGAGGTTTTCAAGAGACTGGACAGCCATTAGTCTGGAATGGTGTAGAGTTTCCTGCTTGAGCAGGGGGTTGGACTAGAAGACCTCTAAGACCCCTTCCACCTCTATTCTGATTGATTGTTTCAGCAGGGACATCAGCCACCCTCTCGCTTGGATCGCAAAACCAGCCCCAACCCATTAACAAAACACAACTTACTTTGATATTACACGCACCAGAACAAAGGATGAATGACACATCCAGTCCAAAGCTTTATCCTTCAAATTCCCTTGCCACGTTCTTCAGAGTCCCTACAAATCTTCCTCTGGCTTAATTAGCGCAGAGCGCTAAAAGACAGGCTCTGCTTTTCATGGGCTCCAGCTTAATGACTGAACATCTGTTAGCAGGCAAAACGTGGAGGCAGATTCCTACCATTTTCAAACAGGGCTGGGAAAATGCCAGCCTGAAATCTTCAAAAGCCACCCAGGGTCAATATTGACAAATACAAATCTGGAATAGAACTCGGCTGAACTCTGCCGTGACTTATCTCCCTCTGTTTTTAAAGCCAAACATGATGATGTGGGTTGCTGAGGAGAGAGAGAGAGAGAGAGAGAGAGAGAGAGAGAGAATGGGAAAGGCAGAGAAGGAGAAGAAAAAGGGAGGGAGGAAGGAAGACATTCTGAGAGAGAATGGGAAGCAGGGAGAGGGAGAAGAGAGGGGAAGAGGGAGAGAGAGGGAGAGAGGAAGGAAGGAAGGAAGGAAGGAAGGAAGGAAGGAAGGAAGGAAGGATGAGAAAGAAAGAAAGAAGAAAGAAAAAAACTGATATATAATGAAATGCTTTCCATTCTTTAGCAGACCCAGAGAAGTACTGTTCCAGAGGAATGTTTATGAATGCAACCCAACCCTGTTCAGACATTCAGTTCCTCAAGATGCTGGTGATGGATCTGAAGACTGATGCGTGCTAGCAATTCACAGTAACATCTCAAATGAGGCCAAAAGGACAACATGAAAAATAGAAACCAAAATTCAGGAAACTGGAAAGAGAAGTTGTCAACTACAGGGGGACCACAGCATAGGAACAAGTAAACAGCCCCAAGCAGAACTTTTAAAATCCAGCTCTCTACATGGCAGCATAATACATAATACAGGCTTAAGAGTCTCCTGTGTTTAGAAAGTTCGGATTCTAAAATGAAAACCTAATATAGGTATTGTTTTGTTCTTTTTCCAGGACCTGCAGCATCTCTTTGATGTTCTCCTTAGACCTTCGCCCGTGTTTCAGTCAGGGAATCCATTCCTTTTCCTCTTGAAACTTTACGAAATATTTCTCCCAGGACTTTGAGCAATCTTCTCCTTTTCTTGGACCAGCATCAAAGCATTCTGCTGGGCGATGGGTTATTTTGGACACTGTTATCATGGCTGAAGAAATTCTGTTGGTGGCGTCTCGCAAAAATGGGTCCCCTCCGATATCCAGTATGCGGTTTCTTCAACCGGCGCTGCTTTGTCGCTTGAGGAATTGCGTGGCGGCCTGAAGCTCTGCAGACAGGATGGTCCAGACAGCCACTGGTCCTCACCAAAGCCTTCCAGGTCTTCTCCAGGCTCCTCCATCAAGATCTGCAGAAGAACCACTCCCATCAAGAAGAAAAGCCATTTCTTGGTGGCATCCGATGTCTTCCGCTGTTGACACTTCCTCACCAGCGGAGGGTACAGGATTCGGCTCGGCTTCCTGCCTTTCCGTGTTGGGTACACTGGAGACCTTTCAGACGGGAGTGCTGAAGAATTCTTCAAGCGAGACCTTGCTGGTGAACTTCCCCAAACAGGTGCAGTTTCTACCAAGCTGGACATCTTCCACAGGATGGGATGTTTGTCCCAGAAGAAACCCAGGAGGTGATCTTGAGAGCAGCAAATCTTTAGCACCTCCCCATTTTTATTTTTTATTTTTGCAATGGGGAAGATCAAATTATGAAGATGGAAGTGCTGGCCACTATCTCAGCTTCTCGAAAGGTGCGATGATCAGTATACTTCACTTTGCAGGCTATAAATACTTTTCATGCCCATTAATGTTGGCTCAGGAGGGAGGTGTTCTGACTCACAGGTGACTGTACGCACCACTCACCTGTCTACACCCATCAAGACATCAACAAGACCTTTCTTCTCTTCAGCTACGAGGTCTCCCTAATGTTCTGGAGAAGCAGGGAAACAATTGAGGGGGTCTACAAAAGAGAAGCAGCAAGCGATGTCATGAATCTTGGGGTGGACATCACCTGGTGCCATGGTGATATCTGTGTGGACTCTGCTCTCCAAATCCAGCAGGTCCCCATCATTTGGGGGGGGAAGCAGGGAAGCCAACTCTAGGGGGACTGTGAAATGGAGAAGCCAGCACCACATTGCGGTGACATAAACCGATGCTATCAGGGCATCACTACGGTCTTTCTTCTCTGAAGCTAGGAGGTCCCCAATGCATGGAGAAGAAGGGAAGCAAATAGGTGAAGTTCCTTCTTTCAGATTTCAGGTTTGGAGGAAAGGCTAAATTCTTAGAATCATAGGTCTGGAAGGGAGACCTTATATCATTCCTTGGAAATGGCCAGTGTCTTCTTGAAAGCCTCGGTGATGGAGCACCCACAACTTCTGGAAGCAAGGCGTTCTACTGGTTGATTGTTCTCACTGTCAGGAATTTTCTCCTTCGTTCAAAATGGAATCTCTCTTTGCTAAGCTTCCATCCGTTACTTCTAGTCCGACCCTTGAGTGCTTTGGAGAATAGGTTGACCCCCTCTTCCCTCTGACAGCCCCTCAAGAACTGGAAGACTGCTGCCATGTCACCCCTGGTCCTTCTCTTTGTTAGGCTAGACCTACCTAGTTCTCTTAACCATTCATCCTAAGGTTTAGCCTCCAGATTTACAGCTAGCAGAAGTGAAAAATCAGAAAGATGACCTAAGCTAGGAATAGGGAAAAAAAAATGCTTGAAGCAGAATCCCAGGAGGCTGTGTAGAGAGAGGAAGGATCAGAAAAATGAGCCTCAATAACCAAACTGATTTATGATCCATGCAGGCTGCAGAGAAATTGAGTTTGCTGGTAATCAACATTTACGTAACTTGTTTATGTTCCTTCACTGTGTCAGTGACCTTTCTCAGCATGATTTCATTTGTACACTTGATCCATTTGGGGCTGATGAGGTATTGATGACCACAAGGCAGCAATTATATGTTACACTCCTTGCCAGATATTTCTTTTATCTAGTACGCCTTGATTTACCACCGTTCGTTTAAGCGACCGTTTAAAGTTACAATGGCAGGGGACTTATGACGATTCCTCACACGGCTGTGGCAGCATCACGTAATCAAAAGAATAACAGAGTCGGAAGAGGTGTAGAGGTCTTCTAGTCTAACCCCCTCCTCAAGCAAGCTGTTCCACTGGTTAATTTTTTCCCACTGTCAGGAATTTTCTCCTTCGTTTCAGGCTGAATCTCTCCTTGATTGGTTTCCATCCGTTGCTTCTTGTCCTGCCTTCAGGTGCTTTGGAGAAGAGGTTGACCCCCCCTCTTCTTTGGGGCAGCCCCTCAAATATTGCAAGACTGCTATTATGTCATCCTTGGTCCTTCTCTTCGTTAGACTAGACTTACTCCGTTCCTGCAATCATTCTTCATATGTTCTTTATATGTTCATATGTTTTAGCCTCCAGTGCCCTTAAGATCAAATTTCTCCTTAGTTCCAGGTAGGATCTATCTTGGTTAGTTTCCACCCGCTGCTTCTTGTCCTGCCTTCTGGTGCTTTGGAGAATAAATTGACCCCCCTCTGTTCTTTGAGAGCCCCTCAAATATTGGAAGTCGACTAACATCTCACCCCTAGACAGACAACCCCAGTTCCTTCAGCCATTCCTCATACAGTTTAGCCTCCACACCCTTAATCATCTTTTTTTTTCTTTTTTGCGTTTTTGAATTCCTTTACCGTTTGAAAATCATCATTATAATCGTAGACTGCCTGGAAGGCACCTGACAAGCTTTGATTTCCAGCCCCCCCCCTCCCCAGTTCTGTTTTTCCAATTAAACCCATCCGCCCACTCTCAAGCGGGCTGTTTATCCCCAAGGAATGGCTAAGGAAGGCGTGAATGTTTTCGCCAAAGGAAGAAAAGAAAAAAAAAAAGTCAAATGCAATTAGGGAATGGCTACTTTGGGGTCAGCGACACTCTTAGGAGGAATGAAATATTTAAGCATTCCTGAAATTATTCATTAGGGTGGAGAAACTAGGGGGTGATGTAATTCTGCTGTTCTGTAGTTTATTGCAGGCTTGGACGGGAAAAATATGATTTTTTCGTTCTTTGCTCCAGAGAACATGCAACAGCACTGGACTGCCTGGGTTTAAAGAATGAGGCGTATTTTGGGGGAGTTGGGATAACTTTTTTTTTTGCCATTTGGACAATCTCTGTGGAAGCCTTTAAGAAGTCGCTGATAAAGATTTCATGCATATTTTTTTGGGGGGGGGGGGAAGACATATTCCAGGTGTCCGGGTTGCAGACCCACAAAAATAGCATATCTAACAATCTGGTTTTGCCTCTGGTGAGTTTCTGGGCTCCTAAACTGTAACGCCACCCTGTTTTCAATGGCCCTTTTTTTTTTTTATTTCCTCCAGATGCACATCCTCAAAAGAATCCTGGCCCTTCTGAGTTCTATCTTTTTCCCAAAGCTGTTTTTCCAAAAGGCAACTGGAGTTTGTTTTTCCTGGCAGAAGATGTTTCGCCTCTCATCCAAGAAGCTTCTTTGGTTCTGACTGAATGGTGGAGATTTCTATTCCTCTGGCTTGCCAACTTTTCCTGAGCGTCGTGGAGGCCACTTGGAGGTTTACCCGTGTCCTCAGGGTCACCTGAATCGTGCAAATGGATGGGTGGGACCTTCTTGGAACTGCTGACAGGACTGTGTTGTAAACAGGAGATTGGTGGTATCGTATTCCCTCCTCCAGTCAGAACTGAAGAAGCTCCTTGGATGAGGAGCGAAACGTCTTCAACGAAAAACACAGCCCAGTTGCCTTTTGGAAAAACACTTTCGGGACAGCCCTGACCTGGATGATGGAGAAGCTCCATCGATACGTGTTCTGTCTTGTTTCTTAGTTTCTCCGTTCCCCCCTAAAGCCTTAGAGGCTGGAGGTGAACCTCGTCACTTCTTCCATCCTTTTTTCCTTCGCGTTCGCAAGCCCAGCAACTCCCTTTCCAGCGAGACACAGATCTGGATCCAGATGTTGCTGCTGACAACGTGATGGGTTAGCGGTGTTTGGCCGGGAGAGTAAAGCAGAGAGGATGAGTAGGGATGACATCTGCAAGCCGCGGGGCTTGGTTATAGCATCCCCGCCTTCTCACGTCAATTTTCAAAGGAGAAATTTAATTTAGCGGGGTTTGGTTGCCTTCCCCGGCTGAATCTCATTTTCCTTTCTTTGAATGCCAGTTCCTTCCAAGGGGAAAGGTGGGTGTTTTCCCAGGGGTGATTAATACCAACAGGTGCTGTGAGTTCGCCTTAGCTTCTCACTCCCCTGATCCCAGGTAACAGAAAATAACAGAATAACAGAGGTGGAAGGGACGGACTAGTCCAACCCCCCCCCCAGCTCACCTTTGGACAGGCAGTTCCAGAAGAAATAGACAAACTGGCCTGTTTCACGTTCTATTTATTGTGGCGATCTGCCCTGAGGTGTGCACAAAACGACAACGTTTGAATGAGGGGAGAGGGAAGGACCCATTTTTATGGGTCCTTGAATCCCCACCCATTCCAATTTAACCAGATCCGCTTAACCTTGCCCATCTTCAACCAGCCCCCCACCTTTTTCAAAAAGTACAGTTACTGAAGACTCTTCCTTTAGCAACTGTTCCAAGTTAACGATGGGCGGGGGAAAAAAAGTGAGTGATAAGTCCTCGCACGTATCACTGTCACAGCACCCCTGCAGTCACGTGATGGAAACTTGGGTGCTTGTCAACCAGCCTGTGTTTATCCCACATAATGTGGTTTGCACAAACGGCAACGTTTGAACGAGGGGGGAGAGAAGGAAGGACCAGTCTGTTAAATTGGCAACGGTTGTTAAGCGAAACTGGTTGACTTTGTTCCTCCAACGGTCCCAAAAGGGGAATCACGTAATTCCAGGACACTGCAAAAGGTCATAAATATGAATCCGGGTCTGAATTTTGGTCACGTGACCATGGGGGTGCCCAACCGTTGTAAGTGTGAAAAACGGTCACAAGATACTTTTTTTCCAGTGCTGTTCTAACTAAATGAACTGTTATAAGTCGGGGACTAGCTGTTTCTGTTCTCATAGGAGATTGACTTTGGCTACTACCTGTTTGCAACCAGTTCTTCCAAATTCCTTCCCTGCCTTTTTGTAGTAGCTGAGCTGAGCAGCCAAGCATTCGATGTGGCTGGCGTTTGGGTAAATCCCTTCGCTCATCATCTCCTCGTAGAAGCAGCTCAAGATGTGGACTTTCTCCAACAACCCAAAGGGAACGGTCTCCACCCCTCTCCAGAAAGGGTGGAGGTGACTCAGGACGGGTCGAAGAGCGCTCTGGAGCGCTTCCATCTGAGGCTGCAATGAGTCATTGGAGATGTTCTGGAGAAAGTGATGGGTGATCTCCTCACCTCCCAGGTTGCTGATGAGGATATAGATGGCGTTGAGGTATTCGTTGGTTTGGTTCTTCTGGAAGAAGCCACCCAGGGTCTCCAGCAGAGGGTTGGGCATGAATTCCACCTCGTCCAGAATAAACACCGGGATGACTTCTTCCATTTCAGCTTGGGCCACCATGTCTCCGATGGTCTCTGATAGCTCCAGCTGGCAGGTGGAGACCGAGGTGTCATTGGGGCAGTGGTGCACCGTGAAGTAATGGAGCACAGAATGGGATCCCATCACGGACCGGAAATGCTTGGCCAGAAGCCAGCCGATGTGACTCTTCCCAACCCCACTTGGACCGTTGAAGGAGATCACCAAGGGTTTGTTGTGGACGTGGGTGGCCAAGTAATCCTTCAGCAACCCCATGACCCTTTCGATGACCAAGGGCTGCCCAAAAACTTCCCGAGCCATGGTCTTCTCCAAGCCGTCCAGGTCGTACTTAATGAGATTATCATCCAAGTTCTCGATGGCGTTGAGGATCTGGAAGCAGATGATGGCCACAAACAAGAGGAGGAAGCGGGTGGCTTTGCTCGTGTGCTCAGTGGGCAGGTATTTCCTTGAGCTTTCGGGGTACAGCACCCGGGGGTTCCTCAACTTCTTTTTACGTCGTTTGGGTTTGGTCACCGGGACCGGGCTGGAGGTGTCGAATGTGAAATACTGGGAATTGTTCAAAGAGGCTTGATTGGAGACGCTACTCAATTTACCTTTCCCCAAGGAAAGTTGTCTCTGCAGAAGTCTGTCTCCGGGCAAGAAGCCTTTTTTCAGCACGTGGGCCGTCCTCCGAAGACGAACCACGGCTCGCAACGGAGAAGACAGCAAAGAAATCTTCTGAGGGGTTTTCAAAGGAGACTTTCGGCTTTCCATCTTGAGATCTTCCTGCCGGCTGGACTTTTCTGCAGAGAGCAAAGGACACAAGGAAAAAATAATGACGGGAGTAATGACTTAGAAACCTCCTGTTTATCCGCCAACCCACCTCCCTGAGCAGGTCCGCACAAGCCTCTCTTGAGTTTGCATCAGGAGCTCTTGAGGTGAACAGCGAGGTTCACCTTAAAATCGGGCAAGCGAGCGGGACTTTTCTTCGGCAAAGCGGGCAGGCAGACCCCAACCAAAAGACCCAACCAATGGCTTTTGTTCAGAGATGAAAGCTGGAGGAATATGCCTGTGTATTTAGGCACAAATATGCGAGTTTCAAAAAAGAAAGGAGTTAATTCAGGGGTGTCCTGTTGGAAGTAGATCTGCTCAGAAGACTGGGAGAAAATTCCTGGCATCCTCTGACTTTTTTTTTCTACTTTTTAAAATTATTATTCTCCCACCCCACCCCACCCACCCCGGTTCTTTTAGCTTTCTCTTAGCTTTTCTTTTCCTTACTTTGTATTAATTTTTATCTTCCTTTTAAATAATCTTTAATAAAAATAACAGACAATAGAGATGTAGAGATAGATAGATAGATAGATAGATAGATAGATAGATAGATAGATAGATAGATAGATAGATAGATAGACAGATAGATAGATACGGATGGAGAGACAAGTTGAGTGCATGATAGATAAATAGATGGGTAGATGGATGGATGGATGGATGGATGGATGGATGGAGAGACAAGTTGAGTGCATGATAGATAGATAGATAGATAGATAGATAGATAGATAGATAGATAGATAGATAGATAGATAGATGGAGAGACAAGTTGAGTGCATGATAGATAGATAGATAGATAGATAGATAGATAGATAGATAGATAGATAGATAGATAGATAGATAGAGATGGATGGAGAGACAAGTTGAGTGCATGATAGATAGATAGATAGATAGATAGATAGATAGATAGATAGATAGATAGATAGATAGATAGATAGATAGATAGATAGAAGTCTGGCATTCATGCTGGAGCATCTCTTGCAATCTGGACCTGAAAGATGCAACTTTTCTCTCAAAGACAAAGATGCGCCTTGTAGAGCAGCACCATCTTCAGGCTAGCCGTGATGGGCACACTTTCTCCTGTCCATAAGATCCTGTAACCGAGGCCTGCTAGTTCCAGCTGCAAACATCTGAAGGACCATTCTGTGGTCTCCGCTGCCATCTGCTGGTCATCTGCATTTCTGCAGCCCAGCTTTGGGAACTCTTGAGCGTCTTGAACCCAAAACCTCTGTTGCTAACGGGACGTTTGTTAAGTGAATATTTGCCCCATTGGATGACCGCCCTTGCCACCGCTGTTAAGTGAATCACTGCATTTGTTAAGTTACTCACACAGTTGTGAACTGAATCTGGCTTCCCCATAACTTTGTTGGTCAGACGGTCGCAAAAGGGGATCACACGACCCCAGGAGAGTGCAACTGTCGTATGTGCCTGCCAGTTTCCAAGTGTCCGAACTTTGATCACGTGACCCTGGGGATGCTGCAGTGGTCGTCAATGCGAAAAACGCAAATCACAAGTCCCCTTTTTCAGTTCAGTCACTAAATAAACTGCAGTAAGTTAAGGACTTCCTGTATTCTGGATGTGTTTGTCCTCAGAGCTTCTCTGTTATACCTCTGCATGAGTTACTGAGTTACTTATGCGTGTGTGTGTGTGTGTGTGTGTGTGTGTGTATCCAAGTGCACCAGCTTCTCACAAGCAGCCTTGTCGTACATGCCTACTCACGACAACACCTGCAAAATGACCCAGATTTGTGTCTTTTCCACTGTACCACTTTCGTCATCCTGGCACGTAAAAGCGGGCGGCTTTGGAGCAGATAACTTTCTCAGGAAACCTCCCGGACTTGTGCGAACACAGCCTCGCACAGACCCGGGTCACGCTGGAAGGCTTGCGAAAGCACGCGTCACTCCACAACACAGATTGCATCTGGCAATTATCTCTGCTAAGAATGCTCTCCTCAATAATTATTAACTTTGATTCCCAGGGTGGGGTGGGGGGGGTGAAGAACTCAGCAAACCAGTTTGATCTCATTCCAGCCAATTGGTACAGAAGGAGAAAGTAACTACGATCCGTTTGAACTGAGGCTTCTTAAATTTGGGGCGGCTTGCAAAAAAAAAAAAAAAGGAGGTTACTGGAAGTCCAGAGTTTGCTTAGCGACCGTTCAAAGTTACGACGGCACTGAAAAATGTGACTTACGACCATTTTTCACACTTGACAACCTTGGCAGCATCAAAATTCAGACGCTTGGCAACTGACTCGTGTTTGTGACGGTTGCCGTGTCCTGGGTTCAGATGATCCCCTTTTACGCCCTTCTGACAAGCTAAGTCGATGGGGGAAGCTGGATTCGCTTAACAGTGTGCGGCTAGCTTAACAACTGCAGTGGTTCACTTAGTAACTCTGGCAAGAAAAGTCACAAAGTGGGGCCAAAACTCAATAAATGTCTTGCTTAGCAACATAAATTGTGTGGGGCTTAATTGTGAATGTGGGTCGAGGGCCGCCTGTATTCGCTTGCAAAATTGCAATTTCTCCAATTGTATTTTTGTGGTGTTTTTTCTCTCTCTCTCTCTAATAATAATAATAATAGTAAAGTTGGAAGGGACCTTGGAGGTCATCTAGTCCAACCCTCTGCTCAGGCAGGAAACCCTATACCATTTCAGACAAATGGCTGTCCAGTCTCTTCTTAAAAACTTCCAGTGTTGGAGCATTTACTGCTTCTGGAGGCAGGTTGTTCCACTGATTAATTGTTCTCACTGTCAGGAAGTTTCTCCTTAGTTCTCTCTCTCTCTCTCTCTCTCTTCCCAAATTGCTTGCTCAGACTTTCTCTTTTATCTCACGGGTGCAAAATTCCTCTTCGTTTTCTCTCTCACCAAGTTTCCGATTCTTTCCTTTCACCTGGTTTGCAGAACGCAAGTTTTGCAACCCTGCTGGGGTGTTTGTTTGTTTTTTCCCCATCCTAAAAAACGAGAGCAAGCTGTTTGGCAAGATGTGAAAACTCTCAGCATTGCAGATTAATTTAAAGTTCTACTACGCGAGTCTGTTTTCCTAAACTCACTTCCTTGCAATTCTCCCCCCCCCCCCCCATGTTTGTTTCTTCAGCCAGAAAAGGGGATCAGCTCCACATGTGGCTTGTGGATATCGGAAATGAGTCACTGCCACGAAGAAGCAGAAATACTATCTTTTCCTGAATGCTATCCTTCTGCTTTGAACCGCCTTACAGATCAGTAAAGCAGTGAGCGATTTTTCAGGCAGAAAGCAGAAGGGATGAGCTGCTTTTTTTTCTTTTTCTTTTTGGCATGCCGAGTGAAAGAGAGAAAGCACAACTGTACAAAAGATTGATAGGCTTACTCTGGAGCTCTCTACGTGCCTAGAAATATTCCTAACTGGAATACAGGTTAGAACTTTCTCTGAATAACAACGTTGGAAGGGACCTTGGAGGTCTTCTAGTCCAACCCCCTGTTCAAGCAGGAGACCCTATACCGTTCCAGACACATGGATGTCCAGTCTCTTCTTAAAGACCTCCAGTGGTGGAGCTCAAACAACTTCTGGAGGCAAGAAGTTCCACTGGTTAATTATTAAAAAGTTTCTTCTTAGTTCTAGGTTGCTTCTCTACTTGATTAGTCTCCATCCATTGCTTCTTGTCTTGCCTTCTGATGCTTTGGAAAATAGATTGATCCCCTCTCTTCTTTGTGGCAGCCCCTCAAACATTGGAACACTGCTATCATGTCACCCATACTCCTTTTCACTATGTGAAAAATGCTCTCACTGTGGTCTAGCCTCTTGCGATTCTAAAGCATCTGTTCCGCTGGGGAAATTCATTTGCAAAGCAAAGAAGAGGGGGAGCAAAGTTCAGCATTTGTTACCAGCTGTTAAGGTGACACCACCTGCCCTTCCCACTCCCACCCCCATTTCCAAAGAATCAGCCCACAATGTGGTCTAGCAGCATGCCCTGTTCTGAAAAACCCATTTATGCCGGTTGCAAAGAGGCACAGCGTCAATTTTCAGCATTGGTTATCAGCTCATGAGGTGGCACCACTTGCCTCTCCCCCTAACTGGGGAGGGGAAAAGCTTAATTTGTTAGTTTCCAGCTTATTGTGAAATTACACAGTTCTAAAGGTTGCCAGTATTTAAAGTTCATCCTTGTTTTTATGCCTTTGTCTATAGATGCATCTACAGCTAGATGAAGGTATTTCTTGGGCAAAAAAACCCAAACCCTGCCACATTTAAGTGATATTTAAGAGATATTTGTTGCTCAGGGCTGAATTGTGGGGTCCTCGGTGCTCTCTGAGCTTGGAAGTTTTCTTGTAGACATTTCATTGCCCAATTGGGTAACAGCATCAGTGCTGGAAGAGTGTGGGATTTGTAGAGGAGAGTAAAAGGGGGGAGGAGGAGGAGGAAGAGGAGGAGGTGGAGGAGGACTGTGGGGTCCTTGGTGCTCCCTGAGCTTGGCGGTTTTCTTGCAGACGTTTCATTGCCCAACTGGGTAACAGCATCAGTGCTAGAAGGAAGTGGGGTGTGTGGGGAGGAGACGCAGGAGCAGGAGCAGGAGCAGGAGGAGATGTGTAGGATCCTGGGTGCTCTCTGAGCTTGGTGGTTTTCTTGCAGATGTTTTATCTACCCAATTTGGCAAATCATCAGCGCTAGAAGGAAGTGGGGTGTGTGGAGAGGAGGAGGAGGAGGAAGATGTGGGGTCCTAGGTGCGCTTTAAGCTCGGCGGTTTTCTCGCAGACGTTTCATTGCCCAACTGAGTAACCTCATCAGTGCTGACATCACCACCGATTACCACTGACGAAGTTCCCTAATTGGGTCATGAAACATCTGCCAAAACACACACACACACACACAAAACCCACCCAGTGCAGGGAGCACCCAGGACCCCAAAGTTGAAGCGGTTTTTGCAGGCATTAAAGGAGCAGAGAGCTTTGGGATCACTTGGCCACCACTTCAACGTTTCTCCATTGCTTCCCTTGACAGACAAAAACCAGAAGCCAATTCTAGGCTTCCCCAACAAAATCTCCCAAAGTCCTGAATCTCTCCATCATTTTTCTCTTTTTTAATTGGTGGCTGGAAATGGGACAATTCTGCTTCACAGTCACTTCATTTCTCCAAAAGAGGACTGGCAACACACACACACACACACACACACACCCTACCTTGCACCCGGCTGCCTCCAGAAAGCCAAATGGTATTCGTAAATGCCAGCAAAATCCCAAACAAGAACAGCAACAAAAAACCTCCAGATTTAGACGGAACTCCTCCCAAATATTAATAAATATTAATAAAATATTAATATTAATAAACTGTCCATAATATCCCCTAAACTGCTTGGAGCCTCCCACTCAGGGACCCCGAGGTGGGTGATGTCTACGAGTCGCCATCTTTTCTATTAGCTTCTCTTCCTCTGTATCCCTGACCAACAACACAATCTGCTGGGGAAAAAAAAGCTAGTGGTTACTGTATATGTCTCCCCCCTCCCAAAAAATGAAATATTTAAAACTCCAGCTGGCTTCTTCCACAGAAACTTCCTAAAGCACTGAGGATGTTACCTAGCTGGGTCATGAAACGTCTGCAAGAAAACCAGCAAGCTCAGAGAGCCCCAAGGACACCACAGTTCTCCTCCTCCTCCTCCTCCTCCTCCCCCCTCATGGCCCTGATGAGGTTACTTAGTTGGGTAATAAAACATCTGCAGAAAGACAACAAAGCTCAGAGAGCACCCAGGTCTACAGTTCTCTTCCTCCTTCTCTCCCTTTATTTCTCCTGTCCTCTACACACCCAACTCCCTTCTAGCATTGATGATGCTCCCTAGTTGAGTTATGAAACATCTGCAAGAAACCAACCGGGCTCAGAGAGCACCATGGACCCCACAGTTCTCCTCCTCCTCCTCCTCCTCCTCCTCCTCCTCCTCCTCCTCTTTACATACCTCACTCCCTTCTAGCACTGATGGTCTTCCCTAGTTGGATCATGAAACGTTTGCAAGAAATCACCCAAGTTCAGAGAGCACTAAAGACCCCACAATCCTCCTCTTCCTCCTCCTCCTCCTCCTCCTCACACACCCAACTCCCTTCTAGCACTGATGATGCTAGTTGGGTCATGAAACGTCTGCAAAAAACCCTACCGCGTATAAACAGAGAGCAAGCCGCATTCCCCAGCACTGATGTTTTTACCTAGCTGGGTCACAAGACACCTGCAAGCCACGAACCAGTTTCAGAGCCCCAAAGACTCCCTTTCCCAAAGTTGGCCCAGCTGCAGCCTTCACACCCCAAAGCATCCTGTCCCCTTCATCGTTGACCCTCCAAGACCAGCCCGTCCATCGAAAGAAGAACGTTACTGTACCAAGCATCTGATTTGGGGAGCTTCACCAGGAGGGGACCGTCTTCCCTTCTGCACAGGAACACCACCGGCCCCATCGCTCCGGGCTTGGGCTCCTGAGCGGCTTGGGAAGAGTCCAGCTGTGGGGGCCGAGGCACCACAACCTGCTGTGGCGCCCGTGTGAGAAAGAAAGAGGAAAACAGCTCTCTGGGGAGGAGACCGTCTCTCCTCTTCCTCATGCTTCCTTCTCCATCCGCAGACGCCCGCCCGAGGTCTTATCTCAGCTGTGCTGCTGCTATGTTTGGCTGACGGCCTGCAGGCCGTCTGTTGCAAGAGAGGTTTTACTTACACACACACACACACACACACACACACACACACACACACACACACACACACGTCTCCTTTGCCAACAGCTCTCTTCATTGGCTGCCTCCCGGCTGCACAGGAAGTTCGCTTTTAATGACGGTGTGGGTTGGAGAGGCCTGCATACTGACCGCTCTACCCCTTTGGCAAGCAGGCTCAGGTCAGTGAGAGGCGACGGGGTGGTTAGAAAGACAGCCAAGGAATGTGCTTGGTCCGACAGGACAATGAGAACATTCCCGCAGCAGGCAGAAGCCGTTTTTTCTGGATATTTTGAGGTCAGGAGGAGTGACAGAGCTTGGTCTGTTTCCCTCTCAGGGACTAGAGCTGGCAAGTCACAGCCAGAGGAAGGAAGAAGCGAAAATACTCAGAACTCAAACGATGGTCAACTTCCTTCCCGCTCAGTTCCGCTCATGGGAATGTGGGACCCGTGCCTGCAATTTTTTTTGGCTTTGCTGCCCTTCCTGAAGTCATATCTACTTCTCCAGGGTGGAATGATCTGATTGTCTCCTCCATGCACTACCTGGGCCTGACCTGTTGAACATTCTACCTACCCCTGCAGATTCAGCCCATCTGGACCAAAATATGTCTTGCAAAACAGAAGGGGTCCACTTTGCTTACTTCTTTCTAGAGTTTGTGGAGGCTATTTGTAGCTCAGGACTGAACTGGGGGGTCCTTGGTGCTCTCTGAGCCGGGTGGTTTTCTCGCAGACGTTTCATGACCCAACTAGGGAACGTTATCAGTGATAGAAGGGAATGGGGTTTGTGGAGTTGAGGAGCAGAAGGAGAAAGAAGAAGGAGGAGGAGGACTGTTGTTCTGTGAGACCACAAGGAGATAAGAGACAAAACTGCTTTCATGCAGGGTGTGAACCCAATCAATATTTTTATAGCTTAACCCAGCGACTAAGACCAACCGTAGCTCAGAACATCAAAGCTAAGCTTGATAAGAAAAAATGCATCTTCTTAAAGCCCCGGTTCTTGCCACTGAAAACCCAAATCTCCCTCTACGCAAGTTCCAAAGTCCAGACCATATAACTTGGTTTCCTGATAAGAGAAGAAAGGGAACCGGCGGTTGGCTACAAGGGTCGCCAACTGAACCGGTTGAGGTTCTCCTCCCGTCTCCCATGGAAGAAGAACCTCTTTGAAGAGGCCCTGCTCACTCACCAGCCGGAGGGTCTTCTCTATCCAGGCTGGGCAGCTCCATCTATGACATTCCTCAGCTCTCCTCAAATGCTTGGTGTTGTTCAGACTGTCCCTCTTCCTGCTCCCCAGCTCTACCAGCCTGGGAGACAGCAGCATGCAAATGTACGGAGGGAGCTTCAACAATGGACAGATACCTACCCTCTTTTGCATATCTGTGGTAAAGGTAAAGGGCCAGAGGAAAAACAAAAAGCAGGGCGAAACGTGAGGCGAGAGGAGAGGTATTCCCGAGGTAGAGTCTATCGCAACCTGAAATCCAGTTGCAAGACTTGAGTTTGTCTAGTCTAGTGAAAAGAAGGACCGGCGGGGAGACGATAGCGGTCTTCCAATATTTGATGGGGCTGCCACAAAGAAGAGGGGGGGGGGTCAATGCACCTGAAGGCAGGACAAGAAGCAACGGAGGGAAACCGATCAAGGAGAGAAGCAACCTAGAACTAAGGAGAAACTTCCTGACTGTTAATCAGTGGAACGACCTGCCTCCAGAAGTTGTGAATGCTCCATCACTGGAGGTTTTTAAGAAAGGATTGGACAACCATGTGTCTGAAATGATATAAGGTCTTCTGCTCGAGCAGGGGGTTGGACTAGAAGACCTCTAAAGCCCCTTCCAACTCTGATATTCTATGTTCTAGGCGATCAAGTCAACCCAAGGCCCTTTAAAGCTTCTTGGAGGGAGGGGGAGGTGTCCCTGCAGATCCCCTTTGAATGGGATCCTGAAAGTGGGAGTAAACAAGAAATAGGGGGAGTGGCCATCCTTAAAACCAGTCCAGCTTGGCTGAATCAATTCAGGGAGCCCTGGAATCCTAACTGGAACGGGATGAGGAAGGAAGGAAGGAAGGAAGGAAGGAAGGAAGGAAGGAAGGAAGGAAAGAGAAAGAGGAAGGAAAGAATGAAACCAGAAAGTGAAGGGGAAGAAGGATGAAAAGGAGAAGAAGGAGGTGGAGTAGAAAGAGGAGAAGGAGGAGGAGAGAAGGGAAGGGGAAGGAGAGATAGGTATCTATGTGCTGAAATTCTCTCTCTCTCTCTCTCTCTCTCATCCTCATTTGCATCTCAGTTTTTGAGCCCTTGCTTGTGCCTAACCCTGGAAAACTATTTAGCAGCAACCATCCGTCAGGAGGGAGAGCAAGCGAGGGGTTTTCCCTGGAGGAAACTGCTTTGCATGCCTTATTATCCAGAACCTGTCCGACAGGGCTGTCCACCTCGAATCATGGATGGATACCCTGCGGTATCTTGGCTTGATGTCCAGCTGCATTGGCCATGCGAGAGCAACCTGGGATTTCTTTTTTTGCAGACCCCACGGAACTGTTTGCAGGCCAGAGATCCTAGCACACTGTTCAATCAGACCCGTCTCTCCCCTAATACAGCGGACATCCTGAATGTTAAAAGCGTCCTCATTCTGGATGGGTTTTTAGACCATAGAGCGTAGAATGATAGGACTGGGAGGGACCCGAGAGGTCTTCTAGTCCAACCCCTTAAGGCCTCACCTTAAATTCCTCCTCCTCTTGAAATTCAGCCCCGCCCCCCTGCGCAAATCCCAAAGTTTCTAAGTCCCAGCTCTTTGCGGACAACATCTTAAAATGATATCAAAGTTGACCTTCCTGTAGTTTTCAAAACTCAAAACTCAACGGATCTGAAGGAGACCAGCATTTAAAAGCAGCGTGAAACCAATTGTACGGCTCACATTTAAGTTTCCTGCTTCTGCTGCTGCTATTTAGCTGTTGAGATCAGCAATAAAATTCTGCGGCCAGCAAAAAAAAAGGGGGGGGGGCTCCAGCCTGGCTGCATCCTCTGAAAAGGAAACAGAAATTTTCAAAAGATTTGGGAAGGAAATGCACACCTTTGGGATAAAATGTAAAACAGAAGCACTTTTGAACTTGCCGGCATCTTTGAATTATTTTAATATTGTCCAGCAGGCTAGAGAGCAGAAAACCATGGGTTCTAATCCTGCTTTAGGTAGGAAATTCAACTGGGTGACTTTGGCGTCATCACCAGATGGGTGAGTTCTAGTCCTGCCTCAGCCAGACCAGCTCATCTCACAGACCTGTTGTGAGGAAAACAGGGTGTGTTGGATAAGCGTTGCTTTGTAAAAATAATAAAAGGCAGAATACAAACGAATAATGCATGCGTAATTTTTGAGTCGTTTCATTACAAGATTGGCAGCAAATATGATAGATAGATGGATAGATATAGAGATGGTGTGTTGGATATGTTCACCTTATTTGGAAAAACAAAGGCAAAAGAAAAATTAAATAATTTTTAAAAATGCTCCACGATTGTACACTATTGTATACATCTTACAAGTGTACACCGTCAAATATTAAATATCACCGTTGCATTCCACTGTCCCAAATAAGGGACAAGGAGAATCAAACGATCTGTTGAAAAGAAGCCGGAAGTCATCTGTTTCTTAATTCTGGTTTTCTTTTCCCTCCCCTTTTGGTTTGCCATTGTGTGCAAAATTTTAGTTAAGTATAATTAAAGCTGGGACATAGCAATACTTCCTTTTTGACATGACACCACCCTTTGGGCTACTTTTAACCAAAACGGTCTGCAAACAAGGGACTGGTTGAAAAATGTTTCATACTGCCTTTAAAAGGAACGAGGAAATGACCGGCCAATGGCTTCAATTTGGAATATCAGTTTTTAGTTTCCTGTGGTCAGTGAATAGCTCAAGTTAGAAAAGAAGAAAGAGGAAACAAATTATTTTAATTTAGAGGCAACAAAGAACTAGAAAAGAACTGGGAGAATTTAAGATTCCCAGTTTGGTCTAGCAGTTCCCGGCTCCAAGCTAGTTAGGGGGACTGCAAATTCACTTTGGCCAAGGATGAGGTAAGAAGGCCCCGTTTGTTCCACAAATGGAACGCTGCCGTGTCCATGTTCAAGATGCTTCACAATGCCTAACATTTTTTCTAAAAACCTGTAAAGGTGAAACGAAGTGCACCCGTCAACCCTCCCTTCAATCATCCGTTGATCTGACCGACAAGGCCAAGATCTCAACAGTTTAACCGTTGGGTTCTCCTTGACCACGTCCTGAAACCACCCAAATCATTGACACCTCTATGGTGGGGAACAAATTATGGAGGTTAACCAGATTTTGCATGGAAGTCTTTCCCTCAAACCCTGAATCTTGCTATTAAGTCACTTTTTCACAACTTTGAACGGTCACTAAGGAAAGGGCTGAAGTCAAAGATCTCCAGTGCTTATTTTCCCACTTATAATGACATTGTGGGAGAAGGAGAAACTCTTCCTACTGTCCTCCCCAACGCAGGTCAGTAACCTTTCAAGCTAGAGACCCCCACCCTCTTATCCCCAGCCCAAGTGCAGAGACACCAGCACAGCCGGTTCGTTTTTGTTGAAAAACTTTTAATGGGCCAGTTCTTCTTTGACAGTCAATGGGCAGGTGACCGCCTCAAGCCTTCACGGCGTATTTGCGAGGGGGGTAAAGCCGCTCTTTCCGTTGCTGTTTCTTGGTCTTCAGACCTTCTTCGTGTTTGTTTAGCCTCCTCCGCATGGCGCGTGTCTTCTTGGGACGCAAGTCCAGCGGCTTGTACTTCTTGTTCTGCGGCCAGGAGGAAAAAAGAGAACGTTAACAGCCTGACAAATGTTGGAGGCTCAGAACAAAATGCAGGCAACTGTGGTGCTGAGCATGGCAATATCAGGGACAAACTTCCCAGAGGTTATCCATGGCTACTGCGGATATTAACATATGCCACCTCTTGGAGGGGGGAATTAAGCGCATCATCAGTTTACAATCATTGGGTTCCCACCAGCATCCCAAGTTCCATCTCTCCTGAATGTCCACTGATCCTGATCCAAGTGCCAATTTAGTATTGAAGTTAGCTGACCAGATTCTCATGTATAGCGTTAAGCGAGAAATCTTTTACGCTGCAATATTACAAAGCGCCCCGATTCTTTGCCCCGGACGCCTCTGGGATCAGAAGAAATTGACTTCAATTGGGGTCAATTTTGAGGGTCTGCTACTGTGCTTCTTTCTATTTGGGCCTCTCAAAAACAGCTGCCCGGCCACTGTGGGAAAGGAAGGCTGAGCTACGCAGTATTCCACACACCCCCCCAAAGGCTTATTTGCAACGGGCTGGTGCACACCCATTGGTGCTCAATCATTGCAGACGGCCAGAAACTTAAGAATGACGAATGGATCTGTTAATATTTATCTCTGTGCAAATCAAAGTTATGCTTTGTGCTTGGCCTTTTCATTGTTTCAGACAGTATGCTTATGCGTGATGTAAACACACATCAAAGGGACCTCCATTGTTTGTTTAGACATTCCCAAGGGCTCAAGGAGACTAGCCGGAGGAACCCAGCGCCGTGCCAGGATCTCACCCAAGTTCTGACTCGGCATGACGGGAGCCCCAAATTCCCGTTGCTCAGCAAGACATCTCTTAAGTGAGTTTTGCTCCATTTTTACCCCTTTTCTTGCCGCAGCTATTCAGCAGACTTGGCTTCCCTATTGGCTTTGCTGGCTGGGAAGTCACAAAAAGGGGTCACGTGACCCTGCAGCTAAGCCAGCCTCATATTTATATCACAGTCCCCAAAGGAACTCCATTGGTCGTTTTCTTGGGGCCCAAAAGGAAATCCCGACAAAAAGGAGGCAGGAATCAACGCTTCCGACTCACTTTGTAGAATTTCCTGAGGTTTTCTTTCTGGGTCTGGTTAATGACCGTCAGCACGCGGGCAATGGATTTGCGAACCACCCGGCTGGAAATTAAAAATATACATATATATGAATCAGTCACAGGAGGGAATCAAGGACGAGGTCACAGAAGCAACAAGCAATGCTGGTTTCCCCCCCCCCCCACCTCCCCCAGAACGTTGGAAAATGTTCAACCCCGATAGCGAGTCCAGAGAAGCAGAGGGGAAAACTCACATCTTGGAGAGTTTGGAAGCTGCTCCACCGGTCACCTTGGCAACACGGAGCTGAGACAGTTCCACCTTGAGGTCATCTAGCTGCTTCAACAGCTCTTCCTTCTTCTTCCCTCGCAAGTCACGGGCTTTGATCTTGGCCTAGGGGCAGAAGCACAACTAGCATCAGAGAGCAAAGGGTGGGTGGACAATAACTTTTATTATAAATGCTGCCTTTGCAACGAAAGGAGGGAGCGACCTCCTACATTATGAAGGTGGTGAATAAATTAAATTTTTAAAAAAGAGACCCCCCCCAAAAAAAACTTTTATTTGAAGCTAATGTACAGATATAAAATGACATATAACCTGGAATACAGCAAGGAGTAATTTAAAAAAAAAAAAATAAGATGCAGAATCTGACCAACTTTGGTTATCTAATTCATCTACAGCTTCAGTTTTAACAGTAAACGTTATTTTGACTCACAAAAATATAAATATTCACAAATTAGTTAAGAGACACCCTCCCGCATTCTCATTTTACACCAAAGGACGCAGGTTAAAAGTACTTATGATGATCAGGCCACAGATACATCTGGACTGACATCTGGCCTCGTTGGCACGCTCACAGCAGCACATCCCGGTGCCACCAGACCAGTCTGTTATCTACCCACAAGGGTTGTCCACGTGCTCCACTTGTGAAAAGCCACACCAGGACGAAATCTTTTAAAGCTGGCATCCTAGCAAGCCCCCAAACACGCTTCTCCTACTCCTTTTGGGGTGAGCAGCCAGTTCTCAAGTGATGCTGCAGCCATCCCCAAGCGCGAACCGTGCCCAAAGTTGGCCACTTTTTAAGACTTGTGGACTTCAACTCCCAGCATTCCCCACGCAGCCCCTGCCTAAAAGGCTGGATCCTGTCCAATAAAGCAATCAACACATTCATGTAAAATTGGTTCTTTTTTTTTTTTAAATGGGCAAGCATGGCGTGCAATCCCTGCTTTTGATCTTCCTGGGAGCCCATCTCCAGAGGACTACAAAGCCCATCTAAGCAATGGGCTCATAACCCGGAAGCCTTTCTCTTTCCATTCCCCCCCCCATTGCAAAATCCTTCTATGCCCCGGCGCGGCCTATTCATCCTCCACCCCCATAGCTGCCCTCCCGCCGCCCCTCCATTCCTCGTATGGGGCGGCCCGGCTTCAGCAGCTTTTCCCCCGCCGTCCCCATTTGCAGCCCAGCCCCCCAGAGCCCCTTCTCGGAACGGATGGAACCGGATTCGAACCAATCCCCCTGGCGCCTGCTCACCATCACGGCAACGGGGAGTCGCTGGTACCGCCGAGAAAGGAAAGGACGGAAGCCGGGAAGGAACAGGAAGCGCGCGGGTGGGATCAAACCATGAAAGCAAAGCTGGAGGGGGAACAGACGTCAAGGTTTTTGCCTTCTTCTCTCTCCCCCCTCCAGTTGGATGGTTTAGTCCTTGGGAAATAGTCAAGTTGTCAATCCGCGTTTGCAAACGATTCATCAATTCGGGGATCAAATTATGGAGCCGTTGTAATTATCAGTCAGTGATAGGGGGGAACAGGGGGGGCTGTTAATGATGGGGAGAGAGGGGCGACAACAACGCGTGGCTTTTCTTGATGATTTATTGCAAAGCATGCCAGTTTTGCACAAGTCAAATTAGTGTGCAAAGATCAAACGGGGGACGGGCATTAACGGACCCCTGACAAAAGCCCGCAGCCTGGCTCTGCGATTGCTCCCAGCCTTGGTTTGTCCAAGATAGACTGTCCCTGAAGTTGGAGGTTCTACATCAGGCTTCGGCTCCTGGTGCTTTGGACTGTAGCGAAACCCACAAGGTTTTCTCTATAGGCGTGTGTGTTTGTGTGGATGTGTATATTCGGTGCGTTTGTTAAGGGTTTAGAGGAAAAGGGTTTTCCTAGCCCTACTTGCTTGTTACTCGAGCCTATTATACTGCATTATTTGCTAGATGCGGATGTTACCCGTTTGCCCGGCAAACGTCTGGTTTTGTTAAAATACTTTAATTAAAGTATTTTAACTTTAAACTCTCCTGGTGAACGCGCTTTATTCATTCCATTTATAATTATGCCCGGGAGTCGCATTTTCACCATCATTATTGAATATATATATCTGTATTTATAGAATTTTAGTTTGCTGAGTGAGGTGGGCATTTGTATTTTTATGGCTATACGTATATGTGTGTGTGGTGTATATATATATACACACACACACATAAATGTATACACACATACACATAAATACAGGCACACATACACACGTGTATGTATGTATGTGTGTACACACACACATTGTTTGAACGGGGTTGGACTAGAAGACCTCAAAGGTTCCTTCCAGCTCTGATTGATTTATATGCGTGCATACACACACACACACATTTGCACAACATATTTGCACTTTCCTGAGTGTGAGGTTGGCATTTGTGACAGTTGTGGTTATTGCACATCTATGTCTATGTATGTGTATGTGTGTTTTCACATATGCACGCCCGCCACAAGGCTTTGGTGTCAGAACGGAGCTCGACACGAGGGTCGGGCGTGCATCCACCCGCGGGTGTGAGCGCGCGCCGTGTGTCCCCCCCCCCGCCTGCAAAGCCCGCCGTGCGCTCCGCAGGTAAAGCGTCTACCTCGCCCTGGCCGGCAGGGGTCGCTCGGCCGCCTCCCCCCCCACCTCCCTCCCTCCCGACGGCCGCCCGGGACTTGCTGAGGGCGAGAGCCAGGAGCCGCGCGAGAGGCAGCCGGCTCGGCCAATCGGTGTCCGGCGCGGGGGGCGCACGGCCAATCGGGGAGCCGGCGGGGCGAGGAGGCGGGGCGGGCGAGGCCGTGCCCAGGTTAGGCTGAGGGGGAGGCGCCGCTCCATCCTTCCCTAACCTGGCGCGAGCGGTGAGTCCCCGCCGCTCCGGCCGCTGCCGCCGCTCCCGCCGCCGCCTGGCTGGGCAGCGCCAACGCCGAGAGGGCCGGCCCGCCGCGCTTGCCCCCGACCGGCCCGGCCTCTCGGGAAGGGCCAGCCAAAGGTGGGGAGGGTCGCGGAGAAAAGCGGGAGGGGGGAGACGAGCGAGGGGAGGGGGCGCAGGTCGTTGGCACGGATTGTGGGGGGGGGGTCGAGCGGGGTCGGGGATTTGGGTCGGGGTCTGGGGATTGGGGAGGGTCTGGGCTGCAGAAGCGCCTTGGAGCCATTGGGGAGGGGGCTGGAGGGGCCATTTAGGGGGTGGGCGCCCGTGGGTTGGGGTGCGGGGGGTTCCAAGGTGAATAAGGGGTGCTGCTGCAGGATGCCAAGCCTATGTGCATTGGGTGGATGGGGGATTGGGGGAGAATTTGGGGAGGGGGAGCATTCAGAGGGGAGGGTTTTGGAGGTTGCCTCTGCCAGTGGGGGTGGGTGGGGTGTCATAGGGAGAGGGGTGGCAAGGGGAGCCACCAAGGGGGGGGATGCGAAATGGGGGGGGCTGGTAGATGTTGGGGTCGAAGAAGGCGATTTGGGCCGAGGGGGTCTCCTCTGAAGGTCTGGAAGGACATCCAAGGAAGGTCTTCTCCATCTCCTTCGGTGTCAGCTGACCCCCCCCTCCATGCAAGAAGTGAGGGTCCCCCACCCTGGAGGAAGGCTCGCCTCAAGATGCTGAGGTCTACGCAGAGCAGAAATGGGGTGGGGTGGGGGAGAGTTGACCGTGAAAGGACAGGGGGGCAGATTTGGGGACACGGACCTCTGGCGGAGAAGGGCAGGGCCAGAGAGCTCGGAAGGACCCCCCACCCAAAAGGGAGGGGGACTTGGGTGCCAAGGTAAGGGGGCAGAGGAGAAATGGGGGGCTTCTCTTGAAAGAGGTCACGGAGAGGGGGCTGCCGCTTGAAATGGGTGAGTTGGAGGGCACGGGAAGGTTTTATCGCATATGTCATGTCCAAAATGAAGCTGGTTGTTGGATTTGGGGCAGGGGAGAGCCAGAAGAGATTGTGTTATTCAGAGCAAATGTTGTGGACAATGGCGTGGGGGAGGTCTGCAAAACGGGGCATTCTGGGGGTTCTGGAAGACTGAACAAAAATAAATTTGGGGTGGTGGTGATGGTGGTGCTGAAGATGACTTGAAGATGTTCCAAAAGGATCTAACAGACAATAGAAGACATCAGAAATGGTGATGTGGACTTCCAGTTTTTTGGTGCTGGGGGGGGGGAATGTTGGCTTTTGTGTGTGAATAGGGGAAGGCTCACATCCCCCCCTTCCTGGAGAAACCCTGAGCATTTTGGAGTCCTAAAATTTGGGGGTGGGTGGGCTTTTTGAGTCTCTCGCTCTGCAGACTGTTGCCTGCCTTCGGTGGTGTGCAATTGAAGCATTTTATGATGAAGGTGGCTGGATTGTGCTTGTCTAGTATGTCTGTGTGTGTGTGTGTGCGGGTGTGTGTGTATGGGGGGAATGTCCTTGCTTCTCCCTCTGCCATGTTGCTGTCTTCTCTCTTCTCTCCCCACTTCCCACTCCAGAATCACAATCTTTTTGTAGACCCTCTTCCAAGTTAAATGACATAAGGTTCTCTTCCGTTAAACAAATGTTGTACCTTCCTATTAATCTTGCATCGGTTCCGTGGATATGTTCTCTGTGTCTGTGTGTGTGTGTGGGGGGGGATTGTGTGATGCTTGCTTTGGGGGGGGGGGGAAAGGGAGAGAGAGATTTTCCTGTAGCCTTCCAATTTCTCCCAAGTGTGCGAATTCATCAACAATCAAAGCAAAACACACATAACACCCCTCTTACTTTTAACAAGCGGATTTTGTCAAGGTGTCGACGTTGTTCTGAAGAAAATACACTGCTTTCTGTTTTCATTTGTTGCCTTCATAGTCTTGTTACTACCAGCTTATTCCCCAAGGATATTTATAGTTGGGCCTGTCCTCTTTTTTTTCTCTTCTCTTCCTGCCCTAGAATAGAATTGTACATCTTTGTACAGGAAGTCCTCGACTTACAACAGTTTGTTTAGTGACCATTGAAACTGACAATGGCATTGAAAAAAGCAACTTAGGACCGTTTTTCACAGTTATGACGTTTGCAGCATCCTGGGGGTCCTGTGATCAAAATTCAGACGCTTGGCAACCGGTTCATACTTACGACGGTCGCAGAGTCCCGGGGATCATGTGACCCCCTGTTTGCAACCTTCTAACAAGCAAAGTCCACGGGGAAACCAGATTCAATTAACGACCGGGTTGCAGTGATTCACTTAACGTCGAGGAAGGTTGTAAAATGGGGCCAGGCTCACTTCATAAATATCTCACTGAACGACAGAAAATGTGGGCTCCGTTGTGGTCCTAAGCCGAGGACTTCCTGTATTTCCTAGAAAAGATCTTGATCAGAGATTCTGCCAGATTAGACCCAATGACACCAGGCACGTCTTCTTAATGACTTGCTGTCTTGTAGATCCTTCATGGAGGCACCACTTCCTATTAAGGCTACGATTATTTTAAGAGGTGTTTTTCAAAGAAAGAGGCAGAGTTACGGTTACAGGTGACCTTGATGGAACTCAGTTTCCATCTGATTTGTGGTCTGGGACTGGAAGCCATGTCTTCATTTGCTGCACGTGGAAAGTCTTAACAGAACGACAGAGTTGGAAGGGACCTTGGAGGTCTTCTAGTCCAACCCCCTGCTCAGGCAGAAAGCTCTATATCATTTCAGACCAATGGTTGTCCAATCTCTTCTTAAAAACCTCCAGTGATGGAGCACCCACAACTTCTGGAGGCAAGCTATTCCATCAGTTTATTGCTCTCACCATTAGGAGATTTCTCCTTAGTTTTAAGTTGCTTCTCTCCTTGATTAGTTTCCATCTGTTGCTTCGTGTCCTGCCTTCTGGTGCTTTGGAGAATAGGTTGATCCCCCCTCTTCTTTGTGGCAGCCCCTCAAATATTGGGAGACTGCTATCATGTCACCCCCTGGTCCTTCTCTTCATTACGCTAGACATCCCCAATTCCTGCAGCCTCCTCATCTGTAATGTAATCTAATGAAGAGAAGGACTAGGCATGATAGGATAGCAGTCTTTCAGTACTTGAGGTTCAAATATGGGCTATGAGGAAAAGAATGCTGGAGAATCTATTTTGGGCTTAAAAGGCCAAAAAATATATAAATGGATCTGGCAGAAGGCAGCTCTCTAAATTCTGCACAAGAGGTGTTTGACTTAATAGAATGAATTAGACCTACAATATATTTCCCAACCTTGACAACTTCATGGTGCGTGGACTTCAAGTAGGATTTTTTTTTTAACAGAGATTAATCTCATTTTTTTTTTGTAAAATGTCCTACTTCACCAGTGTCTCTTTTACCCTTGTCGTTGGTTCGGGCTTTTGAATCAGAAGCTTGTGTTCCTTTGGTGTTGAGTTCCATTCGCTCTTCCAGAGGATCAGAAGTTGCTTGAGAAGAATGAAGAGAAATGAATTTGGGATAGTTCTATGTATCCATAGGAATAGATGTATGCTTCCAAAAAAAAGAGACTGGACAGCCATTTGTCCGGAATGGTGTAGGGTTTCCTGCCTGAGCAAGGGGTTGGACTAGATGACCTCCAAGGTCCCTTCCAATATTATTATTATTATTATTGTTATTGTTATTGTTATTATTAGAAAATTAGAAAAAGAAGCAAGATCTTCCAAGCCATAAACTAGTGGTCTATTTATTGGAAAAAAATTTCTCCTTTATGGATCTCCTATGTTCTCTCTGTATGTTTGTATGTATATTGTTGTTGTTGTTAATTGTGAAGTCGTGTCCGACCCATCGCGACCTCATGGACAATGTTCCTCCAGGTCTCCCTGTCCTCTACCATCTTCTGGAGTCCATTTAAGTTCACATCTACTGCTTCATTGTATGTATATATGCGTGTACAAATCTGTATCCATGTATCCATATCAATATATCTATATCCATCTATATCCATCCACCCACCCATAAATGGTGACATATGTGATTGAATTTGCTTAAGACATTTAAGAAGGGACTAAAAGACTAAGAGGCACAACAGACTGAGTTGAAGGCAGATAATTCTGGACTGAATCTTCCCCTCTGCTAGATAAGATAACTTGTTGACACTTATCCCATCAACCCTACCTATCTACCTACCTACCTATCAATCAGAGACTCTAGCTAGACGTTTAGGATCCAAGGCTTGCTTTGCTCCATAAACTGGATATGGTAGTCCACAAAGACTCGGTCAGTTTTTATGGAGTTTTAAGGGCTTCCAATTAGGGATTTATCAAGGCTGTTGGGTTTTTATGCTGTCTTTTTTTTGGGGGGGGGGTGGACTTTCAAAGTGTCTTTATAGTTTCTACTCGCGGTGAAGAAAGCAAATCCAGAACTGGCTGTGGGGCATTTGAGAGGCAACTCCTCTCTCTTTCTCGGGCTCAACTCAAGGCATCACCCTGCTGGGTCAGCCTGCCTGAAAAGGAAGGGGCCTAATGTGGTTGTAACTCGGCCTTTCCGTCAGGTCTCGTTGTTTTCCTAACAGGTTCTTGGCTCCCAGAGGGGTTTTTTTTTTTCCCCGTCTGCAAGATGCTAGATGTAGCCCTGGCACAGTAGATGCTCTCCAGGAACTTGGCTGTTGTAGAAATGCATTTCCTGACTTCTCGAGGTAACGGGGCAGGACTTGGCTATGTACTGGAGCAAAGTTGGCGCGCTGCCACCTGATGTGCGCCGAAGAGGGCTGGCTGCTTTCCCCTGCTTTGTATCCCCGACGGTTCCTGGTTTCCTTTGTCCTCCAGCTTCTCACAAACCTTGGTTGCTTGCGGGAGAAGTGTAATTCCCAGGGGTTCCTCTGCCTACCTGGGGGTTGGTGCCACGGTGCCTTCAGGAGGTGACAGCCTGCCTCACAATTATCAGAGCCTGTTGCTAGCCGTTTGTTCCTCCCCGAGTATCTCTCACCTCTTCAGGTTTACCTTGGCCAGCGATCCTGGTTTAGTTAACCCACTTCATGTTAGGTTGAACAGAGATAGCGGAATTGGCTGTTTGAATGAAGGAAAAGTGTTTATTTCAGTTTTGTTTCTGCTTCTGGACTGCTAATGGGGGAGAAAAAAAAAATGAAACTTTGATTTTAGGTTTGGATGTTTGGAAGGATTTTGACCTGAATGCAGATAGCCCTTTCTTTCTCTCAAGTTTATTTCATTCCGAAGATTAAAATACAAAATCCCAAAAGAGAGAGAGAGAAAAAAATGAATACCATTTCTCGCCAGTTTTTCTAACCTGCCCGTCCTTTGTGTTCCTTCCAGTTCACACCAGTGTGTCTCTGTCAGAAACCGGGCACGCCAGATGGGTCTCTAAGGAGTTGATGGTTGCCGATCCATTCATGAGTTAAGGTAGGTCTTGAAATCCATCTCCTCCACCAGTGTCTTCTTCCCTCCCATTCCTGTATCCCCGCTGCTTTCCTGGTGCTGTGGGCGCTCAGCTAATTTTAAAAACGCTTCCTCTCGTACACATACAATTTTCCACGTGGGTGACGGGAGGAAAATAATTATTAGCATGTTGGATCTTGGTAATTAGAACAACAAGGTCTCTTGTCACCCTCGCACGGTGGCGGTTGCAAACCTCTGACTTCTCCAGGAATAAGGCAGGAAGAGGGGTCCTGCTGTGTGAGGCAGCAATGACTGACAGCTGTCACCCCCCAGGGATCTTAGCCCGTGGTCTTGGTGAGGAGGTGGCATGGACAGTTCCTGGAGGGACCAAATTACGAAGTTCCTCCTTTTAATTTCCGGATGGGAAGGGTGTGGTTAAGACTCGTTGCGCCTAGGAGCAAATTATGAGAAAGTTGGTATGTATTTAATTCTACACGTACTAACTACGGCAAGAATTGTATTTGCCCAACATTGGACAAATGAAAATTTACCAATCGAAGGAGTATTAATGAAGAAAATTTTAGAGTGTGCAGAAATGGACACTTTAAAGATAAAAGAGAAAGAAGACTCCGTGAACTTTAGAACATGGGATAATGTCTATCAATGGCTAGAAACATGAGTTAGAGAGAAAGGAATGTGATATGTAACTCTGAATATCTATTAGTAAGAAGAAGACTGTCGAATGGTTAATGAACATATTGTTTATGATAATTAACTGTTACCTATTATTTCTTGTTAAACACATGAACCCAGACATTGTGCTGTTTGCTAAACATTGAGAATGTTATTTGGAAAAACCCCAACCCTAATCCTAATCTCAATCCCAATCCTACCTCATTCCTAACCCATAAAAACTAATAAAATTTATACCAAAAAAAGAGACTCGTTGCACCAACAGTGCTAAGCTATGATGTCAGTATTTAATACATTAGAGCCCCACAAGATGTTGTTAGTCATCGTGACCTCAGTTAAAGTCTATCCAAGGCTCTCTTCGCCTGACATCAACTAAGTTTGAATGCTGAGTACTGAATGAGGAGGAAAGACCATAATATACATGTTTTGAAGTATAACTCTACTCAGGCCTCGTTTAAGTGGTCCGTGGCTGGTGTTCTGGATTGTGTAGACATGCCACATTGATATATGTTAAAGGGAGAATTGTAAGCTGGCGATTATTTGGGGCTTGTTTTATGGCATGGGCCTACTCCAAGAGTAAATCTTGAGTGAAACACAGCGATAGTAAATCTCTTTTGGTGGCCTCTGTTTTCCCCTTGCTGTAAAAAGCTCAAGAGCCTCGCTCGAAGGCCTTTGATAGGATTAATCTAAATCCTGGAATTGTTTTCTTGTCTGAAGACCAATACTAGGTCCAAATTATATTGACATAAGCTGGAGGAATTTCTTTAGCTTTACAGAGAAGGCGTGGAGGAGAAGAGCCAGCTTCTCCTCCACGCCTTCTATTGCGCCGACAGAATAAAAGGAATGGTGTCTGTAATAGTATCTTTCCGGCCAGCTGTTTCTCTTGGGCACTCTACGAGCAAAAAGCTGGCACCTGTAGTAAAAACAGAGATTTTGCTGTTGGTCACTTGGAAGCGCAAAAGGCAACTGATCTTTGTTGTTTTTTTCCTTTGAAAAGCATTTCGCTTCTCATCCAAGAAGCCGAACTGAAGAAGCTTCTGGGATGAGAAGCGAAATGATTTTCAAAGAAAAGAAAAAAAGAAAGTCCAGTTGCCTTTTGGGGGGGGGAGGGAAGCACCTTTGGGACAACCTAGGACTCTGTTGAGGTCTTGGTGGCTGTTTTCCTTCTGTAAAAAAAGAAAAAAAGCTCCAGCACATTTCCAACAAGGTTTATCAGTGAATGGAATAAAAACTCTAAATAGAGCATCGGGTCTCCTGCTTGAGCAGGGGGTTGGACAAATGGTGCATTGTTGCATATTAGATCCCCATGTGAGAGCTTCTGTTTAGTAGCAACTCCTTTAAACCATTGGTATTTGTGTCCTTCTTCAATACATCAGAAAACCACCCCACTCATTTTCAAAAAGTTGGAAGGAAGATCCAGATTTTGGAGGAGGAAGAAGAAAAAAGTAAGCCATATGTATCTTCAGATAGTCCACCCTTATAGCAAATCAGTTTCATTCATGCTTTCTTAGCCAAAATAACACTATGGCAAAGAAATATGTCTGCAAAATAATATTTTGCTTAATGCAGTACAGAACACTACAGTACAGTACACCACTGCACGCACACCACCGCACGTACAGTACCGCACGTACACCACCGCACATACAGTACTGCACGTACATCACTGCACGTACACCACCGCACGTACAGTACCGCACGTACAGTACTGCACGTACACCACCGCACGTACAGTACCGCACGTACAGCACTGTACGTACAGTACCGCACGTACACCACTGCACGTACAGCACCGCACGTACAGCACCGCATGTACAGTGCCGCACGTACAGTACCACACGTACACAACCACACGTACAGTACCGCACGTACAGCACCGTACGTACAGTACCGTACGTACAGTACCGCACGTACAGTGCCGCACGTACACAACCGCACGTACAGTACCGCACGTACAGCACCGTACGTACAGTACCGCACGCACAGTACTGCACGTACACCACCGCACGTACAGTACCGCACGTACAGCACTGTACGTACAGTACCGCACGTACACCACTGCACGTACAGCACCGCATGTACAGCACCGCACGTACAGTGCCGCACGTACAGTGCCGCACGTACAGTACCACACGTACACAACCACACGTACAGTACCGCACGTACAGCACCGCACGTACAGTACCGTACGTACAGTACCGCACGTACAGTGCCGCACGTACACAACCGCACGTACAGTACCGCACGTACAGCACCGTACGTACAGTACCGCACGTACAGTACTGCACGTACACCACCGCACGTACAGTACCTCACGTACAGCACTGTACGTACAGTACCGCACGTACACCACTGCACGTACAGCACCGCACGTACAGCACCGCACGTACAGTGCCGTACGTACAGTGCCGCACGTACAGTGCCGCACGTACAGTACCGCACGTACAGCACCGCACGTACAGTGCCGCACGTACAGTACCGCACGTACAGTACTGCACGTACACCACTGCACGTACACCACCGCACGTACAGTACCGCACGTGCGGTACTGCACGTACACCACTGCACGTACAGTGCCGCACGCACATTACCGCACATACACCACCGCACGTACAGTGCCGCACGTACGGCACCGACTCACTGATTTGGAAGTGGAGAACTGAAAAGCTTCTATCCATTATCCAAAACATCAAAACTCAGTGGCTGCTTGAATCAGCAATACCTTAACACCAAGTTGTGATCTCCAACGTCTTTTCCTGAAAGTCCTCTCTGTTTCTGTTATACGTTTAGTTTATGGGCTGGGAGTCTCTGTTCTCAATCAATGTCTAAAAAAAATAGTATGAAGAATGCAGCAAATACCTCAAAGGTGCTTGTTTCTTTTTTGAACTATTTTTTTTCCCTTGAAGAAGAAGAACATTTCGCTTATCGCCAGAACTGAATCAGAAGTGAAACAAAGTCCAGTTGCCTTTTGAAAAAGCATCTTTGAGACAGCCATGACCTGGATTGACTGACAATCTCCTTAGTCACTTTGTGCAGCAAATACGCCATATATTTTTTCCAACGTGCCCCGCTTTTCTTGCTTATTAAACTGGAGCTTTGTTACGCCTGGCTGTGTAATCAGGGTTTAATTTCTGGGTAATCCAGCCAATTGTTCCAAAATAGGGGTTTTCGCTTTGGCAGAGTGGAAAGTCCAGCCAGCTTCTGTGTTCTGCTGCTGCAGATCTACCAAAACAAGGCCTCCCCATTTTTTCTGCCTTCCCTGTTTGTTTGTTTTTTCAAATATATTTTAAATATTTTTTTAAAAAAATATATTTTTAAAAAATATATTTAAAGGTAGAATCATGAGAAAGAGATGGGCTATTTCTGGGTGACCGTTGCACGTATGTGTGCTTGGCCAAACTATTTTGTATATCTAGAGCAGGGGATTAGAATTGTGTTCTGGTCCTCTACACACACACACACACACACACACACACACACATACACAAATCGGGAAGACCAGGAAGAAACCAGCACAGAACAAATAGAATTAAAGCTTCTTTTTTTTTTCTCCAGCTGTTTCCAAGAGTTGGGCTAAACCTCACCTTGCCCTCTTCGCTGGGTTTCTGCTATTTTCACTCAACCCAACCCGCCCAATTGTGCTGCTTTTCAAGACTTAAAAATAACAAGGATTTTATTTTGCTTTTCTTCACGCACACCAGCCTGGGCTCTCTTAATTTCTCTTCCCTTGTGTGCGGGGCCTTTTGTGTCTCTGCGCCAAGCCTTTTGGGAGGGTGGCGTGGCAGATTTTTTTTCCTTTCTCTTTTCGGCGACACGGTTCCTCTTGGGAAGTCCCTTCTGGGGTGGGATTAGCCGAAGCTCCCGTGGGCCCACCGCAAAGCTCCCAGGCGTGTTGACGGTTTGCTTTCCGTTCACCTGGGAGGGTGTTTTGGTGTGACAGGCTCCGGTGTCCTCATCTGCCTCCTTGCAAGACAACAAGGGCCGGCTTCACCATCTTAACAACTTGGACTTTGGCTCCCAGCATTTCCCAGCCAGCATGTCCCAAATGAAACATCTGCAAGAAAACCACCAAGCTCAGAGAGAATCAAGGACCCCAAAGTCTTCCTCCTCTCCCTTCTCCTTCTCCTCCTCCTCCTTCTTGTCCTCCTTTTCTATCTTCTCCTTCTCCTTGTCCTTTTCTATCTTCTCCTTGTCCTCCTTTTCTATCTTCTTCTCCTTCTTGTCCTTTTCTATCTTTTCCTTCTCCTTCTTGTCCTCCTTTTCCATCTTCCCCTTCTTGTTCTCCTTTTCTATCTTCTTCTTGTCCTCCTTCTCCTTCTTGTCCTCCTTTTCTATCTTTTCCTTCTCCTTGTCCTCCTTTTCTATCTTCTCCTTCTCCTTCTTGTCCTCCTTCTCCTTCTCTTCTCCTTTTCTATCTTCTTTTTCTCCTTCTTGTCCTCCTTTTCTATCTTCTCCTTCTCCTTCTTGTCCTCCTTTTTTATCTTCTCCTTCTCCGCTCCACACCTAGTTTATGACGGTTTGCAGCGTCCCGGGGTCACGCGATCCCCTTTTTCCCCTTCCGACATGCAGAGTCAATGGGGGAAGCCAAATTCATTTAAGGACCATGTTACTAGCTTAACCCCTGCAGTGAGTCACTTAACAACTGTGGCAAGAAAAATAATAAAACAGGTCAAAGCTCCCTTAATTTAACAAAGGTCTTGCTTAGCAACGGGAAGCTTGTGCTTCATCGCAGGTCAAGGACTGCCTGTATTATTATTTTTTTATATTTGTATAAGTTGGGAGGAAGAGGTTACTTTGTTACACAACTCTAGTGCTGTTTTGATTTCTGAATTTGTTGTTATTTTTAAAATTATGTTTCTGCATAGTTTCCCAGTACACAAAGTAACTCAGTGGCTACTTTATGATTTGTCTTATCTGGATAAATTCAGATAAGTCAGATTGCCGCTAAGGGGTCTTAAATGCCGTCTCCGATGCAGTTCTCCGTCTTTCCTTCACCATCTCTCTGCAAATTCGTTCCTCTGTGCTCTTTTTTAAAAAATAAAATCCTTTCTACCTTTTTCTCATAGTTTTTCCATTTCCCTGGCTGCATCTGGATTATTTTTAGCCTGTCTGCTTCTCTCTCTCTCTCTCTCTCTCTCTCCTCTCCTTCCCACTCCTCAAAATTGTTTTTATGCGTCTGAAGCCAGACTGGCATTCTCCCAGCTTGCTCATTTTTCACTCCTGTGTGTTCTGCTTTACTCTCTCTCTCCATCTGTTTCCTCTTCCAGGGAGGCTTTTTCAGACCACCTGGTTTACTCGCTCTCGCTCCGTCCTGTGGGGTTTCCCACCTTGCCTTCACCTTTCAGTGCCGCGAGGTTTGAAGGTTCAGGAGGCTGAATGAGAAGGGGTCATAAGAACGGGAGGATAGTTGGAGAACTGGGCAAGGAAGGTGTATAAGTCTCCCCCAGGCCCTTTGCGTTTTAATTGGATGGGGTTCCAAATTCAGATTTAGAAGCATTTGAGCGGAGGCTCGCTTCCTTTTAACGGGCTTGGCTGCTGAGCTCGACAGGAGGCTTAAAATCCCATTCAGAGCAAGGAATGCAGGTGTGGTGGGTCAGGTACACAGGTAGCCCTGGAGGCATGACCACAGTGGAGCCCCAAATTTATGCCGCTAAGTGAAACATTTGCTAAGGGAGTTTGCCCCACTTTGCCCCATTTGTTAAGTTAGTAACACGGCTGTGAAGTGAAAATAGCTTCCCCTTTGACTTTGCTGGTCACTGCGACCGTCATAACTATGAACCACTTGCCCAGCGTCTGAATTTTGATCACCTGACCCATGGGGAGGCTGCGACAGTCCTAAGGGTGAAAAACGGTCCTAAGTCACTTTTTTCACTTTGAACGGTCACTAAGTGAACTGTTGTAAGTCGAGGACTTAACCTGCATGTTCAACTCTTTGGCGGTTGCAAATAGAAGGGGAAACACACACACACACACCCCGTCTTTAGCTCTACAAACTGCGAGCTGGTCTCTCCTCCTGCAGATCCTAGTTCCACTTAGACCTCCACGTAGACGAGTCATGCCTGTCTGCCTTCTTCTTTGCACCCAAACAACTCAGGAAGGACCCTGCTCCAGATTTACAATGGGGCAGGCGATCTTGCTTCTGGATCTAAAATCCTCACCTGATCCCTGTTCTCCCTGGAACTACGGAGCGCGTTCCCATCTCAACCAGCCCTGCTGAAAAGCTCCTCACCCAACAGTTTGTTTGGCCTGGAGGTGTCCATCACAACGACTAGGATTTATCCTGGGTGACAGAGCAGGGACTTGTTCATAGGGCATAAATGCATGTAAACCTGGAAGGCTTTTTCAGGGAGGGACTGAAATTTGCTTGGGAACACTTTTTAATGGACATTTTAACAGATGGGGAGGGTGACGATAATGGGGATTTTAGAATCGTCTCCTTTACCCAATAGATTTAAAACGGCGTGTTTTGGAAGAGGCCTTTGCTGCGAAGGATTCCTTCCTTCCACCAGTCTAGAAACTTGTCGTCCTTAATTCCATGATCCTGAGCTGTCAGGCTTTGCTGAATGCCTGTGACAGAAGGGGAAGCCACCGGCTTCCGAATGCGTCTGTGTAACCAGCTTCTGAACTCGTTCCTGTTTATATTTCTGGACGTTTCCTGCTGATGACCTGCTGGCTGGTGGGTTCCTGCAGATTCTGCTCAGTCAGAAAAGCAGGAAAGTGATAGCGGTCTTCCAATATTTGGGGGGCTGCCCCAGAGAAGAGGGGGGTCAACTTACTTTCCAGAGCATCAGAGGGCAGGATAAGAAGCAACGGATGGAAACTCATCAAGGAGAGAAGCGACCTAGAACTTAGCAGGAATTTCCCGACCGTGAGGATTATTAACCAGTGGAACTGCTTGCCTCCAGAAGTTGTGGGTGCTCCATCACTGGAGATCTTTAAGAAGAGACTGGACATCCATTTGTCCTGAATAGTACAGGCAGCCTTCGGCTTACGACCCCCTATTACGACCACCAGATTTATGTTGCTAAGTGAGACCTTTGCCCGTTGAACTTTGCCCCATTTTACAAACTTTCTTGCCACAGTTGTTAAGTGGATCAGTGCAATTATTAACTTTTTCTTTTCCTTTTTTTTTCCTTCTCCAGGACGGAGTTGATCTCGAGCGAAATCATGTCAACCTGTGGGATAGACGATGACATTCCCCAGGGAGAAAGGAAAACGGTCACGGATTTCTGTTACCTGCTGGATAAATCCAAGCAGCTTTTCAACGGCTTGAGGTCAGTCACTTCCAAGCCTATGATTCTACGTTCTATAAGGCATGGGGAGGCTAATATAACCGAAGCATCTCTGAGTACGTCCCTCCAGCTGTCACTTCTCTTCTCCCTGATGGATAAATTGAGATTTTATTTTATTTTTAATTTGCTGTCTTACAGAGATTTGCCCCAGTATGGGCAGAAGCAGTGGCAATCTTACTTCGGCAGGACCTTTGATGTTTACACCAAGCTCTGGAAGTTCCAGCAGCAACATCGGTAAGAGAAAACCATTCCCAGGGCTTGGCTATCTCTCAAAGCAGCCTAATCCTCTCAGCAATTCTACTAAATCACAGGAACCTCAGCGGGCAGGAAATACGGGCAGAAAAGGGCAGAAAACCAAAACACAATAGTTGTGTAAGTCTGGGGGGGGGGGAATCCTCTCCCAATTGGCAGTTAGGCTAAGCTGCCTTTCCTAGCTCATTTAGGCAGAAAATCGGAGTCTCAGAGCATTAACAAAGTAAAACCCAGTAAAGGAGGATATTTGTAGCTCAGAGTTGAAGTGAGGGGTCCTGGGTGCTCTCTGAGCTGAGTGGTTTTCTGGCAGATGTTTCATGACCCAACTAGGTAACATCATCAGTGCTAATGTAAAGAGTACTATATTGGGGACTGGAGGCTAAAACATCTGAAGAATGGCTGCTACAATTGGTTATGTCTAGTTTAATGGGGAAAAAAAGGCCTAGGGGTAACATGATAGCAGTCTTCCAATATTTGAGGGGTTGCCACAAAGAAGAGGAGGGGGGGATTCATCCTATTCTCCAAAGCACCAGAGGGCAGGACAAGAAGGAACGGTTGGAAACTAATCAAGGAGAGGAGCAACCGAGAAATGAGGAGAAATTTCCTAAAGGAATAATTAACCAGTGGAACTTCTTGCCTCCAGAAGTTGTGGGCACTCCATCACTGGAGGCTTTTACGAAGAGCCATTTGTCCAGAGTATTATAGGGTCTCATGAGCAGGGGGTTGGGCTAGAAGACCTCCCAGGGTCCCTTCCAAACTCATCTGTCGTTCTGCTACTTTGGGAAGTCAAATCCGAAAGACTAGTAGAGCAGCCGTGCCTTAACTCAAGTCTGACCTGCGCTTTCCTCTTTCGGTCACCAATGAAGACAAGTCCTGGACAATCGGTACGGCCTGAAGCGCTGGCAGATTGGGGAGATCGCCTCCAAGATTGGGCAGCTTTACTACCACTACTAGTAAGTAGCCACAGGTGCGAAAAGAAAGTTGGGGGACTCCAATTCCGTTCTCTGATCAGAATAGAAAGGAATAATGCTAAGAATCTCCAGTGAGGATTGCACTGGAGGAGAAAATTGTTTGAAGTTGAAAGGAGGAGCTGATCCCACACCTCTTCCCTCCCCAGCCTTCGCACCTCTGAAACCAGCTACCTGAACGAAGCCTTCTCCTTCTATTCTGCGATACGGCAGAGGTCTTACTACTCCCAGGTCAACAAGGAAGACAGGTCAGGCTTGTGAGTTTTTTAAAAAAAGCCAGAAGTGCTTCATTGTCATTGTGGGGACAGGATTGTGTGACCAGTTCTTCTGGGCTTTTGAAGGCCCCTCAGCTGCTGAGATTGGATCTCTAGAACTTAGCACAAGTGTCGCTTTGCCTCCTCTTCGGAGACTATCAACAGTTAGGACTTTTGAGAAGAAAGTCAACCTAACTATGGCAACGGTGTCACTCAACAGTCCTCCTAAGAAGCAAGGACTCGCCTTTTTTTTTCTTTTTTTTGCTAAAGGGTTCCTCTCATCTCCGTCGTCTTCTTTTCACAGGCCCGAGCTAGTGGTGAAGAAATTACGCTATTACGCCCGGTTTATTGTGGTTTGCCTCTTACTCAACAAAATGACTGTGGTCAAAGAACTGGTCAAGGTAAACCTCCTACACTCCAAGTTGTAGCTGGTGGTGTGTCTTAGAGCAGACCTTTGCGAGAAATGTCGGCTTCTTTTCCCAGGAACTATCCGACGAGATTGAAGATTACACCCACCGCTTCAACACCGAAGATCAGGTAGAATGGAATCTCGTCCTGCAAGAAGTGGCTGCTTTCATTGAGGTAAGGACTACAGACGTCCTGCATGGCTGTTTTGTTTTGGTTTTTTTTTTTTTACAAAATATTCCTGTTTCTCCAGGCCCCAAATTCTCATCTGTTGGGGGAACAAAAGAAAAAAAAAAGGTTCTTATTCGGACGTGTGTTTCTCAAGAATTTTTCTCTCTCTGTGGGGCAAACGGAAACCTGGTTTGGTTGGGTGAACGTTACAAAGGGGACCGTCTATAAAATTTGTAACAAGGCTGGGAGGGCAGAGACTTCCCCAGGGACGACACTGGGGGGGAAAGGGGGATTTTTTCCACACTTAACAAACGTTCCAGCATCAAAATGCAGGCGTTTGGCTACTGAAGCCTGTTTGTGGCAGTCGCAGTGTCCCTGGCTCACGTGATCACCCTATGGTAACCTTCCCCGCCGGCTTCCGACTAGCAGAAGTCCCTGGGTATAGCCAGCCTCGCTTAACGACTGCACAGCTCATTTAACAGCTGTGGGGAGAAAGAGGGCAAAACGGGGCAAAAACGTGCCGAGCAACTGCCTCGCTTTAGCAAGGGTAATTTGAGGCTCAGTTGTCGAGTTGGCTGTCCTGACTTCTCCTGCTGTTGTTGCATGTTGTACCCTAAGCTTCATCGGGCCTCGATTCTCCGGACCCTTCACCATCTCGCCTTCTTTCTTTCCAGGCAGACCCGGTGATGGTCTTAAACGACGACAACACGCTGGTGATCCTGTCCAACCGCCTCTCGGAAACGGGAGCCCCACTGCTGGAGCAAGGGATGATCGTGGGGCAGTTAACCCTCGCCGATGCCCTTATCATTGGCAACTGCAACAATCAGGTGGGGGGGAACGCTGTGCATTTCACCCCACACCGCAATAAACAGCGCGGTGTCGGCTGCCATACAGGTAATTCTCGGCTTACGACAGTTCCTTTAGTGACCGTTTGAAGTGACAAGCCAGGCATGACCGTTTGGCAGACTTACGACCGCTGCAGGATCCTCATCGAAATTCGGACGCTCGGACACGGGCTCATGTTTGTGACGGTTGCAGTGGCCTGGGGTCATGCGGTCTCTTCCTCCTGACCAGCATTCTGACCGAATGTCGATCACGTGACCGTGAGGACGCTGCGGCGGTTGTAAGGGTGAAAAAAACACCCCCTCAAGTCACTTTCCTCAGGGCCTTGGCAACTTCGGACACTAAATAAACAGTTGTAAATGGAGGATTATCTGTGTCTTTCCGTTCCGCCAGTCTTCTGGCTTTTTAGACGCAATCCTGTTTCATCAATTTTGTGGGGTAGGTTGTTACGGGCGTTTCACCCTTTCGATGGTGCCTGAGGTTTTTGCGTGGCGCTTAATTGTCTATGCAGAGATTCTCAGCCGTCCAGGTCAAAAGGTGCTTTTTGCAAAGGCAACGGAACTTTTGTCTTTCCATGAAGGCGTTTCGCTTCTCATCCGAGAAGCTTCTTCAGTTCTGTAGAAGCTCCTCGGATGAGAAGCGAATGGTCTTCAAGGAAAAACAAACAAACTGAAGTCCAGTTTCCTTTTGAAACAAGGCAGCTTTGGGACAGACGCTCTCCTCCTGTCTTCTGCTGGCCTTCCACACATCCCTGAATAGTCCATTTTTTTGCGGGAGAGAAACTAGTTTTCAGGGCACTAAGCCTTAACAAGCTCGAGCGACTGCCCAACCTGGTTTAAAATGCCGCCTCGTTTCGCCGGTAGGTGAAGTTTAGCGAGCTGACAGTCGACATGTTCCGGATGCTGCAGGCGCTGGAGAGAGAGCCCATGAACCTCGCCACGCAGATGAACAAGCCGGGGCTGCAGGCAAGTCTTTGGTCTTTATCGTCACGCTCGGTTTTATGGTTTTTTTTTATGCTGTGGATTTTTAATGGAGTCGCCTACACGAGTTGGGTGGCCACGTACATTTGTTTAAACAAAGAAATAAACCCCGTGAAGAAGCTACGATCCTGTATGAAACGCCAGCCAGATCTTTGCGAAAAAATACTCAGAACTTCTTTAAGGAGGCGCGTGTCTGTCTTCCGCAGGAGAGCAGCGAAAAACCAGCCCGAAGAGAAAACCCGCACAAATACTTGTTGTACAAGCCAACTTTCAGCCAGCTCTACACCTTCCTTGCGGCATCATTTAAGGTTTGTGCAGCAGAGGTGAGGCTGGTCCCGTCTTCTGATAGGAGCTTAAATCTCGCCTGTTGCTACTGGAGACAATAATAAGCTCAGTCAGGTCAAGAGATTGTCCAGAGGAGGTGATGGCCACCCTGGATAGGAAGCAGACAGACTGAGGATGTTCCTTAGCTGGGTCATGAAAGGTCTGCTAGAAAACCAACCAGCTCAGAGAGCACCAAGGACCCCACAGTGGGTACAGGTAGACTCTATGATGGGTCTCCAAACTCGGCTCTTTTATGACTCATGGACTTCAGCTCCCAGAATTCTGGGAGTTGAAGTCCAGGAGTCATAAAAGGGCTGAGTTTGAAGACCCCCTGCTCTCTGAGGATTTCACCTTGTTTTACTGAAAGAATTTGCTTGACTTAAGAGAATTTGTTTGGGAGTTGAGGGAGCTGGTTCTGCCATAGCTTTATTTGTTTGGGTTTGGGTTAACCTGTGACAACAGATCTTCAAATATGTCTCTCTTCCCAAATACATCCTTCTTTCCTTCCTTCCTTCCTTCCTTCCTTCCTTCCTTCCTTCCTTCCTTCCTTCCTTCCTTCCTTCCTTCCTTCCTTCTCTCTTCTCAATCCCATCTCCTTCCTTCCTTCCTTCCTTCCTTCCTTCCTTCCTTCCTTCCTTCCTTCCTTCCTTCCTTCTTCTGATCCCTCTTTCAGGAGCTGCCTGCCAATAGCGTCCTGTTGATCTACTTGTCAGCCACCGGTGTCTTCCCTTCAGGTCGTTTGGATAGTGAAGGTACAAATAAAGGAATGCTTCCTTTTGTGAACAGGCCTTGAATTCTCTTTATGTTTCGCGGACGGCAAGGCAGCCTCCACACTAACCCTAAGCCTACTCTCCGGAGAAGCTGATGTTGTCCTTCGTTGGGTGGGTCTTCAACTCTTTGGGCCATGCCTTTCAGAGCCCAGAAGAGCTTAACCCAGTTCTGGTCCTCTCCACTTTCAACACACTCCCTTCGGTGTGCTGTGAAGGCCTCAGCTGGACCTTTTACACCCTACCGGTCAGCGCCATGTCCATTTGTTCTGGCTCTGGAGAAGAAGGGTTAAGAAGCCGCTGAGATGTTCCAGGGCTCCTCATGGAGAACATCTGGTAGGGGGTGGTGAAGCAGAGATGTTCTTCTGGATTGTTGTGGGTCTTTCCACCTAGCCTAGAAAGTATCCAAATCTTATCAGAAATTCTGATGTTTTTCTGCTTTACCTGGCCTGGCTTTTTTTGAACACCCAGTTCAGAGGCAAAACCAGACCTTCAGTAGCTTTCCAACGTGGTCTTGGGGTGTGTGTGGTGGCTGTTTCCTTGTTTGTCATGACAATTCAAGCCCTTTTCACGATTTTGGTAGTTTCCGTCCTCTGATCCTCAGTTTTGTGTCTTTCCTTGGTAAAAAGGACTCTCTTTTGCTTAACCTTCCCTTCCCAAGTCTTCCACCCCCTCCCCTTTTTAAAATTTGCTGCTGAGTCCTTGGAGAAAACCACGTGAAACCAACGAGGATCTCGTGGAATCAGGTCTGCCCCCAACCAAGGGATCCCTCGACGTTGTGCCCACCTCATTCCATCCATTTGAGATTTGCATTCCTTTATAAAATGCATGCTTGTTACATCTTCCTTGCATGAATCATTAACTTTTCCAGAGTCTTCCACTCATTTCTCCCAACAAAACACTATAAAATAATAGTTGGAAAGGTGGTGGGTCCCGTTCTCCCCCCAAATAGCTTTGGAAAAGCTGTTAACAGGATTCAAGGAATGTGTTTTGGTGCTTGGGTCCATTTTGTCTCTTTGCTGGAGCAAGGGGTTGGGCTAGAAGACCTTCAAGGTCCCTTCCAACTCTGTTCTTCTGTTATTTTGTCGTCTGTGTTTTGTGAGCTCTTGTCTCTGATAACTTGATTGACCACCCTCTACGTCTAACTTTGGGGAAGCCTTTGAGATGTCCACCACACTGATTTTTAAGTAGAAGGAGAATTGTTGGACAGCTGAAGGCCATCCAAAGCTTGAGATGCCCTTTCTCAACTCTTAAGTCCAAGTCTTGGAGAAGTTTCTGCTTACCTTGATCTCTGCTTCTTTAGACCGCGATCTAGAGCGCATGTCACGCCAAGCCTTGGTCTGTTAGAAAGCCCCAATAAATCATGTCACGGTTCGACATCACGAAGGAACGTATCCCATGCAGAAGATCCATCTGATCATAGTCATTCCTGGATTTATGGAAGATCAAGAGCTGTTGCGGATAACGTGGCTTTGGCTGTCAGTTAAAAGGGGGCATCGAGTGATTACATTAGATGCCTTCAACTCTTTGCCATCACCTAGACCTCTCTGGGGGACAAGTCCTCGTCAGCTCCTCCAGTGGAGAAAGGGACGTACAGTCCAGTGCCTAACGCTGATTGTTAGAATTGGGTTTCACCTCCAACTTGGGGTGTGAACAAAGTGGTCTCCGTTTGGGTTATTCAAAACATATAGGTAGTCCTCAACTTACCACCACAAATGAGCCTGAAGTGAGAATTTGCCAAGCAAATTGTGCCCCAGTTTTACGACTATTCTTGTCACAATCCTTAAGGGGATCACTGCCATTGTTTCAGTTGTCAAATGAACCCCTTGACTTTGCTTGTCAGGGGGAAATCAGCTGACACCTCTCCCCTGGGACACTGCAACCGTCATAACTTTTGAGTCGGTTGCCAAGTGCCTGAGTTTTATCACGTGACCCTGGGGATGCTGCAAAGGCCATAACTGTGAAATATGGTCCTACATAACTTGGAACGGTCACTAAATGAACTGGTGTAATTGGGGGACTACCTGCATCCTTTCAACCTAACCTGTTGTCACCGTATTTATCCTTTCAAGCTAGCATCCTCTCTTAACGTCCGAACAGTTCGGTGCTTCTCAAACGTGGCAACCTTAAGACAGGTGTTTTCAACGTTTTGGTCAGCAGGACCTCTACAAGCTCCCTCATAATTCTAACTCCTGGAATTGTGCTCCTTATTCTGTGTTTAGTTCACCCCCAAGCCAACTCCTCTCCTGTTCTTGACCCCCCTCCCCATTTGCTCCCTGCAGGTCCCTATGATTTTGGGGGTGTCCTGACCAATAGCAACCGGGACGTCATAAACGGGGACGGGATCCACAAACGGAACCAGTTGTACAAGGAAATGCATTGGTGAGTTGCTTGTTCCTGGGAAGCTGGGCAGTCAGGCCTCCCCCTGTGGTCACTGCTGCGAGACGGACGGCCGTGGACGTCAAATCCTCGACTTAGTGGCCACAATTAGGAGGCCAGAGTTTTCCACCTTCCAAAGCCAGATGGCATTTGATTTGATGATTTGATGACTTTTTTTTCAGCTTGCACCCTGGTGATCTCTACCCTTTCACCAGGAAGCCTCTGTTTGTCATAGTGGATTCGTCGAACAGCGTCGCCTACAAGGTGAGGCTGTTTAGAGTTACTAGTCCTCTTGACCATACTGTGTATAGAATGGCATGAAGAGGCCAAGAGGAGGAAATTAGTCTAACTTTTGAGAAATATTTTCTTGGATCTAGCCTTTAGTCCCAATACTAAAGGGTTCTAGAAGAGAAAACCTGAACTTCTTAGTGTTCTGCACAAAGCATCCATTTTGGAGCAATAATCCAGAAAAAAACAACTGGGTGAGATGAGTTCAAGTCTCAGCTTAGCCTTAATAGCCGGCTGGGTGACTTTGGGCCAATCAGCAGAAGACTGGCAAGAAAAGTCAGGAAATGGGGCAAAACCTGCTAAACAACTGTCTTCCTTAGCAGTAGAAATTTTGATCTTAGTTCGTCGTATGTCAGGGACTACCCTTGTTCCTTTCCCCCCCCTCCCCCCAGGTTTACCACCAGATAAAATTCACAGCCTCCTGCAAAATCATTCCCGCGGGGAGGAATATGCTAAAAAGAAAACTCCCTTGGCAGAAAAAAAAAGCAAATTTTGCTTCTTAGCAGGATCTTCCAATTTCCCGTTGTGTCGTCCATATGATTTCTTGAAGGCACCACGTAAACTTTGTGGGTCCAACCGGTTGAACACATGCTTTTCGTACGCAACTGCCGGTGGTCCCTTTTTATAAGAGCGGAACCGTCTCTCAGATCCCGTTTTCTGCTTCCCTTCCAGAATTTCACCAACTTGTTTGGGCAGCCACTGGTCTGCTTGCTTTCTCCCACCACGTATCCCAAAGCGTTGCAAGGTAGGCGGTCACGCGATGCATGGCAAGCTTCTTTTGGTTGGGAAATTCGACTTACGACAGTTTAGTGGCCGTTCAGAGTTAGAACGGCACTGACCAAAGGGACTTAGGACCGTTTTTCAGACTGATGACTGTCATGGCATCCCCAGGGTCATGTGATCAACTAAACCCCCCCTGTCCCTTGCACAATTCTTGGGACTTTTAATCAGACTGGAGGAGAGAAAACCAGGGAAGAAAACCTGGATGGGAGCCCAGGAATGTAGCTTATTTTGCAGCCGGAGTCCTTAAATTCTTCCGTCGGAATGCAGACTGTCTGGCTGAGTTTTATTAGAGACAGGATGGAATGAAACTCCGGAGGTCCTCCGATCAAAACTCAGCTGGAAAGAAAAAAAACCCAAGTCCTTCTAATAGATAGTCCTCAACTTACCCCAGTTCAAAGTTACAACATCCTTGGAAAAAAGTGACTTGCAGACGTTTTTCATAACGGTCCCGCAATCAAAATTCAGACCCTTGGCCATCGACTCGTATTTATGACGGCCGCAGCGTCCCGGAGGGTCATGTAACTTTGAATGGTGGTAAGTCGAGGAGTGCCCGTATAGGGGGTTGCACCTATAGGGTGTGGGTATTAATGGCTGTCTTATTTCCACCCAAGGATTGGGGTTGATTTGGCGAGACCCCGCTAGCAAATCTTGGTTGGGAGAAAGCGTATTGCCCGGTTTGAGAAGTGTTCGATACCAATTAATTTTCCCACCCGTTTTTCCAGTCCCCATAACGGTAACTGGTGGAGAGGTGTCACTCTCAGAGAGAGACGCCCCTCTACCAGCTTCTTCCCAGCATGAGGTCCAGTCTGGTGACATAATTTGTGACACAGAAAAACTGGTGGTCAGCTGTGAAGGCAGGAGAGAAGCTGGAGACTTCGCCGTTTGGCTGTAGAGGTAAGTTCTCTTCCGTCACTAAGGGGAAGAAAGAAAGAAATCTCGGTGTCCCTGAGAAAAAGGGTGAGAAAATTATGACAAGTAGCCCTCGACTTGGCACGATTCGTTTAGGGACCGTCCGAAGTGACAACGGCGTTGGGAAAAAAAAAAAAAGCATCAACCATGTGACTGCTTTTCGCACAACCATTGCAGCATTCCTGGATGCTTTGCAACTGGCATGGACTTAGGACGGTTGCAGTGTCCCAGGGTCACTTTATCCCCTCTTGGGACCTTAAAAGTCATTCAGTGAACTAAGTGTCGCCAACTTAACAGCTGCAGTGATCGCTTAATAACAGGGACAGGAAAGGTTGTAAAATGGGGCAAAAAACCATCACTTAACAAATGCTCTCATTTATCAACATAAATTTGGGGGTCAGTTGTGGCCGTTAAGTCGAGGGCTACCTGTAGTCCAGAGCAACGCCTCTCAACCTCAGCGGCTTTAAAATGGGTGGACTTCGACTCCCAGAATTCCCTGGCGTGGGAATTCGGGGATTTGAAATCCCCCCCTCCCCATCTTAAAGGCACCAAGGTTGAGAAGCACTGGTCGAGAGTAAGGCCAGAAACGGAATATTCCCCTTTAAACACAAGGACGACAATCACAATACTACACCAAACGGTGAATGACTCCAGCAGAGAGAAAAAAGCCCAGTCCTAAGGCTCTTAACGATCAGTTCATTCAATTGTGTTGATATACTACCGATTTGCAAACGGACTCATGCTGTTGTATAATTCACTCCCAAACACGGGGACGGTAATATGGAAACGACACAGGAAGAAGGATCGTCCTGAAAGCTACCAAGCTCTTATCATAAATGACCCTAACTGAAAAAGTCCTAAATAAAGGTCCTTTTAAACCTCTCAAGGATGGTGGAGAATTCAGGATTCTTCTTTTTCCTCTCTTGAGCTCCTCGTCATTTCTGCTGGGTGCAATGTGAAGGGGTTTGGTTTTTATTGTCTCGTAGATCAATCCCAACGAGGCAGCCTCTTCACTTTCTTCCTGAACAATCCGCTCATGGCATTCCTGTTTGTCTCCGGGTTATCAAGCATGCGCAAAGGACTGTGGGACAAATGTCACGACTACCTTCGGAAAATCAACCGGGATATCGCACAACTCTTGACTCATTCCCGCTCCATAGGTATGCTTGGAAGGAGAATGAGGCGAATGTCTAGCCACCGGTGATATTAGCAACTCGGGGCTAGATCGGATAGCTTGTTCGTTGGCTAGAGCACCGCCACCGTGGTTCAAACGTGGTTCCTCGTTGCTCTGGGAGAAGGTATCAAATGAGGCGGCTTCGAATGGTCATAAATTGAAGAGTGTATTCTAATTTGAGTTTTCTTTTTTTTCTTTCTCCCCTCCTAGACCAGGCCTTTCTCCAGTTTTTTGGAGATGAGTTCCTGCGCTTGCTTCTAACAAGGTTTATTTTCTGCTCAGCCACCATGAGAATGCACAAAATCTTCCGGGTATGGCAATCAACCTTCCTTCCTTCCTTCCTTCCCTCCCTCCCTGCCTTCCTCTCTTCCTTTCCTTTCTTCCTTCCCTCTCCTCTCCTTCCTTCCTTCCTTCCTTCCTTCCTTCCTTCCTTCCTTCCTTCCTTCCTTCCTTCCTTCCTTCCTTCCTTCCTTCCTTCCTTCCTTCCTTCCTTCCACCGAGTTTCAGCTCAGTGTTGTTAGAGGCTTAAAATGTGTTATCGTACAGTGCCATCTCAGTACTCATTGTTAATTGGTTCTGGGATGTCTGATGAGTCCCCAAAACAATGAGTATCAAACACAATTTTCCCATTAGGAATAATATCGTGAGTCATAAAAGCAGCCAACACTGGCAAGTTCTAGCTTGAATAGCAGATAAAAGATGAGCCCTGGGAGAAAAATGTTTGCTCAGAATGCTGTGAGTACCAAATTCGAAGAGTTTCAAAACAGAATGATGCCACTATACTTTGCACCATGCTTTGCACTGGCTGTTTTGGGGTCCCTTCCAGCTGTTATTCTGCCTTCCGCCTTCTGATGTCTTTTTCACAACCGTTTTAATTTTGTGGCTTTTTTTTTCTTATTTTTTTCTCTTTTTTTTTCCAGCAGGAAACCAGGAATTATCCCGAATCGTATCCCCAACTGCCCAGGGATGAAACGGTGGAAAATCCGCACCTCCAAAAGCACATTTTGGAATTGGCTTCAATATTGGATGTCCGAAACGTATTTCTGGAGACCACTCTTGACGATTATTAAAGCGGAGAAATGCACATTCTGGAGACTGCAGGGGTTTTTAACCCTCGCCGCAAAATTCTTTTTTTGAAATGGTGCAGTTTTCTAAATGCGAACATCCACACACACACACAAAAACAAAAAACAACAACAAAACAAAACCCAAGGAATTTACTGGAGTTTTATTTTTGAACTCAACAGGTGTTTTTTTTTCTTTAAAAAAAAACAAGGAAAATGGAAAGGGGGGGGTCGCGCAGCTGTTCCACTCTGCCTGGGTTCAATTTTGATAAACGAACCCTCCTTCGCAAATTTTTACAATTTCAGACTGAAGCAAACTGCTGGGTTTTGAAGCTTTTGATTTGGAAGACGTAGCTGGCCACACTACGACAACACACACACTTACGCATACGCGCGCACACGGGCGCGCACACACACGCTCTCTCTCCTGAGATTGAAATGCAGCCAGTCACTTTTAAGCCCTTGTGTGCAAATTCTTTATTTTTGTACTATTTTTAAAAATTAGAAAGCAAAAAAAAAAAGAGGAAAAAAAAGAGGAGGAGGAGAAAAAAAAATCAGAAAAAAATAATGTTCTGATTCCCCAAAGATTTAAAATGTGAAGGGTGGGACTTTAAACGGTGCAAAGCAGACAGCAATAAGCGTGAATTGAAGTCAATCTCTGTTTCATCAACTCCCTCCCAAAAGAATCCAGCACAGTTGAAGGGATGGTTGTGTAAAACTTAGAAAATGTAGCGCTGTCCGTAAGTTTCTTTTTTTTTTTTGTTTTGAGAAGTCAGCCTTTATTGCACATTGACTAAAGATGCTGGACTTTGTCCCTCAAAATCTAGAATTTTGGCTCCTGGCCCACTATCACGTCGAAAGATTAGCCCTCTTCTTATTATGGAGGACCCTGTGTGCAATTCTCCAGTTTGGGCTCAAGGTCAAAAAAAAGGCCGTCCCTTACTCTGCATGCCACTGTTGTCAGTTCTTGCTGCAATACGGAAGATTCTCTGATGATCCTTCTTCGCAACCCTTCCACCTCAACTTCCAAAAAAAAAAGCTGCTTTCATCCCATTCCTACTTCGATGGGCAGGAGTTCACCCGGTGAAGGAAACAAAGAAGAATCACTGCCTTGCCTCTATGCTCAAGCTGCTCAAAAGACAAAACCCAACAAAAGGAAAGTTCATCAGTGAGCAATGTCTACCTTCCAGGGCTGCTGATAGACAAAGAGGACGAAGAGGACTTGGGGACTGTAAGACCTCAAAGGAAGCTCATAGCGTTGGCTTGATGAACTTTTGGGGAAGAGGTGAGAAGGAGAAATCTGAAAAGGTTTGTGACCTCTTTGGAAGGGGAGGAGAAGAAGACGAGGCAGCCATCCCGAAATGCTCTCCAGCATCTGGCTTTAAGAGGGAGACAACTCAAGAACGGAGATCTATCTTCAAAGCTTTCTTGGAAGAATGCATTTCTTGGCCTCCAATCTGTACCCAGTGACTTGTGCTTGACATAGCTAGAACCACTGTGGTCCTCAAGGACAACGTTTACGCTCGGAGTCCAGCGAAGAAATCCTGTAGGTGGGAAATGCGACAAGATTTAGGAGGAGATCTGAGGAAATAAATCATTCTGTGGGCTTTGTGTCCCATGTGCTGCTGTTTTCAAAGATCCCATCCTGTGCTTTTTTTTTTTCCCCTCTCCCAAAGTATATATGGAAGGAAAATCAGTGTATTTGGACTTAGCCAAGTAGACGGAGTACAGAATTCCACCACTCTTATTATTATTTTTTAAAGGGTGGTGGGGAATCGCCGAGGAAGCATATCCCACCATATATCATGGATTGCTTTTGAAAAGTTGAGAAAGTTACACATGTGATCCTTTGGACAAGGCTGATGGAAGGAATCCCTTCTCTTGGTCTGGATGCCCAAGTGAATATTGTTTTTTTTTATCTCAGCATCTGGTTTTCCAAGGGTCCTACACGCTGCTTTCCAAGTGAGGACACAGCAGCCAGCCCATTAGAAGTAGCCAGGTTGGGATCTGTTGCCCTTCTCAAGAAAGGCAGCCTTGGGAAAGAGAGCAGGAAAGGTGCCTTAGGTCGGGCCTGAAGTGCAATGAAGATGATATTCTAGGTGTTGAGTTTTTCTTTTTTTAATCCGGCCCTTTTAAGGAAGAAAGAAGGAAAGAAAGGAAGGAAGGAAGAAAGGAAAGAGAAAGGAAAGGAGGAAGGAAGGAAGGAGAGAAGAGGGGGAAGGGAAGGAGGCAGTTCTGGATTTGAAATGCCTTCGTTGTTGACTTGGCAATCAAATAAACAGCTTCATCGCAAACTTGTGCTTTTAATAGCGTTAGGCTTGGTCTAGGCGCAGCGCATTTTCTTCTGTGGTGCTTTGTCATTTCCGCCCAGTTTTGTTTGTGGGTGCAGCGGTGTCGTCATGCATCTGCCCTATATATGTGTGTGCTCCGCCTGCCGAGTTGTAAATGTGTAACGTGTGCATGTAAATATGTAGATACCGTATATTTATAAATAAGGAGACCTTGAAATCCTTGGTGTACATTTTTTTTAAAACTATATGTAGTTTCTGAACTGCAAGGTAAGCATCTTTAAGAAACGCTGTTCAGGTTGTCACGAGTCGCCAACCGGACGCCAGGTTGTCCACCCAGATGTTTCAACTCCTTGTTGATGAGTCCCTTTGGTGTCTTTCCAAGTTGACTTTCCATGTGAGGTCCTTCTGGAGAAAGTTGATTAAGACTATTTCTGTTACCACTTCCTAGAAAGCACCTTGGCTGGAGTTAGGCTGGTGTCCCTAGTTACGTGGTGATGACCATCGATGGTGATGGTGGGATTCTGCTGGGGCTCTTGCTCCATCTTTTCCTGAGCATTGTCTGGCTTTGCTCTGCATACGTTTGGAAGGGAGAACTTTATTAGTGTTATCGATCACTGGCCATCCTCCAGATGTAGCCAAAGGGTGGGGAACTTTTAAGTCAACGCGAGGTTTAGGACACCAGTTAAGGACGGCTTATCTTTCTGTATCTGCTGGTACTTGTAGGTGACGAGCATAAAGTTAGGAATAAGGCCTCTACTTGAAAGAGAAGACACTCCCTTTAACCACAAAAGGTTTGTAGTTTTGACATCCCTTTTCTTAAACCGGTGGGCGACACAAGGAACTTAAGTGCCTGATTTTCTGGAGATTGTAACTTCTGCTTTGCCACCAGCCTTGGATGCACTACTAGAAAAACAGATTTCAAGGAAAGGATCTTGCTTTACGCTCCTTAGCGACACCTTGTTATGAGTACATTTGTCTGTCTTTCTGAAGTTTCTGCCTGCAGGGCGTAGATTTCATAGGTGGTCCTTTACAAAACCTAACAAAAGGTTGATGCCGAAAAAGCTAAATAAGAAGGGAAGTAATCTTGAAACGTGGGTATTCTGGTTAGACAGCACTAGAGCAATCTTTTTTTTTTTTTTTCTGTTTTTGAACCATGTCCTCCTCTCTCCTTTGAAAGTAGGACTTGCCTTCGACTTATTACAAAGAATTTGTTGGGAAGAAATGTTGTGAGAATCAGGTCAGTGTCTGCTCATCCTGTAGGCTTTGGGTGAAGAAAGATGGTGGGTGTGGACATCAGAGGGGGAGAGGGATCCGTCCCTCTATTACATTACTGCCCAGACACTTTGATTGTGCTAGTTGCCGAAATTTGTGTTTGCTCCGGTGTCCGTTTTCAGATCACAATTCCACGCTGTCTTTCACCAGGCCCATCAATCAAGAGAGGAGACAGCTGGAAGGCAAAGCTAGATATCCTAACCAAGGTGGGACCAAAGCCTTGTTAAATAGAATGTACATATCTCCCAGGGCTTAAGCACAACAAACCAGCTTTTCTTTCTTTGTCCTGTGGAGGCAGCTAAATAGACATCTGCAGGTATAAAGGGAGAATAAAACAACAACAATGCTTCCAAGGATAAGCAAACAGTAGCTTATTACACTGAAGGAGGTATCTTTGTAGTCATACTTCTTAATATTTATCCATAGTATTCTGATGTGTTCTAGTTCCTTCCTCCCTCCCCTCCTTCCTTCCAAAATATTTTTCTATCCATCTTTTCTTTCCAGTCTAAGCCCTTTGCTCACGTGGGAATATTTGAAGAATGCAGCAAAACGTTTACGGAAATTTAGCCCTCAAGCCTGCTGCACACTTTAAAAAAAAACCCACCATAACCTGTTGTTTCCATTGGCCAATATTTGCTGAGTAATAGCATGAGTTAAGTCAGGTTGAGAATAGATTAATTGAAATCTTAAATTGGCAAGGGACTTTTTTGATTTCATCCTTCAGTTTGTGGATGACTAAATATGGAACCAAGACGGTGCCTACAGCTTAGAGAGAGAGAGAAAATACAGAAAGCGTATTTTTTCCCCAGACACTCTTAAATGTTTGTTCCAGGAGGATAGGATTTGCACTATAATTCAAACCAACTTGCAGAAACTTAAAATGCTAGCATGCGTTTCTCTATTTGAGTCTGGCTAGGGCACCCTATTGCCTTGTGCTTATATCTGCAGCATTTTTCTTTGGTTTCTTTTTTCTTTAAAAAAGAAAAATCAGACTTTTATCTCTCTCTTTTTTAAACAATATGCCTGGTTTTGTTCCTAAAAATGCACCCTGTGTTTGGAAATCGTGATAAACCTTTTGCCTTCTTAGCGGTTAAAAAAAAAAAATCTAGGCAACGCTCGTCTGAAGTGTGACCCGAGTGGTAGGGCACGGACACAACTGTTTTCTCTTAGCATCTCTGCTAAACGGGATGGAAGCACAACTGTTTTTCATTGGCCTAACACTTGTTCCAAGTGCTGCTATTCTGTATGCATGTTGTGATGCTGTACATGATTCCACCTTTGATACTTATCCAGATATTGGTGCCAACTATCCATGTGATGACTTGAGATTTCTATAACATTCCTGGCCTGACCCTCTTTTATTATTTTTCCTCCCCCTTCCCCCATGCTTAGAGTCTTTGAGGCGGGAAGGGGGGGTATTCTGGTTTTCATCCTTGTAAATGGCTCCCCTCCACCCCCTTTAACCTGCCAACAATTAAGGGCACCTGCGCCATAGAGTCCAGTCAATGTGGAAATTGGTTTCCTGTAATCCTTGTACACGTGTGTGTCTCTTTAACGTATTGGAATTATGTAAGCCATATAGCTATTCCTCCATCTTTCCTTTTTCTTTCGAATTTCCTCTCCCCGTCAGTTGGCTGATGTTGATCATTCACGCTGTAGTTTGTGCAGATGTCTTTTTTTTTTTCTTTTCCTAAGGATCCAACTTTTATTTATTTATTTTTTGAACACGATATGGGGCAACTTCTGTAGGGTCTAGGACAGGGGTCTTCAAACTTGGCCCTCTGATGACTTGTGGACGTCAACTCCCAGAATTCTTCAGCCAGGCAATTCTGGGAGTTGACGTCTACAAGTCATCAAAGGGCCAAGTTTGAAGACTGCTTGGTCTAGGACAACTTGCCATTGCCAACTCACCACGGGAGAAGAGTTGCACTAAGTATAGGAGAAAGGGTGGGAAAGAATCATTCAAGGAAATAATGCCAAAGAAGGGACAAAACGAAATGCGAATGACAAGAAATATTTTTAAAATTCTTTTAAATAATGGATTTGGCCCTTGTTGAGTTGACCTTTGGCGAGTTGGCCATGACACGTTGGCCGTGGTGAGTTGTCCCATTCGGACTTCTGTAGACTTCTTTCTATTTGAAAACTTGTGGGAAGGCAATTCCAGCCCATCCGAATTTTTCAGCCTAACGCTGTGATCCTCTAGAGCAGGGGGGTCTTCAAACTTGGCCCTTTGGTGACTTGTGGACTTCAGCTCCCAGAATTCCTTAGCCAGGAATTCTGGGAGTTGAAGTCCACAAGTCACCAAAGGGCCAAGTTTGAAGACCCCCTGCTCTAATCTATGGAAATCTGGCACAGCGTCCAAGGAAACAAAACAACACACTGTCCAGAACCAACCCACGTACCTGCTTTTATGTTGTGTGAACAAGAAGTATGACATATCTGAGGTTTTGCTCTTGGTGTATTGAAGACTTTTTTTTTCATGTCGGTTATGTTCACTTAGAATGTGAATACATTCATTGGTTGTGTACGTGGGTTTTTGTATTGAGCCCCACTCGGATTATATGTATAACCAATATCCAATAAACATATTTGCTTAATGCTGTGTCTGTGAGCCTTAAATCATAAGGTTTGGGGGCCGAGCGGGGAGCGGGACTCCGCCCATCGTGGCTTGCAGACGAGACAGTCTTGCAAACCAGGGTCTAAAAGACCCGGAAGCAGGCTTAAAGCCGGCTCTTCTGCAACCTGGCGCCCTCGCTTAGCGCGCTGTATCAGCCGCGGGCGCCCTAGCCTCCTGAATGGAGAGCGTGACGTAGCGCCGACGCCCCGCCTTTCCCCTTCCACCTCCCTATCACGCGAGGGGGCCCCGGCCACTCCCCTTTGGAAGCCACGCTCCTTTTTTTCTTCTTTGCGTCACTTCCGCCGGCGGTTAAGCTGGCCCAGACGGCGTTTCCGCTTCCGCTCTCGGCCGCGGCGTCTCTGCTGTCAACGATCAGCTGGTGAGTTTCTCTCTTTCGGGGCGTCGTTTGTGAGCCGTTTGCCTTCCCTTTTCGGGGTTGAGGCCCGGTCGGCCGGCCGCTGGGGCTCTCCGGTTGCCGGTGAAAAGGCGAGGCTAGGCCGGCTCGCTTTCTCTCCCTGGGGCGGGGAGGAGGGGGTGGGTGGCTGGGTGGGTTTAAACCGGTGCGCGGATTGTCCAGGCATTACGGTAGCCAGGTCTCTCCAGTTGGAGCACCCCGAGGACTCCCCTTTTGGGTAAATACGGTACTCTACAAACCAGGAAGCCTTAACTAGGGGAAATGGGGGCTCTGAATATATATACAGATATGTATACACATATATGAGGGTTGCTATATTATGTGTATGTGGATTACTGTGTGTGTGTGTGTATATAGTTAAAATGATACACACATATTTGCATAAATGTGTGTGTGTATGTGTGTGCATGCATAGGTATGGTTGTATGTATATGAGGGTTGCTACGTTTGTCTTTAGATGTTTTATGTGTATGTGTGTGTTTGTATAAATATAAGAGAGTTGCTGTTCTTGGAGATATATATATATATATACACACACATATACACACACAGAGACATGTATATGTCTGTATATATACACATATATGAAGGTTGCTATATTATGTATATGTGGGTTACTCTGTGTGTGTGTGTGTATAGAGAGAGAGTTAAACTGCGATACGTACATAAATATGCATAAATGTGTGTGTGTGCATGTATAGGTATGGTTGTATATTTATGAGGGTTGCTATGTTTGTTCTTAGATGTTTTGTGTGTACGTGTGTGTTTATATAAATGTAAGAGAGTTGCTGTTTGTGTGTGTGTGTATATATATATATATATATGCAGACATGTATATGTGTGTATATATACATATATATGAGGGTTGCTATATTATGTGTATGTGGACTACTGTGTGAGTGTGTGTGTGTGTGTGTGTGTGTGTGTGTGTGTAGAGAGAGTTGTCATTTCCTAAGTGTTTAACATTTGGTTTCTGTACCTTATTAAAACACAACTTGATATATATTAATATTTAGCATAGTATGGCAAAAGGACTCCTTGATATGGTTATCTCAAAAGTATTTTGGTCCTGATCAGTATTTCAGTGTGGCAGTATTTAGTGTCGGACAGCTTTTGCAGAGTTGCCAGGGACACAGTGAATTATTCATAGTTGTTTGTATTGGTATCAGGCAGGTAGATAGCCTGAGCTCACGAGAAGCTGTATTGTCTTTATATATGCTTGGGGGAAAGGCTCTCCTTCAGCTGCTGGATCCTGCATTAGTAGGTTTATTTTTGCTGTTTAAACCCTGGTGCACCTAAATGGCAGAATCCCTCTGATATCTCAAACCATCAAAATCAAAGGGGTTGAGAAGGAGCCATCCCACATACAGTAATATCTTCTATATATTCTAATGTTTTTTTGTGATTTTTTTTTTGTCTTAGTCGCTCCCTTGATTTTAACAAACCCTGTTTGTTGTTGTAAAACTGGATCCCTGGTAGATTTTTTTTCATTCTGGTCATAAAGAAATATCCTTTTGTTGTTGTTGTTAACTGTACAGATAGAAACAACCAACTGGAAATTGAAATGTGTAACTTTGGTTAGTTGATAAGAGGACATCACCATCAAGTTTTTATTTAAGCTACGGTAGCTTTGTCTAGTGATTAAGGCACCAGCCTAGAAAGCAGGAGATCATGAGTTCAAGTCCTGTCTTAGCTGTGAAAGCCAGCTGGGTGACTTAGGGCCAGTCGTTCTCTCTTAGCCCAACCCGCCTCACAGGGTCGTCGTTGTGGGAAAAATAGGAGAAGGAAGGTACATTGGATACGTTTGCTGCCTTGAATTACTTGTAAAAATAATAAAGGCAATTATGGAATATTTCCTTGCCCTCAATTAATAGATGTATTCTTTTTAAGCTCTCCTTGCTGAATGTGTATTGCATTAATTTAATATGAGATCCTTCTTAATGTTTTTTTTTCCAGTTGACTGAAATACTTGATTAAGACCAAATAGATTATCAGAGGAACAGTAAAGAATTGGATCCATTTAGAACCCCGGCTGGTGTCATCATTGGCTAAACTGCTTGCAGTCCCTAAAATTCTATTGGGAGGAGGACCACAGACAGAACTATTTTGATTATTCTGTACATAGAGTCGTGGCCTTGAATTGATTCCCCTAAATACCTTTGATCTACGCATGTGTAAATTGTTTTATCCCGTTTCCAAAAATGTCTTTATTTTTAATGTAGCAGCACGATTGGACAATGAGCCCCTTGAGGGAGCAGCACTGATTGAATGGAAGATTCCTGCCGTCCATTGCTGAGGGGCATCTGAGTGGGGGGCTTTTGGTTTCTGCACACCAGGCATCCTAGCTGGAAGAAGATGTTTGCCAAGCTGAAAAAGAAGATTGCTGATGAGGCTGCTACTGCCCCACGGCCCGGAGGGCTTGCCAGGATGCCCAGATCGATCAGCAAAGAATCCGTCACGTCAGCAGGGGCAGATTCAGGGGACGATTTTGTAAGTACCACAGATGGAGTTCAAACAAACCTTTTCAGAGGCCAAAGGTCACTTTAAAAAAAAATAAAAAACTGAGTCTTGTTTGGATAAAGCCCAGAGAATTTATTTATTTTAAAAAAAGACACTTGGAAAATAGCTCATATTACTTATCGTGATGAATGCTTCCTAACATTGGCAAAGGACTTGACTGATCTGTTGAGGATGTTTGTAAAAATATAAAATGGAGGTGGTGAGTTCTAGTCCCACTTTAGGCATTCACACCCACCCCACCCCACCCCACCCCACAGGGCTGTTGCTTTGTGGGCAAAATAGGAGGAGTAAAGATTAGTAGACACATTCACCTGATACCAAATGCAAGAAGGGGAAAAAATCATTTAAAATCTTTTTTGTTACTGATAAAAAGAATAAAGGTGGGATAAAACCAGAAATAAAGGAAAGGGGGGGGATAGGAACCAAACCTGTTCGTCACCATCCTGGGTTGGCCCATTCCAGAAATTAATTTTAATGTCTCTCTCTGTCTTCTGCCTACCAAGCCATCTGATGGAAGCAGCTCCAGAGAAGACCTCTCGTCGCAGCTGTTCCGAAGAAATGAACATATACGGAAGCTAGAAGTCAAGCTATCCGGTATGTTTCTCGCCGTACAGAGGGGATACTGTACTTGCCGTACAAATGCTCTCCTCCATCCCTTTTTCAAATGAATGGCAGTCAGGAATTGTACATCTCTCTGATTTTAAAGCTCCAGTGCTCTTAATGTACGGACATGCGCACGCACAGCTCCCAGCAAATGTTTTATTATGCATTCCGCTCCTACAGGTGGATGCTCTTCCTGCCTACAGCCCACTTTGCCTGTTTGTGGGTTAGATATATATAGGCCAGAGTTTCCTTCCAAAGCTCAAAGCTGGTTTGATGGCCCTCCTACCTTCCCTGTTCTCTCTGCAGCAAGGCTAGTCAAAGGGTGTGAATTGAACAAAGTCCTTCCATGAGTTTCTGAGGCCTCAGTTCTACTCCAGCAGCCTCACTACTATTCTACTTGAGCTCTGTTTCAAAAGTCACACTTTTGACAATATGGTTGCTGCTTTCCTCTTTTGCGACGAAGCGGGTGGTCTCTGGGAGATCCCCCCCCCCCGGAGAATCTGAAAGGCGTCTTTGCCATTTGCTCCACTGGACTGGAAGCTATTTGGAGGAAAAAGAGGCTTTCAAAAGCACCTGTCCCTTTCCTTGCATCCTGGGTAAAAATATTCCTTTTATTGGCCAATTTATTTTGCTTCCGTTCTGTTCTCGTCTGCCTTCATATTTCAAAGGCAATAATGATGGTGATACCTTGTTATTAGCCTGGAGGAAGTTATGATTGTAAGACTATAAAATCATTGTTCCTTTCCATTCATATTTTAAAAGACCGAATTCCCTTCTCTCTCTTTTTGGCCTTTGTCTGTCTGTAACTGGTGCCACCCTGTCTTTCCACTAAGATTACGCCGAACAGGTCCGAAACCTTCAGAAAATCAAGGAGAAGCTTGAAAATGCGTTAGAGACACACCAGGATTGTATGTACCCTTCATTTATCTCCCGTTTGATAAAGCATTAGAAACAGAAGAACAATTTTTAAAATAATATAGCATGGGGCAGCACCGTTCTTGGATATAGAGGCTGTTTATTTGCTGCGCTGCTGTTTATTTAAGTTTCATAAACTACAGGCAGTCATTGCCATATCACGGTTTCATTTAGTGATGGTTTGAATTTACAACAGCCTTGAAAAAAGTGCCTTTTGACTATCTCTCGCATTTACAACTGTTAGGATGGGTGACCAATTCATTTCATAAATAAATAATTCTTATTGGGGGGGAAACCTCATCAGTGTTAGAATACAGATACCTCCTCGTTTAGCAACCGTTTGCAATTCCGATGGTGATGAAAAAGTAACCTCGCCTTCGTGACCTTTCCAGGCCTGTAAAGCCAAGGAAAGCTGACGTCAGATCATCAGCGCGATCCCGCATAAGCGACCGCTTCGTTTAACAGCCGGGTCACCTGTCCCAATTTACGTCGCTAAAGGAGGACTATCTCTCCACATCTTGCCTTTCCCAGCAAAATTTCAGAGAGAGCAGATAGGCGGATAAAAAGGAGTTTTCTGCCACTTAGCAAATACATTATTGGATATAGAGAGCTTAATTCCGGCAAGGCGTCAAGTCTTTCCCAAACAGGCAGAGCTCAGCGTTCCTTCAGCTTTCACTCCATTCACACCTTTTCTGTGGTCTTCCACACAGCCTTTGTGAAGAAGCTCCAGGAGCAGAACGAAATGCACCAGGCCAGCGTAGCCAAGATGGCGGAAGGGATGAGCTTGGCACTGGAGAAGAAAGACCAGGTAGCTTTTCTCTGAAATCCATGTCGTGGCGACAACTCTGCCTTGAAGGTGGTCTAAAACCCTTCAGGAGAGGCAAGAGATTTTCCTGGATTCTCCTGACCTGTCAGAAAGCTCTCTAACCACGGCTGCTGCGTTGGGCTTTATCATTTATCCAACCCAAAATTAGGGAGCTTTGCCCTCTCGTTCGCTTCTGTGTGCTTCAAGTATTATCCCACGGGCATTTGGAAGCTGTTTCATACAGACTTTCAACCATGATGGAGCCCAGAATGTCTGTTGCTAAATTTCTGTCGTTTGGGGCACTGTGTTGTGTAGGGAGAAAAACTTGCCCCTTTCCCCCACTGCTTCAGAATTTCTTGTGGGAGTGCTTCTTCTCTTAAAAAGCTTCCTTCTGAGGAAGATGGGGTGGCGGGGTGTTAAGAAGTATGAAGTATACACAAATAACAACTGGGCCTTTAAGGAAGGAGAGCTGTGATGTCACAAAAGCATCTCCCTCTCGGCTGCTGCTTCTTCATGATGTCAGAGCAGCTGTTTGAGGTTCTTCCCTGTGGATCTTGCTGGTCTCTACCCGGTTCCTTGCTTTGCTTTTCTTGAGCCCTTCCAGGCAGCCCTGCTTCAGTGCCTCTATTGTGCTGGAGCGCAGGGGTAGCCATGTTGATGTTGAGCTGTCCCTTTCTGTTTCCCCAGGAGTGGCGGGAAAAGCTGTCTCATCTGGAAAAGGTGAGGAGCTGGCTTGAAACCAAGGATGAGCAAACACGGGGTTGTCGGTTTCGGGGATCTCCAGAATTAAGGCCTTGGGGGACTCATCCACACTGGGGATGTGGGGAGGCTCAGAGGGGGAACTTTGGGGTCTCTTAAGAGGTGCTGTAGAAAGAAAAAAAATTGCTTTAGGGTGGATGGGGCTCAAAGGGCACTGCTTACAAGTGACCCCCAAGAAAGGGCTATATCAGCTGTGCGTGTCCTTCGGAAATGCCATGTCTTGTAAGGCTGGATTTCCAGATCTTAAACATTCCCCCTGCTTACTGATCTTTCCAAACCTGGTTAAGTTTTGCCCTAAAGTTGAGACTTTCCTTCCTTATTTTTATTTTTATTTATTTTTTATTTCCCCTCCCCATACTTATTGCGCCTTGGCGGCCAAACAGGAGCGGAAACTTCTTTCAGCCCAGTTGCAAGAAATGAGAGAGCAGAGTTTGAATTTATTCCAGAAGAGGGATGAAATTGACGAGCTGGAAGGCTTCCAACAGCAGGAGCTTGCAAAAATCAAGCACATGGTGAGGGTCCCTGTGGGGGTTGGGGCATCTCAGACTGAGTTGCCGAGTTTTCTTCGGGGATGTGGGTTGATGGAGCCCTGGCTTCTGGTCCCAAATGCACCAGGCTCACTCTTAGTATTTCCCCCCCCCCCTATTTTGAATTGTGCCTTCCTTTTTTCCCCACCCCCCTACGGGTGGGCAAACCCTTTCATTCCATCCTGTTTTGCATGTGAGTCCCCATGAAGACTCTATTTGAGAGAGTGGAGCCTTCTCAAAAGACTTGTAAAAATGTCCCACTCAACACAATTTCAGGGGCCCTTGGTGCTCTCTGAGCGTGTGGTTTTCTTGCAGACGTTTCACCACCCAGACTAGGTGACGTCAAGTCTGTGTCAACCTGTGATATCTTTATTCATCATTTATGAATGAATTTATCCGAGTGGCAGGTTTGCTGGGCTGAGAGAATTCCCCCCCCCCCCGTGTTAAGCATCTCAAATTTGAATGGGTTCCCTGTAACCATCATTTACATGCATGATATTAATAATCAGCATTCAGTTAGGAAGAACAGTATGTAATATATATTTTTTTTCATAAGACACTTTTTCTTTTTGACGCCTGTGGTCTTTTTTTCTTTCTTTTAAATATTTTGGTGTTTGCGTTTTAACTTTCTTGGAGTAAACTGTTATTAAAAAAAAAAAAATAAGGGGTCCTTGTAAACATCTAGCTTCTGAAAAAGGAGGAGTCCTTGGCCCGGATGGAGGGAGAGATGAGGTCTTCCACCCAAGAGTTGCTGCAAACACGAGATGAGCTGCAGGCCTCTCGGGATTTGTCCACACGCCTGACCACGGAGGTTCAGGGGCTCCAACAACAGCAGAAGGACCTTATGATGGAAAGGTAGGAGAAGTATCCTCCTGCAGAGAATAGCAACAGCCCTTAGACTTATAGACCGCTTCACAGGGCTTTACAGTCCCTCTCTAAGCGGTTTACAGAGTCAGCATGTTGCCCCCGACAATCTGGGTCCTCGTTTTACCGGCTTCGGAAAGATGGAAGGCTGAGTCAATCTTGAGAATCAAACAGGGTCCCATCTGGAGTCGGTCACCGGGGACCGGAGATTTGGACTTGACTATCTCCTCCAATGGGCCAAGGTGAGAGTGGATCGGCTTGATTCTCACAAAGGAAGGCCAATATGTGTGTCCCAGGACAGTGTTTCAAGACGGTAAAAATAAAGCAATTGTGTTATTTATAGACATTAACTAGATTATATATTTTAGATGTGGCCCAAGACGATTCCTCTTTGCTCTCTCATTCTGGAGGGGGAGAGGACCCCTAAGGATGGGCTCCAGCACAAGTCCAAATCTCTGGTCCCCGGTGACCAACTCCAGATTGGATCCTGTTTTATTCTCTCTCTCTCTCTCTCTCTTGCTGAATGTCTGTCTCTCTCTCTCTCTCTCTCTCTCTCTCTCTCTCTCTCTCTCTCTCTCTCTCTCTCTCTCTCTCTCTCTTGCTGAATGTCTCTCTCTCTCTCTCATGCTGAATGTGTGCTCTCTGGAAAAGCTTTCCTTCTGGCTAGGAACAGGAAAAATATCCAGGCTTTGAGCTTTGACCGAGAAGAGCCGAACTGAAGCTTCTGAATTATGCTCTGTGGGTCAAAGTTTCTCTCCCCGTCTCCGATGCAGGGATGAGCTCCAAAATGCCAGGGCGAGTGCGGAAAACAAGATTACCAGCTTGGAAGAACGGAGCCAAGACTTGCAGTCCTATGTCCAGCGCGTGTCAGTAGATCTGCAGAAGGTCAGTTGCCAAGTTCTGACTACTCTTTCCGTTGAGGGGACACCAAAGAGGGCACGCACACCGCCGCTTGAGCGGGCCCTTCTTACAAAATCCACTTTCCTGCTGGATACGACGCAAAGGAGCACTTCAGTTGACCAACGTTCAGCTCTTGGCCACTCCTCAGTAGAAAGCTGTAGTTCTTTGGGAGGGGTTGTGAAATGTAATGGGCAGGGCTTCTGTTTAATGGGTCTCCCCTCTCTTTCTCACACCCTCTCTGTTGTGAGGACCACAGTGCCAGCTTTGACCAGGTTGGCTAGTTTCAGCAGTAGCTTGAAATCCAGTCGAGGGACAAGAGCTGTGGGTTACTCATCACCCATAAACTAGTGGGTGCTGGCTTCCTTGTATACGGAGTTCAGCCTGTCTTAAAGCATCAGAGTTCCAGGAATAGTTGACGTAGGGGGAGAGGCAGAAATCTTTCCCTCAAGAAGTCCCTCAGCCCAGATGTTCCCGCTTAGATCTCAGGACTTGTTCCTTGAATCTTCTAGGCTCAGCTGGCTGCCTCCAGTGCGGAAAAGAGCCTGCATCTGCTGCAAGGAGAACACAAATCTCTGAAGCTGGAATTTCAAGAGCAAAGGCAAAAGGTAGAGATCTCCAGCCGCAGAATTGGCGACCTCCCCTCCTCCCCCGTAAGGCAGGTTGCCCGACAGTGGCGGACGGGATGCCAAGCCTCTCGCCTGTGTGTTCAAACAGATGGCTGTCCAGGTGGAGGAGAAGAGCCAGCTGGTGGGTCAGCTGCAAGAGAAAGTGGCCACCTTGGAGAAGCAACTGGAAGGAAGCCTCTCCGGGGACGAACACTTTCAGCAGCTGTTCAGAGAGGTGAGCAGAGACAGACTGGGGCAGCAGGAAGAGGTCGACTGTGAGAGTTTGATGAGCCTTGATTGCTCAAACCTCACAGAGTTTAATTCCAGCCAGTCTGTGAAAGGCAGGAGCCTGTTAGGCAGAGGTGCAAGTGAGCCTCAGAGAGAAGTGAGCTCAAGTCAGCCTTGAGGCAGAGATTGCAAGTGGACGCAGTTGAAGAGGGGTAACCAACAGGGTAACCAACCTCCCTCTCCTTCCTTCCTTCCTTCCCTCCTTCCTTCCTTCCTTCCTTCCTTCCTCCCTCCCTCCCTCCCTCCCTCCCTTCCTTCCTTCCTTCCTTCCCTCTCTAGAAAAGTGCTCTAGAGCAGAGCCTAGAAGACACTCGACAAGAGCTCCTGACAGCCCAAACCGGTCACAAGGAGAGCCTAAACCTCCTGGAAACTCAGGTAAGACCACGCAGAATCGACCTGGCCACTCTTGAGAGTGTTGATGGGCAGGAGATCCCATCCCCTGTTTCTGGGGGGAATTCTCCCCTCGGCAAAGGCGAGAGATGAATTTTGAAGAGGAAGTCTTGAGTGCCGCTCGTTTGCTCCGGAGATATTCGGAGTCGCGTTTGGATCCCCGCAGGCCAATGCAATCCTCAGTTTATCATCTGACTGCAATTTTTTTTTCTCTCTTGAAACTGGGGTTATGACACACACACACAAAAAAAGCCCATTGCGGACAAAGGATTTGCTGAACAACTGCTGCCCAAAAAAGGTCGTAAAATCGGGCAGCTGAATGACCGGCGTGACTTAACAACCATAATGACGGTCATAAGTCGGGGAGGCTTCGGGGGCTGGAGGCGAGAACTCGGATACGAGAGCTGCTTCTACTCGCTTTCCTTGTCCATCTCACCTGGAGCCGCAGCCACCCTCCCGGGAGGGGCAGGGGCAGCCCCTCCCCTCTTCCTTGAGCTGAGGCTCACCTGCCGGATGTCTGTCGCCCTCCAGATCGACCAGCTGAATGGCAGGCTGGCCACGGAAGAGGCGGGCCTGAGAGCCAAAGAGGAATCCCTCCGCAGTCTCCAGGCGAGCGCGTCCCGGCAGGTGAGCGCTTCCCCGGGACCCTGGTGGGCGGGGCGGGAGGAGGGAGGGAGGGAGGGAGGGAAGGAGCAGGGAGCAAAGAAAGAACGGCCTCCCCTTCTTTCAGCAGCAGGATTGGGAGCAAGCCCTTCAGCTCGCCAAGGAGGCCCTGGCCAAGAGCCAAGATGAGCTCAGGGAGAAAGAATCGCAGCTCCAAAAGCTGGTAAGAGCCCAACTTTCCATTTCTGGTAACGTTGCTCACGGAAAGAAGCAACGGGGATTTTGTCTCAGCCTGAAGTTGAATAATCCACGGGGGTTATTCAGGGAGGCTCAGGGACCGGTTTTGTTCCAAGTCTTCCACGAAACCTGGCTTTCTTTCTCATTGCCTTGGTTTCCTTCTCAGCAGTTATGCACCTCATGGAGTGCTAGAGTTACCCCTTCCTTCCTTCCTTCCTTCCTTCCTTCCTTCCTTCCTTCCTTCCTTCCTTCCTTCCTTCCTTCCTTCCTTTCTTCCTTCTCTTCTCTTCTCTCTCTTCTTCTTTATTTCTTTCCTTCCTTTCTCCCCTCCCTCCTTCCTTTCTCCCTTCCCTTTCTCCCTTCCCTCCTTCCTTTCTCCCTTTCTTTCTTTCTTTCTTTCTTTCTTTCTTTCTTTCTTTCTTTCTTTCTTTCTTTCTTTCTTTCTTTCTTTCTTTCTCTTTTTCTTCTCCCTTTCCCTTCCCCCATTTAACACCTTTCTTTCTGCCTTCTCTTCCTCTCCTCTCATTAGCAAGTGGATCTGGAGTCGGAGCGGGCCAAATCCCGGGAAGATCTCTCTTCCATGCAGTCTCAGTGGACGGACCAAGTGAAGCAGCTAGAAAAGCAGGTTTCTGCCCTTGAATCTGCCCAGACACTGGAAAGGGAGGCTGCCCAGCGAGAGTCTGTGAGTGCGCCTTCTCTTCTTGGTTTTCTGGCTGAGTCAGTTTCAAAGCTCTCTCTGTGTCTACTCTCCCCCCACCCCCGTCCCCCATCATCACCGTTGAGTAGGTTTTGATGGTGTGGAGTAAGGCTAAGAGTCCGGAAAGGCCTCCTCTCCAGACTTTTTCTCAAAAGCTTTAGCTTTTGGTGAGCGCAGTCTTCCGTCTTTCAAGCCCGGGGACAGCACGAAGAGTGCAGATTCTCTTCCTCCAGCCATTTGTGTGTGTTCCTCTTCCTGTGCAGGGTCGGCTGGAGAAAGAAAACGCCAAACTTAAAGACATATGTGGAGATCTAGAAAACTCCTTAAGGCAACAAGTGTCTGAATTGGAAAGAGTCAAGGTGGGAACCAAGATTTGTAATCATTGTGGGGCTGTGTCCAGCGTGCCAGCAGGAATCATGCCTTTTGGGGTCATTAACCCCAAGCCCTTTAAGTGCTACTTTCATTGTCCACCTCTAGAGAGAGAATCTATCATTGGATAAGAATATCAGTTGTTTGAGGACTGAAGATCAACATTCACTCACCCATTTATCCCTCTGTCTGTCCACCCCTTCTTCCCCTTCTCCCTCCCTTTCTTTCTCTCTGTCTCTGTCTGTCTCTGTCTGTCTGTCTGTCTTCATTCCTCACAATCGAAGCCAAAAACTGGATTCCCCTCCCCTGAGCACATAGTATCCAAGCACAAGTCCCTCCTCTAATTAACAGTCATAAGTCACATTCTCCAATTAGTTTGAAATGCAGGCTTTCCCTCCAGTTCTCGGCCAATTCTTATCGTCTCTTATTTCAGTAACCTTGGTTCACACAGGCTAGCTATAGTATTGTTATATCTAGCTAAACTCTCATGCACATTCCTCCCCCCCCCCAGCATCATCTAACTCTAACTCTAAGAATAAAACATAAGAAGAAAATGGTTGCATCTCCATCTGTTGTCAAAGCAAAAACATCCGATGTTAGCAGTGTTGACACCTCTGCCTTCTAACCCCAGAATTCTCGCTCCTTGGCAGGCGCAACTGAGCAGCCACACGGAGGTCATCCAAACTTTGGAAGAGACTTGGAAACAGAGCGAGTCGCTGCAAGAGCAGGTAGGCAGTGTCTCCTGGCTTGGAGGCAGCCATTGAGTCCAGATTGCTGGTCTTTGGAAGGCTGAATGTGGAACTAACCCAGTTTGCACCACACAAGTCTTTTTGATAGAGTTGTCCCATCGCCAGACTAGAGGTTGGGCTGTTGGTAGGAAGCCGAGAAGGGTCTTCGTTATGCCATGGTTTCATCTTGGTTGCTATGATGAGTCACAGCAGCCTAGATCCTATGGCAGAGGAGAACTTAAAACTCGCTCTTCTTCTCTTGCTTAGTTGCTCTTGTACGGGTGTCTGGCACCCGGAAGCACCCGAGGGAGGTTTGAAATAAAGAGGAGGGTGCAAGGGAAAAAGAGAAGAGCTGGTTTCTAAGGGCGGGTTCTAGCCAGACATAGCAACAGTGCTTAGAGTGGCACCCCATTCTGACGACTGATGGATCTTTTCTTCCGGTCAGGTGGCAGATCTGACCTTGTCCTTGCAGGAGAAGGAGCAACAGATGGCCGCCAAAACAGACAGCCTCCTGAAAAGGGAGGAAGAGGCAAAATCCTTAAGGCAAGGTGAGACCATGGAGGGAATTTTATTGATCCCCTCAAAATCTGCCTTTTTATGTGCCTGCCTTCCCACTTCCATGGAGCTCCACTTTAGCCTGCAGTGTTGAGCATTATAGTTCAGGTTTTAAATTTGTGAACATCTTAAATTGGAGGTGGTCCTTACTGTTGACTAGTGATGGTGGTGTATCTCTCTCTCTCTCTCTCTCTCTCTCTCTCTCTCTCTCTCTCTCTGTGTGTGTGTGTGTGTGTGTAGTGGAATCAAATGTATGTTGTGGAATCAAATGAATAAAGCTCACCGCAGTAACTATTTATTCAGCACACACTGGAGGAATTTCCTCAAACAAAAGAATGCGCTCATATTTATAAATTTCAGGAAAGGAGGAGAAAATAGTAGTCCTAAATATGCAGGGACAATAGATAATGTAAGCATAAATATTCATAAGCAGCAAATCTTAAGGGACATCCCCACCATCTACAGTTACTGTCCGTAAGGAAGAGTTAAACTAGATGTCCTGAAGATGAATGGCTTTCTTTTTCCCACCTTGATGGGAGCCCAGAAGTAGCTTCTCCCCAACAAGGTCTGTGCCTTTTTCCACAGGTCATGACCTGCTTTTGCTGCAGATGCACCAGTTGCAGTCCAGCCTGGATTCATGCAAGGGCCAGGCTGCGGAGAGGGAAGCAGCACTGCAAGAACAGCTGCGAGTCCTCCAGATGCAGCTGCAGGAACAGCAAGAACGCCTCTTAGCCAGCGAGAAGCAAGTGAGCGAATTTAATCCTGCCTGTACCTTTAAACAGGCTGAAGGGATCTGGAGGGCAGGCAGGGCTCAGATCCTGTCGGAATGCAGCAGAAGGAAAGTTTGAGAGCAACTGGCTTTGGTGTCCCGCTTGGAGGATTCCCAGAAGCATTTAAATGAGTGCTTCTCAACCTTGGCAGGCCTTAAGAGATGTCTGTGGACTTCAGCTCCCAGAATCCTCCAGCCGGCATGCTGTATCGCAAATCGCACACACACTCTAACTGACCCACTCTGCATGTTGTGCCATACGCGTGTCAAGAGGTTGCCTTTTTTAAAATAAATTTAGAATGACTGAACTCTTCTGTTCTTTCTTGAGGGCCAGGCTGCTGTGTTGGAACTCGCATCCATGGCTTTGGAAGACCACTTGCACCTTTCTGAAGATGGAGAGGCAGAGCCCAACGGAGAACTGGTTTCCTCAGATGCCGTCCGACTCCAGAAGGAGAACCGAGATCTCGAACAGCAGATAGTGGAAAAAAACAAGGTGAAGACTGGGTTGGCCTTTTTCTGCTCCATCTCTGATGATCTAGTCCAGGGGTGTTCAGACTTGGTCACTTGAAGACTTGTGGACTTCAACTCCCAGTAGTAGCTTTTGGGGGGAAGGGGAGTGTTTGTTTGCACATTTGGGGGACTCAAGATCCTCTTTCCCTCCCCCCCCCTCTCTCTAGATGATCAAACAGCTTCAGCAGAGAATGGCAGAGCTTAAAAAGACCTTGCAGAAAGAACTTGTGAGTGTTGACTCTTCTGCGTAAAATTTATCCTCACCCCACTGGTGTCCTGTTTTTTATGCTTCAGCGTCCTCCCTTTGGGCTTCTCTTCAGCAGCCCTGCACCCATCATCCCCAGCGGCCTGTTTCACTTAGCCACAGAAACGTTTAGCTCAATTGTACTCGTAAGTTGAGGACTACTTCTACACACGTCGTTAATTCTCTTGCACGGTTTGTGTAGATTTGATAACTCTGGAGGCTTTTTTCTCGGTGCAGGGTTTGATAGCCTAGGATCCTAATATTGAAAAAAAAACCCTCTGAAGACCCCTGTAAATGAGGCAGTTCTTTGCACAATGCTCGGCTCCCTCTTGCTTTGCCACCCACTCTCTATTTTTCCTCCCTGTTTCAGAAAATTCGACCTGATGGTGAAGTCCCCGAAGCGCCCACGGCTGGTTTGACTGTAACAAACAACTGCGATCTGAGCGATTCCCGAGAGGTCAACTTCGAGTATTTGAAGCATGTGGTGCTAAAATTCATGTCCTGCCGGGAATCGGAGGTAAACGGGGAAATATATATATATATATTGATGATCTTAATTTACTTTCATGGCTTTGGGCAGGAGGATTCTGTTCAGGGTATGGATTTCCTACCTTTTGCAGGGTCTTATCCTTTAGTAATCCTTTCTCACTTCCTTTAAAGCAGGGATCTTCAAACTTGGCTCTTTTATGACTCCTGGACTTCAACTCCCAGAATTCCTCAGCCAGGCACGCTGCTGGCTGAGGAATTCTGGGAGTTGAAGTCCAGGAGTCATAAAAGGGCCAGGTTTGAAGACCCCTGCTTTAAAGTGAGACAAAGACCAATAAAGGTAAGAAAAATTGGTTATTTACTTTGACAAAGTACCTCTATTATAAATGTAGACCATATCTCAAATTTGGGAGGTTAGTAAGTAAGGTTAGAGATTGAAAGACAATTACGCTTTTAAATTTTGGCACATTTGTTATTGATAGCCATGAAAAATAAACCCCAATCTCCTGCTGGGAATTCAGAAAGGAAATTGATTTTAGTTTTACTGCGAAGTGTCAGTCCTTTCTGGTCAGCTGCCCCTCGCTTTCTCCAGCAATCCAATTTACATTGTCTAAAATGTTCCATTTTGGTAACTTGGTCTCCCCTCCTGTGGCGTTTCAGGCACTCCATTTGATCAAGGCTTTGTCTGTGTTGCTCAGCTTCTCCCCGGAGGAAGAAAACATGGTCAAGGAAACCTTGGAGTATAAGGTAACGGCCCACCGGTGCCCCTTCCCCCCTTGGACAGCTCCGAAGCGAACGAGGGCGGACATCCCATCACCCCACCAATAAGCAGGCGTGAGCTTCAGAAAAAAAACATCAGCATCCTGGCCTAATTTGGGGGCTCTCCATTTCAGATGTCTTGGTTCGGCTCCAAGCCACTTCCCAGAGGGACCGTCCGGCCGTCCATCTCCAACCCAGGGACAATGTGGTCCTGAAGCTCTTCCGGGATGTCCTGCTCCCTTCCCGCTGGTTGATGGGTTGTGTGGGTTGCTTTTTATTTTTTTTTCTTCCCCCCTTATGAAAAAATGCACCTTGACAACAGCCGTGTCGATGGCGGTGACCCCAGGGGGGGGGAACAGGTTTACAAAGCTGACCCGTAAAAGGTTTTTTTTTGCGATGCACAGCAGGGATCTATGAAGTCGTTCCCTCGTTTCCGCTGGTGTGTAACCCTCGGCAGGACGAGAAGCCATTTTGCCTTCTCGGATACACGCCAAGCCCACCGCTTGTTAACACTACATCACCAAGGATTGCTAACTGGCTCAGGGGAGGCTGCAGGCAGTTTGGGGGAACTAGCTCTAGATAGCCTTCCACAGAGTGATCCAGCTTTTATTTTTATTTATTTTTTCTTAAAAACGGTTTTAAACAGGCCTTCGTGGCACTCTAGCTTTTTTTAAAAAACAGATGTAAGGAGGCAAGGGGAAGCATTTTAGCCACCTAATTTGCAAAACCGGAAACCGTAGATTGGGTGGGGCGCTAAAAATCACAAAACCCCTTTGACAGGTGGGCGTGTGGCTGGGTAGGGAGTGGTTAGACAGGCTGATTGCAGCCGCTCTCCTCCTGAGCCGAAAGCAAGCGTGGACATTTAAACCTGTATAGCTTTTTTTTTTAAAACAACAACAAATGGGTACATTCACATCCTGGGACACCCCAGGCTTGTTTGAACTCAAGAGCAGTGTTTTTTCCCCCCCCTAAATCCGACTGAAGCCAGGCCTTTAGCTAAGAAAACTGCAAATTTTAATTTTTTTTTTTACTATTTAGAGACTGGTGCAGCAGGACCCTCTTTGGGAAATCCCCCCCCCCACTAATTGCAGTTCCACACCACTTATTTCCTGCGCTTTGGTGAGCAGCAGTATTTTTTTACCAGCTCGGCCGTCTTTCGATTCGGAATGAAATGGGGGAACCCTCCAAAAGAAGCTCGCAAGAGCCTTTTCTTTCCCATCGTAAGCTGGCAGTGCGAGACTCGAGAATCGTAGCAACTAATGCACTTTTTCTGGCCATGTGTCTATATAAGAAAGCCTGGGTGGGCCACTCATTCTGTGTACATAATGAACTCTTTGGCGATGGATGTGGATGGCTTGAGTGAGACCTAATTTGCGGTGCAATACATTATTATTTCTTTTTTGGAATTAACCCTGGAGGCGAGATTCTTGACCTTCGCGCTTGCTCTTTCCATGGGACACCTTCAGGACTAGGAATCCTGCTGGGGGCCTCTCCTGGATGCCTAGATTGACGGGGGTGGGTGGGGTGGGGGGGCTCCTCGGGAAAGGAAACTAACTTCTTCAACTTGTTGGGGGGGAAAGGCTAAGGAAAAGCCACCCTCTTCGAATCTATCTGTTCTTTCTCTGCTCTTGTTGCAAAAGGATTTATTTCAACTTCAGAGAGAGAAAGAGAGATCGATCACCTATCGATCTACCTTACTGCACTGGTAGGCTTATAAAATCACAACGGAGGGCTGCGTGACAGCGTGAGACAGTCTCTCGTTGTCCTCCTTCCAGCACTATTGTGCCAGCACCACCTGACTCTGTGCTGCTTCCCTAAGATCAGGGCTATTGTAATCCTACCTGGCTTTGTTTAAAAAACTTTATGGGGTTGTTGAGTCATTGCGGGAAACAGGCTGCTGGAAACCCATCCAGGCTTTTTGATCTGAAAGGCCAGCCGCCCGATCAAAAACACGACGCTCCCACATTCAAAACAGTCGGGGCGGCCCCATCCAGTTTCAAAACTGATTTGAAAAACTAAAGAGAGCAAATGCTAATTGAAGAAGGAATGCAGAAGAGAACTGGCCCCTCTCCCAGCTTAGCCACATATTTGCCGTGATGGCAGAAAGCAGTCCGGGAGTTTGGGACGGAGGATATAAACCATTACAGTACAAATAAAACACGTTTTTCCTTGACAAAGAACTGAGGGCAGCCATCTGTTTTGAGTGCCTGCCCTCCCTGTGTTAAACAAGCCTTGGATTCCTGCCTCGGTCCAAAGCTGTGCTTTGTTTAAACCTAGCAAACCTGGTTCCCTAGGCACAGAAGCAAATAGAGATGGATTTTTTGGGGGGGAAAAGCGAGGTGTGGCTGTTTGTTTTCACCTGCATCTTCTCCAAGCGGGATATAAGGAACTCATTGGGTCTCTCTTTATGGAAGACAGAGTCATCAGCCAGAGCTGGTTTAAACTAACCCTCCAAGAACTTTATTTGAATTAAAGAGCAGCAGGCACTTTACAAGAAACCGACATCCGCGCCGAGCCCAGCAATTCTTAAACTATGTACAAAAAAAGGCCCACTGGCTTAACAACGCCTTCCTTCCCTTTAACACCCCCAAACCGGGCCGACGTTTTGCTTCTCACACCGGAGCTACCATCCCCTCCCCACGCCACCCTCCCCGGACACCGCAAACATGTGCTGACGTTTAAATTAAAGTTTCACACACATACACACGCACACACATACAGCGGGCCAGAGCAGCAACGGCAGCCACAAATTCTCCCCCTCCCGGCTGCGAGTCCAGTCAGTCGGAAAACGAGGACATCCGTTTCTTCCTGCGCCTCCAGGGGAAAGAGAAGAGATTGCTTCCTTCTCCCGATTGCGTTTCGGTGGGAGGGTGCCGGTCCCGGAGGAGTAACCAAAATGTGGAGGCTCTTCCCGGCTCCCAAAGTCGTTCTTGGCGTTCTCGGGTCAAGGGACCCCGGCTTTTTAGACCGTCTTCCGCGCGGTGAGAACCCTGACTATTGAGCCGAGTCCTCCTATTGCCAGTGCCTGAGAGGGCGAGAGAAAACGGGAAATTAACAGCTGCGGCACGTTGGCCTGGCTCCCCCACATATAATCCCTCTAGCAAAATTCACACGTGCTTTTAGACTTCCTGTGCAGCTGCCTTTGGCTAGGACGTCCCCCTGAGGGAGCGATAGGCGGTTATTTAAGGACTGCGCGTGTTGCCCCTTGCACTGTCATGCTGCTCTATAGGCGTGTTTACGTATTAAAGGGGTGCAGCCCCCCGTGAAGACAAAATGATAGCTGCCTCTGAAAAGATAAGCCAGGGGAAAGCAGGGCCCGGCTGTCTGCCATTCGGTCTCTTTTCATTGCTCCCCGCGGAGGAAGGAAAGTTAAAAATATATACATGCCGTTGAAACCCCTAAGGGCATGGTGCTATGTGAAACCACATTTCGAACACAGGATTTCCTGGCAGCAACTTCAGCCTGGCTGTCGGAGGCAATGGTTTGGCGTAAAGAAAACTTACCAGCCAAGGAGAATAGTCCCTTGGGGTTGAGATGAGTGATGCTTGGTGCACTCTCTGAGCTTGGTGGCTTTCTTGCAGATGCCTCATGACCCAAATTAGGTAACGTCATCCGTGTCAGCAGTTAAACCTAGGTGGGTTATGAAAACCCCACCAAGCTCAGAGAGCACCAAGGACCCTCCCGTAATTGACCAAGGCTGTTTCGGAGAGAAAACCTAACTGGTCTGGCCTAACCAGCAGGGCTGACACCACAGCCACCTGCTTAAAAGCACTAAGTCCTAGACAGGTCATTTGCCTCGGCTGGCTAGAGGGGATAGTGGAAGAGGCCTTGCCGAGCCAGGAAGGAGGAATTGAGCTCCACAGATGGGAACTCCTGTACCTTTTCATGCCACTGAAGTAGAATAGCGCTGCTGTTTTCCGTCGGCTTTTCAAACCCTTTGTAAATGTACTTCATTAACAAGTCGATGCCGCTGCTGTCCAAGGAATTGACTGCCTGCTCGATCTCGCTGCTCTTGAAGGCCGTTAGGACTTTCAGCACCACTTCCTGGGCCTGCTCCTGAGGGGAGAGCCAAGGGAAGTCAAGGCAATGGGATCGGAGACGAGAGAGAGAGAAAATGAAAAAAAATTAAACCTCCCCTTTACCTTTGCACCTGGGTTCTTGGTGTTCCCAGGAGAATTCCGTAAAGCTGCGTGGAAGGCTCGGAGCAAGTCCCCCGTGCGATAAATTAAGCTAAGGAGTTTGTGCTGTGTGGTGCAGTCATAACCCCCCCCCCAACAATCTAACCATCCCTACTTAACAAGGCCAGCAATTGATGAAGGATTCCCAGCAACGAGACTCAGCTACCAAGTGAACTTATTCAGTTGGAAAGATGCTATTAACACCTACAAGGAAATTCATTCAAGGCAGTTTGTCCCTTGCTCTAAAACAGTCTTTGGGATTTCAGATCCCGGGCTAATAGCAAAACAATATTCAAAAGGAAGCTTTACTCGGGAACAGCTTACCTCCTGCACACCTGCCTATCCCAGGTTCTAGGGAAGGACTCGCTGGGTGGGCAAAAATGCCAAACCCAGCCTGAACATCTGGCTGACTGTCATGAGCCGTGATAATAGCATCAAACAACACGTGGCTATCCACAGTCCTTAGAAAGGATTTGATCCAGCCTAAAGCACTGGCTGTACGATGAACTATAATAATCAACCTCACCATTCTGGGGAAAAGAACCATTCTGGTATCCAGGAGATATATACAATTTGTGACATCTGCCCCCCCCTCCCAGAGAACAAGGAAAGAAATAATTCCATTTAGCCCAGCAACGACATGGAACAAAAACCAAGAAGACCGTACAATACCAAAAGAAAACCTTTACTTCCTAGGAGAACCAAGCCATGGTTATTAAGTTCAGAAAACACTGCCTCTCAAAAGAGTTTTCGACATCCATCTCCCGCCTCCTGGGAGCGGCGAGGGAAAAATATTTTGCTCTGGGCTTGGATAACGCAGATTGGTAACAAAATTGACCCATCGGCTGGGTTGCGCACAATCACCAACTGATCAAACAAGCTAAGCCGCAAGCAAAGCCGAGTCAAGGTTAAAAGCAAAGGACACCAATGCAGCCTAAAGAATATTGTGATGGTTTTCCCCCCCCCAAGGTATTTTAATTCTGCTCTGGCTAAACGTCAGTTCCGTGTCCTTTTTCGACCTGCTTGTGCTCTCTTGGAAAGGGCAGACTCAGCAGAGGGTGGCTCTGCCAGTCACCCACTCTTGCTGCTCCACATTCTAGAAATCTGTCGTGGCATGATCAGGAACAGGCTGAGCGACATTCACGGATGCCGGCTGGCGGAAACAAGCCCCCCCCCCTTCCCCATCCCTAACTCTTCCGATCCCACCAGACCAGTCCCTTCCTGTCAAACCTGATGCCGCAGATGACAACTGCATGCATCATGGCCTTTACAGGTCTTGTCATTCCTGGTGCGCCGAGGACTCCCCGGGGTGGGGTTTTTCCTCATTCCTCAGCAAATCTCCCCTAGAACATTATTTCACCTCCACAGGCTCGTCCGCTTCTCGCTTCTCGTTCACAGCCGAAGCTATGCACCTTCCTTTACAAGGGGTTTTTTTTTTGGGGGGGGGGGAAGGCTTCTCAGAAGCTCTCCTCTTCCGGGAGGGGAGGGGAGAAAGAAATTGGCAGAGCTAAGTCACAAGACCCATCCTGTGCAGCTGCTGCACCTGGCAACCACAGGGAACAAATTCCCACACAGTGCCGGCATTGTCTCAACATGTCTTTGATGACTGCCCCCTCATTCTTTCGCCTTCAACAACATGCAATCGGAAAGCAATTCCCCCGTTAGATGCTCAGCCCAGGGAGGGAGACCGACGTGGCGGTGAAACGCACAGCTAGATCAAGGACAGGCCTCAACCTGCAGCCCCAGGAAAAGAAAAAGGCAATTTTTTTAAAGATGCCCTGCAAAAGAGGACCGAAAGCAGATAAGCCATAAGGGGAGTTCTGATGCCAGACACTGCAGGCTAGGAATGAACTGCGGGTGTATAAATGCCAAAAGCATCCCCTCTGCATTGATCAAGCCCGGATAGAAATAGACACGACAGTTGCCAGAGCACCAGAAATCACAAAGAACAGTTAAAGAGATCTAAAACGAGGCTGCGGTCACCTCAATCGCTAGCAACACAGAAAGCTTGAGGAGCAGGAAATTTACTGCAGGGGGAAGGTGAAGATGAGGTTAGTCAGGGAGTTGTAAAATTATTCCCCATCGGGTTCCTATATTTCCAAGCAGGAAGCAAAAATCGCCTCCAGGCAACCCACCCGAATTAACAAAACCAAAACTTGGCCAAACCCTGAACCAGCAGGAACCACGCATGAATGTCTAGTCGTTTGCCTGGCTGAACTGCATGTCTTCAGTCTTTAGGGAGGAAAAGTGGAAAAGACCGCCTAAAAAGGGTCGTCTGCGAAAGGACCCCCACCCAAATCCTAAAATCCACCCTGGAAAGGAGGAACAGACAAGGAACGGTATCTGCTCTTCAGCTACTCCCAGACCCAGATGGATGAATGCCCCATAACATCCATGGAGATGTGTTGGGCTTTTAACTCCCGACAACGGGCACCAATGCCCAAGACGTTGGATAAAGGATGAAACCATTGAGGAAGGGGGAGACCACCCAGGCTGGCAGGGGAGGGGGGAGATATGACAAATGGATGGATAAGACAGACAAGACAGGAGGATGAGTTGGGTAGGGTAGATGATAGATAGATAGATAGATAGATAGATAGATAGATAGATAGATAGATAGATAGATAGATAGATACATACATAAAATGGAGACAGAAGACATGGGTACAAGGATGGAGATACAGAAATGACAGAGTGGGTGCCTAGAATGGATGGATGGATACATTGATTTATACATATATAGAGTGGGATAAATGGTTGGGAAGGCATAGATACATAGATTAGATGATTGATAGATACATAGACAGACAGACAGACACAGACAGAATACAAAGGAAAAGATATTGATAAAGATTACTAGATATAATAGAGGGCAGGCAGACTGACAGATAGACAAAATGGATGGATAAAAGGAATAGATATAGACAGGTGATAGATAAGAGGTGAGATAGATGGATAGACAGATGACAGATATAGGATAGACAGATGAGATAGATAAAATGAATAGAGATAGATAAGACAGATGATACACATACAGTAGATAGATGACAGATGACGGATGGACAGACGGGGCGACCCTGGACCAGCTGATCCAGGGAGGGCGAGGAAAGGGAGATCGAGGGAGGAGCGATCAGGCGGAGGAGATCGGGGCGGCGTATGGGTCTTGTAGTCCGCCAAGCCCTCCTCCTCCTCTTCCCCCCCCCCAAGACCCCCGAAAGGATATTGCCGCAGCGCCGCTTCCACCTCCGGGCCGGGCCCTCCGTTGCCCTCCGCCGCGCCGGCCCCGCTCCCGGCCTCGGCGCCGTCGGGCTCCTCCACGAAGCGGTTCTCGTCGAACTGGTCGATGTCCAGGCGGCGGAAGCGCGAAGAGAGCGAGCTCCGCGCCATGGCCGCGCCGGATAGGCGGGCGGGCGCCAGAAGCTCCCTCGCACGCCGCCGCCGCCTCGCGGAAGCGGAAACCCCGCCCGCACGCGGGGAGGAGGCGAGCGGCGAGCGGGGGCGCGGCTGCTGGGAACGGACGTTCGGCCAGGGGGAGGGGCTTCGCAAGGGGCGTGGCCTTTCACTCTTCTCCCCCCCCCGTCCTTTCTGGGATTCAGTTTCGCTGCTGTTCATTCATTCCTGTTGCTTATCTATTCATCCATCCATCCATCCATCCATCCATCTCTATCTATCTATCTATCTATCTATCTATCTATCTATCTATCTATCTATCTATCTATCTATCTATCTATCTATTTATTTATTTATCTAATTTATATCTCTACTTATTTATGTAATCTATATCATCTATCTATTTTTCATTATTTCTAATCTATAGCTATCTTTGAAAGTTGAGTGGACACATAGATGGACAGATGGACACATACTGCCCCCCCCAATTGATCCTGGGATCTGTTTTTTTTTTTTTTTTTTTTGCCCAGGAGCTTACAGTACTCTGACTTCCCCAACACCACCCTTGTGAGGTAGGCTGGTATTTTCCCCACAACAAACCTGTATGGTGGGCTGAGAGAGGGAGAGGGACCGGCCCAAAATTACCCAGCTGGCTTTGTGCTTAAGGTGGGATTAGAACACACAGTCCAAAGTCCCAAAATCAATCAACAGGACTAGAACGCACCATCTCCTAGTGATTGGCACCAAGTTACTCAAGGCGGGACTAGAAATCCCTGCGCCCTTATTACTAGCCTGATGCCTTAACCACTGCACCAGATTGCCTTTCTGTAACTTTCCTCTTCTCCCTCCCCACCCTGGGAAACGGGAAGAGTTTTAGAAAAGGCAAATATTTCCACATTGTCACCAAAAAGGCCCCATGTCCATTAAATCCATTAAGTCACCAGGGTACAATTGGCTCAAGCAGTGACACTCAGCTTAGGGGCAATAGTGAGGTTCGAAGGCCTCTTGTTTTCAGCCAATGGGGAGAGGTCTGAGGAAAGCAGGACATTGGCCTAAGAAGCCCAGGCTGAAGGGCCAATGGGATGACCTGGCTAATGAAAATAGTGAGGGCCAAGTTGGTGCCACCAATCAGCAGAGAGCGGGTTTGGGGTAAGAAGGGTATAAAAAGGAGGCTGCTAGCAAGGGAGCTGTCAGACCAGCAGCAGGACGGTGAGGAGAGAGGAAGATGAGATATATAAGAAAAGAGCTGAAGCAGCATCACTCTAAGCCTTAGACTGAGGTCACTCAAGTCTGGGGTCACTCACCAAGCCTTTTCAAAGGCAAAAAAAGAGCTTGAACTAGTCTTTTAGTCCTCATGTTGTTCCTGGGAACCCAAGGTTTTCCCTCTGGATGCTGGGGGTGCAGCAGAAGGGGAAGATAGAAGAAAGAAGGCAGAAGAGGTAGGTAGAAGAAAGAAGGCAGAAGAAGATAGAAAGAAGGCAGAAGGGGAAAATGAAGATGGAAAAAAGAAGCAGCTTCTGAGGAAGATGAGATATATAAGAAAAGAGCTGAAGTAGCATCACTCTAAAAGTCTCTTAAGAGGTCACTCAAGTCTGGGGTCACTCACCAAGCCTTTTCAAAGGCAAAAAAAAGAGCTTGAACTAGTCTTTTAGTCCTCATGATGTTCCTGGGAATCCAAGATTTTCCCTCTGAATGCTGAGGGTGCAGCAGAAGGGGAAGATAGAAGAAAGAAGGCAAAAGAAGATAGAAAGAAGGCAGAAGGGGAAAATGAAGATGGAAAAAAGCAGCAGCTTCTGAGGAAGATCAGATATATAAGAAAAGAGCTGAAGCAGCATCACTCTAAGCCTTAGAGTCTCTAAGAGGTTACTGGAGTCACTCAACCAAGCCTTTTCAAAGGCAAAAAAAAAAAGAGCTTGAACTAGTCTTCTAGTCCTCATGATGTTCCTGGGAATCCAAGGTTTTCCCTCTGGATGCTGAGGGTGCAGCAGAAGAATAAAAACAAAGCCAAGAAACTGGTGTGACTTTAACCTTTGTGAGTAGAATAAACTAAGCAATTAAGAAAGAAAACTTGGGCTGAAGGGAGATTTTGGTGGGAAATCTCTTTCTCTCAAAAAAAAGAACCAGGTTGCTGAGGCAAGTGTAATTCTTAGGGTGGCTGTTTATATTTTGTGTCCACTTTAAAAGGTATTTTAAATATTACTCTTTAAGTGTTTTGTTTTGGGTGTAAAGCCATTTTTTAATTTATAGACAGGGGGGAAATGCTGTATTTCAGGCGTTTCTGAGGAAGAATCTTGTAGCTAACCGTGGATTTCAAAAGGCGGGGAGTAAAATTACCTCAAACATTTCTATTTCTGCCACAATATGAGTGGTGATGAAACTGGGTTATAAAAGGTTCCTATTTATATCAGCTTTATCTAAAAAACATGGATTATAAATACATATAAATACACAATACATATAAACCTACATTAAAAAAAAGTCAAACCACTGTTCCCAAAATAAAATGGTGGACAAGCTCTATCACTTTGCCTATGCTGAAGTTTTCCCGCCATTAGGCCAAGGATGTATTACAAACAAAAACCTGATTGGATTGATGTGATATGTTGGGTATTCACAGATTTATTTTGTTAAAAAAAATAGGCAGCCTTTCTGTTGCATTAAAGGCCTCAAGTTGAAAATATAATTTGTTGGTTATCAAAATGACAATGCTCTTCCAAAATTATGAATACTGTTTTCAAAGAGTGAGATTTAAACTGAGGGGTAATTAAGGTCCACATTTCAAATGAATATTTTTAAAAAAATACATAAAATGGTGCTGCCGGCACATTTCCACTGCGGGAATACCACAAAATAAATCAGCTGCCAATCATCTGCTTTCCCTCAGCGATGTTCCATTAATTTCTTTAGTATTATTTCTCCCAGATCATGGCATGATTTGTAAGGAAAGGGGCAAAATATTTAGTATTTAATAGACCAAAAATTTGGCGTCGTGGTCAAAGGCCAAAATTAGAAAATACTGCTCAAAATGATGAATTATCAATTGAACAACATTAAGGTGTTTGGCACATAAACTTTGGGAGTGTTAGTTGATGCCTAATTTTTACTGTCCCTGCACAACTAGATGGTGGAGTTTGAAATGTAAAAGAAAAAAAAAAGGTGCTGTTAAAGATAAAATCAGCATTATATCCGGTTCCTCATTGGTGAACTCATTTTTATACAGGATCTTAGAATCTCTCCCAAAATAATTGCCAAGGGCAAAATATTATCTCTAGCCCAAAAAGGGAAAAAAAAAGTACTGGGATCAATACTTTAGTTCCAAAAGCCCAAATGTATTTACAAAACATCCCTGAAAAAAACTGACTGTGTTTGTATTGTGTTTTAGTCAAGACTGGTACATGAAGGCACTCATTCACAACAACATAAAGTTTTATTTTCAAGTTTAACCTAGAGGCAGGGGTTCAAGATTATCACTTTTATTAAAAATACAAGGGATCTGAGAAAAATCAGAACAGTTATTTTAATGTACAAATTCAAATACCTGCAATGGGTAATTGGAATCCTAAAAATAAAAACAAAGCTGAAAGGGAAAAAAAGGGGCAGTTTTCTAAACCACTTATTTATGATTTAAAATATAAACAAGGCTGGCCTACCTTTACTGCATAAGGATATGCATGGAAGTTGGACTTACAAAGTCCCAATATGCACATTAATTCAACTTTGCTGCTGAAATTCCTTAAAAACCTTATCCAGAAGAAACAAACACAAAAAATTCCCAACGCCAACTCCTGAACGAAATAAAGGAGAATTAGACTAGCTCTGATGTGTCTTGCTCTGTTTTTATTTGATTTCATTTTGAAGGGAAGGGTTTTCCCTAAAAACAAAAATATGAAATCGAAAGCACTAAAAATATATATAGGTCATATATATATATATATGACGTATATATATATATATATATGACGTATATATATATATGATGTATATATATATATGACGTATATATATATATATATGACAAGTTAAGTGCTTGTGGGACATTTCAAAAGCGATCTTAAAGAGGAGATGCACAGGAAGAAGGGCGGTTAAGAAACGCAACACTACAGACCATATACACTTAGATAATTTAAAAATAGGGGGGGGAAGCATTTCAGCAGCAAAGTGCTCAATAGAATGTATGTCACAAAGGGAGGGAGGGCCATGAGCGGCATTTTCAGAGGAAATACGGTGTGGTTGTTCTCGGAGGGATGACGCGTTCGGAATCTGGGACAGCTCGGAAAAGTTTCGGCTCTCTCGTGTTCACGTCTTTAAAGACCATGATGGAGGCGATATTCCCGCAGCGATAGCAGTAGTTTGGGGCTGACCAGACCGTTACCAGCTTCTCGTCAAACATGAATTTATAGCCTTCGTGGACTAGCTGGTGGGCCCGGCAGATCAGTTTTAAGTTGTTGATGTGGACAAACTGTCAAAAGGCAAAAAGAAAAGGGAGACAATTTACGGCATTAAGTCAAGCTAGGTTTTATATGCAGGCAGTCCCCGATTTACGCCCAAAGAGTCCTCTCTCCCAGTTGCTCAGATAATATTCTAAGTGCAGTAAATGAGAAAGCCGGCAAAATAATGACGTAGGGTGGATTTAGAGTTTACCTCATTGGTAACTTTAGCACCAAAAAGCCACCCAGCTCCACGAGGGCTGATGGCCCAGGTGTCCACGTCTTCTGGGTCAGACCAGACGAGGTCGCAGAAAGCGCCTTTGTGAGGGATCTCTTGGTTGCGCTCGATGGTTCGGATCTGATCCAGTGTTTTGATGTCTGGAGAAAGACCTCCGTGCACGCAGAGGATCTGTTCATCTATCAACTGGAGGAAAATAGAAAGGGTTTTTACTCTCTCTCAAAAGCCAAAAGCTATCTGGGGTAGGAGGAGAGGAGAGCACATCACTCACATCCCCCCCCCTTTTTCCCCCAAACAGGACCGTGAAGCACTTACCGCTGCTACGGTGAGCATGTCGAAGACTTTAGTGCAGTATCTCCAGGCGTTTGCGTTACCGTATTTTGTTTGGCATTCATCTGTTTGAGAGGAAGAGGAGAAGGAAGAGAAAATAAAGGACACCAGGTTCTATTATTTATTTTGATTCTTTAAAATTTATATCTAGCTTTTTTTTTAAATAAACAGTTCAAGGCAGTGAACATATCTAATATTCCTTCTTCCTCTTATTTTTCTACCACAACCACCTTATGAAGTGGGCTGGACTGAGAGAGAGGGACAGGCTGAAAGTCACCCAGTTAGATTTTATGCCTAAGGCAGGACTAGAACTCTCCGTCTCCTGGCGATTGGCCCAAAGTCACCCAGCCGGTTTTCTTGCCTTAGACAGGGAATTCCAGAAACTATGAGGCTTATGCTTGCTTGCAATGAAATTAACGTTTCTATAATCCTTTTAAAAAAAAAGCCAAATCCTGCCAGTCAGGCTAAATCATAACAGTTTTATGCTGATTGTAACGGAAGCAAAAAACGGTTCCAGGAAAGTGTAGCCGCAGGAGGGTACTCACCATAAAATCCGTAGACCTGGGTTATCTGTCTGCTTTCATGATTCCCACGCAAGAGCGTGATCCGATCCGGCCACTTTGCTTTCAGGGCAAGAAGATAAGTAAATGTCTCTAGACTGTAATAGCCTCTGTCTACAAAATCACCCTGGAAATCAAAACAATGCTTTAATTGAAACAATGTGCTCAGGCTGCCATTTTACGTTAGCAGGGTTTGTATGAAACGAAACAGGCAGAACATGTTCCCAAAGCTAAGCAGTTTTGCTTTCCAACTTTTTCTCAATCTTCCTAGGATATAGTACACATAATTATCCAAATACCTGACCCACAAAACTGGATTCTTAGAAAGCTTAGAGTCTAAGAGAGTGTGCTATCTTCTTTTTTAAACCTGCCACTACTAGCTAGCACTTCCTTTTTCAAACTATATGCACTCAGCAAAAGAACAGGAGCTGTATTCTCAGAGCAGAAAACAAAACTACCAGAGCAATCCTCTCCCCTTGATGTATTACAAAATATATATATTATCACATTCCAATCTCTGTTTTCTCTACATTTGTTCATACCATAAATATGTAGTTTGTGTCAGGCACCTGACCTCCAGTTCTGAATAATTCACATAGATCATAAAACTGAAAAGGGAAAAAAAACAGAAACACGTATTTCAACATAGACAAATTCAAAATACCTATTGAAATTATTTTGAACTCTGATGGAATTGTACATCTTCTATTTACAAATCCTAAAAGTGGTTGTGAAGGCCTGACCAAAATAATAATGTGCAGGCAGTTAATAAGATATTACCACCACAATGACTGCTAAAAGGTTAGGGCAATCTGATACCTGTTGATCCAAGAGAAACATTATAATTCCCTCTTTTTCAGTAATGCCTGGCTTTGTTTAGGCACCCAAATTGGCACCACTGACAAGCAAAAGTGAGGTACAAGTGAGATTAGAGGAAAACCAAAAACGCAAACCAGAGCATAATCCGGACCAGAATCCAGACTAGAATCCAGAATCCAAATAAGAATAGAAATCCAGAGCCCAATCCCGAATTTATTTATTGGGGGGAGGGAGAATAGAATCCAGAATCCAATACATAATGGATCCAAAATCCATTGCAGATTGGAAATCCAGAATGGAACCCAGAACAGGAACCAGAATGGAATCCGAAATCCAAAAGCCATTGCAGAATGGAACCAAGACCCCAATCCAAAATGGAACCAAGACCCCAACCCGGAATGAATCCAGAATCCAATCCAGAATGTCAAAAGGTAAGAGTCCATGGGAAATTCCACCTGTCCATGAATGTCACCACAGACGGTAACGGGGGTAGAAACAGGCTGCACGTTTGATTCTTCTAGGAGCAGGTCACAGACGTAGTCACACAACCGCTGGAAAGACAGAAAAGTTCAGGTCAGGGTACGAGTCACACATGCTGGTAACATCACGTCAAATTCCCCTTTACGTTCCAAAGTATATTATTCATTCCACTTTTCACATTTTTGAATGGCCTGTCTCCTCCGCCCTCTCCCCCGCCTGTTGCCTCTTTCCTGGGCATCCATTCCATTTGGGAAGGGTCCTTGGTGTCCCTGAGTTTTGCTGTTTTCTTGCAGGTGTTTCATTGCCCAAACCAGGTAACCTCAACAGTGTTAGTGTGAGGTTCGCTTGCTGTTTATCTACAGTTTATGTAGAGAGATAAGCAGGTATTTCCACCATACAAATCATCAAGCCGAAAACAATACCCTAATCAAGGAGAAAATCCCACTCCAATCACTTAAACAAGGAGTCAACCCCACACTTAGTAGCAACGATGATGTCACCTAGTTGGGTCGTGAAACGTCTGCAAGAAAACCACCCAACTCAGAGAGCAACGAGGACCCCTCATTTCCACCCTGAGCTGCAAATGTTCCCCTTTATTCGCAATGCCATTTCTCTGCGGCTCATTCCAAGGGTGCCTTGCCGATTTCCATCACCACCGCCAAAAAAAAACCCCAGGCAGTTTCAGATCAACTTGGAAAGGGGACCACGAGGAAATCCCAGGGACGGGGAGGGGCTCAACTGGGAAGGAGAAAATAAAAATAAAAAAAGGCTCCCAGGCTCCGCGTCGAGGGGGAGGAAGAGAGGACACGATGGAGCCCAATTGAGGTGGGGGGGAACGGGGGCTAGGCGGCATGAAGCCCTCCCTTGTTATAGGGGGACCCGTCCTCTGCCCATCCCTTCCCAGGGGCGCCTCTTCCCGGGTGGCAAGCAGGCCCCTGGAGGGGAGCCCCCCTCTCCGAGGCCCGTCCTGCCCCCCGCCTCACCTTGAGATCGTTCTCGGGCAGGTACTTGCAGAGCCGCGCTATCTCGACGTACTTATCCAAGTCCAGCGGCGCCATTTTGACAGAGCAGCTCCGGGGGGGGGGGAGGAGAAGGGGAAGGGGAGGAAGGCAGAAAGAGGAGGAGGAAGAAGAGTGGGGCAGAGAGGACCGGACCGGAAGCTGCGACTCGCACTTCCGGGTTGGGGCCTACGGGAGTAGAAGCTGGGAGCCCGGGCCGGGCTGCGCCAGGCGAGGCAAACGGGCTCGCGGAGGCAGCCGGTGCGAGCGACGCCGCCCTTCCCCCCCACCCCGTTTCTCAACTCCCGGTCTTCTCTCGGCCGCACCGGAAGTGAGAAAACCAACTTGAATCGGACGCAGTGCTTCTTTCTGGTCCGCTTCAAGGCCGCTTCCGGTTGTCTGCTTCCGGCTCCTCTCTCTCTGCCCCCGCCCCGCAGGAGTCCATTATGGCGTTGAAACGGCCTCCCTGCCGCGCGGCATGCTGGGATTTGGAGTCAACGCTGGCTGGTTCCTTTGGCTGCTCTTTTCTCCAGAGTCCAGAGGCTCTTGCAATGCCCAGGCGGGCACGCTGGCCGGGGATTAGGGGCGTTGGTGTCCAGCAGACGTGCATAGCCTTGGATTGGGGGAAAGTGCCGTTGTGCAGGGGAGTTTGAACAAGCCGCAGTCCCAACCCACCATTTGCATATCTTTCGTGCAAACGAGAACCAGAATTGCAATTTTTGCACGCTTTGCAGCGCCAAATCAATTTGAGAAATAAGTAAATGCTAAAGGAAGGAATGCAGAGGCGCTGCAAGCACGCCTCCCCTGTCTTTGGGGAGACATCAAAGAGGTTGGGGCCAATCGCCTAGCAACCGTCCGGGGAGGGAGGCTCTCCCTGCAAAACCACGCCTCTTTCCCCCTTCCATTTGCTTCAATGGAGAAGGTGCTGCGGAAGCTGAAGCCACGGGAGAAACCGCAGGCGGCGACCTGGTGAATCGCCCGCGAGGGGTTCCTTTGCACGTGTGCATGCTCTTGCTAGGATCAGTGCAAAAAGAAGGCGAGGTCGAGGGATGCTGGAGGCGGGAGTGGGGCGAGGGAGGTAACGCGTGGGAGGTCGCGGAACCTTTCCCGTTTGCAACCTTGGATGGGTGCATGTAACCAGGCTTGGCACGTCTGCAGACATTGACCTGCCCGAGAAAAGAAGGGCCTTGCCAAAGAGCCGCGCAAAAAAAAAGGAAAGAGCGGGGCATCTCCTTCCTTTCACCTGGGCGCCCACTTCCTGGTTCAATTTTAGGCAGGTCCTTGACTTGCAGTCACTTGTCTGGAATAGTAGAGTCTCCTGCTTGAGCAGGGGGTTGGACTACAAGACCTCCAAGGTCTCTTCCAGTTCTATTTTGATGGATTGATTGACACTTGGAGACGCTGCCAGGATCTGTCCGTGCAAAATTCCATGGCCCTTCCTCTTCTGGGTAATGCAGAATTCCTAACAAGCATTCTCACTGGTTTGGGAAAGAGGATGGGTGGGTGGGTAAGATCCTCCTGGAAAATGGAGCTGATATTTTGTATGTTTGGAAAAAAATCACTCTCTCTGCCTGCCAGGTATTCCCTTGCCTTATGTGGGAAGAGTCCCTGTGCTCGTGTGGGCCAAAACTCTTTATATCTGCCTCCTTTGGACCCGGGCAGTAAAAATGGGAAAGTGGTTATCATCGCCGGAGCAAATCCGAGTGGAAGTTTCACTGACTCCTATTTTATTGATCTTGGTAAGTTCGGCTGGGAGGGAGAAAGTGGGGGAAATGGACATTGCTGAATTAATTGAATTTGTTAAAAATGACCCATGTTTCTAGTCCTTATGAATGCAAAGGCATGCAAATCAGAGTCGCTGAAAGAATTTGTCAGGGAGATTTCTACCAGGTGGCTGGGTGCTTTTTTGGGATTCCAGATCCAGAGTGTCCCCTTTCTTGCCTCTGGAGAGCCACAGGTTGATGATCAGAAGCCTGTCATTTTTATTTTATTTATTAATAATGCTTTTATCCCTTTTGTATAGTTCTGGCTTATTCTGGTACCAAGCAAGACAGCTTTTAAGTCTGCCATATAAATCAAGCCAGTTTAGTGTAGATCAAGCTGTGTAAAGAAAGAAATGGTAGAGCCTCTGAAAGGTTTTGATTTCTCAAGCGTAATAGATTTTGTTCCCAGTAGGAAATCTTAAAACATATTTAGGGGTTGATATCTGTCTGTCCGCCGTAGATGCTAATTGCTGGACAACGCCTGGTTGGGTAGGTCTGTTGCCACGATACGAACATGCTGCTTTTGTGCCTGCCAGCCAGCCCAACACACTCTGGGTATACGGAGGGGCCAGTGAAACTGGCAACAGAGACTGCGTACAAGTTTTGGATCTAGGTAAGCAGAGCCTCTGCTGAGTCCATCGCTGGTATCTGATCCGAGCCACATCGGATGCAAACCATTTAGTGACCGTTTGAAATTGCAATTATTTATGACCCATCCCTGTACTAACAACCAGCAGCATCCCTGCACTTCCAATGGTTGCAATTTGGGTGGTGTGTATTTATGTGTTTATGCTCTTGCAGCATCCTGGGATCCCCACTTGCGACTTTCACGGACAGCTTCCCACAAGCAAAGTTAACGAAGGGAGCTTGGATTTGTTTAGCAACCACACATTCATTTAACAGCCATGCCAAGCCTTCTTTGTTTACTTCCTCTTTTACCGCTTTGGGTGTTGAGGGGACAGCCATGACAAATCAGCTTGTAAAATTGGGCATGTTTAAGTGCTTAACAGCAGAAGTTTCGTTGTCAATTGGGGTAATAAAGTACTAAATTCTTCTATGGAATCCCTTCACCGTTTTTCTTCTGGTTTTTTGTGGGTGTGTCCTTTATTTGCCTATCTTACTTGTAGTGCCAAGACCGGCTTTTCTCAAATTGGTGCACTCTAATTATTTGGGATTTCCTCTCCTCTAATCCTTAACCACGGATGGGCAGCCAACGTTTCAAGATTTCTTTCCCAACTGAATGGGGGACAAGTCTGATCTGGCCTCTTTGCAGAGTCATCTGGAATTTAGCAAGTCTGGTCTGGGTCTACTCAACATCTTTTCTCTTGCTAGAAACTGGGTTGTGGCGGAAAACCAACGTGGCCGGCAATCCACCGAGCCCTCGGACGTATCATACCTCCACGGCTGCAATTGGGGACCGGTTATATGTATTTGGAGGAGGCGATAAAGGGGTAGATCCTGTCCAAGACCAGCAACTTTACATATTCAACTCAGGTGAATGAACAAATTTAAGGCTGTTCTTCCCCCCCCCCCATGCCCCCTGAAAAAGGGTATGTTAGTTCTGATTTGAGGAGAAGCAAGCCTAACAATTTCCCTTTTTAAAAAGCCACCTTGATGTGGTCACAGCCAGAGGTGCGTGGTCAGCCTCCTGCTCCTCGGCACGGCCATGTGGTGGTAGCGGTTGAGAACCGACTGTTTGTACATGGCGGCTTGGCTGGTGACACGTTTTATGACGACCTGTTCTCCATTGACATACGTAAGTACACCCTATGTAGTGTTAAAATTAGCAAGGGAGGTGCGTTTGAGTCTCTTCGCTCTCAAGTGTTTTAAAAAAGACTAGAGTCCTCCCAAGCCACCTCCAGCATTTTTGTAATCACCAAAATGGCCATTATAAGGATCCATCCCAACTTTCCATTGTTTTCTCTAACTAGGGGGCGTGCTTCCAAATGAAGTTTTTGACTTGCTTCCTGAAACTCTTCTTACTGTTTTGAATTAAAAGGAACCTTTTAAAAGGTTTGGTGGAGAACAGTGAAAGAACTTGGGCAATTTCTTAAGAGAGCCTCGTCTAGAACTTAAGAACCAAACCTAGAACGAAGGAGGAATTTTCTGACAATGAAAAAAAAAAATTAAGCAGCGAGACAGCTTGCCTTTAGAAATTGTAGGTACTCCATCAACACTGGAGGCTTTTGGGAAAAGACCGGACAGCCGTTTGTCTGGAATAAATATAGAGTTTCCAGCTTGAGCAGGGGGCTGGACTAGAAGCCCTCCAAGGCCCCTTCCAACTCTTGTTATTCTGTCTGGCGTCAAAGAGAGTTGAGCTCAATTTCTGGTGATAGTACTTGGCTCCTGAGGGTAGATAAACCAGTTTGATTTCAGATCCCTCTTTAGTCCAGATGTTTCTGGATCTCCCTGCTCAGACTGATCTACGGTCCTTAGTATGGTTCAAAAGATAAAAACAGGAAGAAGCAGGATGTTTCTAATACCGAAATGCCGCTTTTTAAAAGGGGAGGTCATCTCGAATAAAGCAAGCCAGGGTTTGTTGTCTTTTCTCCGCAGGGGACCTAAAATGGGAGAAATTGTCCAGCTCAGGATCCGTTCCCGGAGGCCGAGCGGCCCACTCAGCCGTTGCTTTCCAAGAGCACGTCTACATTTTTGGAGGGATGGACCCAACGGGGGAACTCAATACGATGTACAAGTATCACACAGGTATTCTTGGCCATTACTTTAGTCCTCTGGCGTGATGGCTTTTTCACAAGATGTCCCCTGGAGCAGTGGCTCTCAACCTTTTCCTTTGCCACGGGAGCCCTTTAAATGCCGTTTTCTGGCCACGGATCTCGAGACTTAACTCAAGATGGAAACCGTAACATTTCACACTTTCGTGGCCTCTTAGGGGCCTGTGGAGCACAGGTTGAGAATCACTGCTCTCTAGAGAACAAGCAGGGCTGATAGCAGAGACTGTTGTGTGTGTGGTGTTTTGATGTCAAGATATGTGGAACTAATGGTTAGTTCTAGTCCAGCTTTAGCCATAGAAGCCAGTTGGGACTTTGGGGCAGTCGCTTCCTCCCTCTCAATGCAACTCACAGCATTGTGGGGGGAAAATAGGAGTATTCGGCATTTCCCCCGCTTTATTTCTAAAAATAATAAAATAACCCCTTTGTTTTCTTTCTGAAAACATTAAAACTGCTGCAGAAAAAAGTCATTGGACGCAGCTGGAGTTCACCATTCCGCTACCTTCTGGCCGGCTGGACCACTCAATGTGTGTTATTCCTTGGGGAACCTCTGGAGAAGAGCTCCACAATCACAAAGAAACACCAGAAGCTGCACAAGGGGAGGGTCCCAGGGAAAGCCAGCAAGAGGACCGGCTGGTTCATCTCTGCTTGGTGTTTGGGGGCATGAACATTAAAGGGGATATCTATAATGACTGTATCGTAAGCGTGCTAGAAGAATAAAGTTAGGCCATGCAAGTATTAAGACTCGTGGTCTGATGGGGGAGGGTGCCTGTGGCAGTAAACCCCACATTTAACTATCCACCTTTAAAAAAAACAAAACCCACAAATGCTGGCAGCATTTGTAGTCTCAATCAGCAAACAGCATGGATGGCTCCAGAGAATAAATTGGTTCCAATTTAAAGAGGGTATTTGAAACTCAGGGCTGAACGATGGAGTTCCTTGGAGCTTGGTGGTTTTTCTTGCAGACGTTTCATCACCCAACTAGGTAACATCATCAGTACTAGAAGGGTGTGGGGCTTATAGGAGGGAAAAGGACGACGACTGTGGGGTCCTTACTGCTCTGAGCTTGGTTATTTTCTTGCAGACGTTTTATTACCTAACTAGGCAACTGATGACATTACCTGCTTGGGTAATGAAAAGTCTGCCAAGTAAACTCTTTGCAGACACAGGAACCAAACCCTTGAAATTCAGTGTAAGTAACAAATTTATTGGCGCTTTGGAGGGTAGAAAAAATTCTCTGCAGAACACACACCACCCCACCTTTTTTTTTTTTTTTTTTAAATAGAACAATTGTAAGGTGAATGTGTCAAGGAAGGACCCCCCCCCTCCTGGCAAGTTAAACTTCCTCCCCTAACCCCCCCCCTCCAGGGACATTTATCAACTGCTAACGAAAAGCAGTAATCAGCCGCTTTGGGGCTATAAACATTTCCAAACTCCACGTGAGGTGAAGATTCTGATCACATCCCAGTTCTTGAGTTCAAATAGCTTAAAACCAAAGGAAAAGAAAAAAAAATGTCCAAAAGTCCACTATTTACACAGCGTGGCCGTTCCAGGGAAGGAAAAAAAAAACAAAGGAAGCCGGAGAGGCCTATAACTCATCCTTCTCCCCCGTCTCTTCTTCCCCGCCGGGGGGAGGACCCGCCCCGCCGTACAACTTCCCCACGATGGGCTGCACCACTTCCTCCAGCTCTTTCTTCTGGGCTTTGAAGTCTTCGATGTCGGCCTCCTGGTGGCTCTCTAGCCATTCGATCTTCTCCTCCACGGCCTTCTCTATGGTCTCCTTCTCCTCCGAGGACAACTTGCCCCCCAGCTTCTCCTTGTCGCCGATTTGGTTCTTCAGCGAGTAGGCGTAGCTCTCCAGCTCGTTGCGGGCGTCGATGCGCTCCTTCAGCTTCTTGTCCTCCTCGGCAAACTTCTCCGCGTCGTTGACCATCCTCTCGATCTCTTCGGGCGTCAGGCGGTTCTGGTCGTTGGTGATGGTGATCTTGTTCTTGTTGCCCGTGCCCTTGTCCTCCGCCGTCACCCGCAGGATGCCGTTCACGTCGATCTCAAAGGTGACCTCGATTTGAGGGACGCCCCGCGGGGCAGGCGGGATGCCGGTCAAGTCAAAGGTGCCCAGCAGGTGATTGTCCTTTGTGAGGGGACGTTCTCCTACAGGGAAGGGAAAAGAAACACGATGTTGAATGGCTAGCCTCGGCTGCTGGTTTTAGATTAAAAAGATCTGTGATCTCTTATCGAGTTCATATAACGAAATAACAGAGCTGGAAGAGAACTTGGAGGTCTTCTAGTCTAACCCTCCTATTGAAGCAAAAGGTACAAGGGTATTTAAGTATGTACCATATACCCATGAAGTTAAAAGTGATGGATGAAATTAAGGCTGGTCATTTTCATTTAAGCTACGGTCCATTTTCAACAGGCACGCCAAGTGCTGAAAACATACCGAGCATTAATTTAGCATTTTTTAACAAAACGTGCTGAGAGTTGAGCAGGAGATCACAAGTTCTAGTCCTGCCTTAGGCATGAAAGCCAACTGGGTGACTTTGGGCCAGTCCCTCCCTCCCTCCCTCAGCCGAGCCTACCTCACAGGAGTGTTGTCGAGAAAATCGGAGGAAGGAGTGTTGGAGATGTTCGCTGCCTTAATTATAAAAAAGAATAAAGGAGAGAAATAAGTTTACCTTCGTAGACTTTGATGGTCACGGTTGGCTGGTTGTCAGAAGCGGTGGAGAAGATCTGGGACTTCTTGGTGGGGACCACGGTGTTCCTTGGGATGAGTTTGGTCATGACGCCTCCCACAGTTTCAATGCCCAAAGTTAGGGGACACACATCAAGTAGCACCAAGTCACCTGAAAAAAGGAAGGAAAATTAAGGCATAGCCTGGGAAAAGTCAGAAACAGAGCCTTCCTCACAACCCAGACTTGTCACTTCACAAATGAGCTTCTCTCTCTTGGCTTACCAGTATCCTGATCGCCAGAAAGGACCCCGGCTTGGACAGCAGCACCATAAGCCACGGCTTCGTCGGGGTTGATGCCCCTAGAAGGCTCTTTGCCGTTGAAGAACTCCTTGACAAGCTGCTGGATTTTAGGAATCCGGGTGGAACCCCCAACAAGGACAATTTCGTCAATGTCGGGTTTCTTCAGGTCTGCATCCTCTAGGACTTTCTGGACAGGCTTCATGGTGGAGCGGAAAAGATCCTGGAGGCAGGAGTTAAAAGGATTAGTCGCTTGTTTTTGACGCTTCAGAGGAGAACCAGAAGTACTTCTAAACTTGGCAAGACTGGTGGACTTCAACTCCCAGAAATGCTGGCTGGGGAATTCTGGGAGTTGTAGTCCAGAAGTCTTAAAGCTGCCAAGGTTGGAGGACTCCTATACGAAGGCATCTCATAGAAGCCACTCCCATTACACCAACATTTTGATTCAACGTTAAAAACTAGCGTTGGTTCCTTATTCTACTCCCCCCCCCATGTTGTCCATTGAGTTAGCCCGTCCCTTTGAAGGCAACCTACCATGTTCAGCTCTTCAAACTTGGCCCTGGTGAGGGTTTCCGAGAAGTCCTCGCCCTCAAAGAAAGATTCAATCTCGATCCTGGCCTGGTGCTGAGAGGAAAGCGCTCTCTTGGCCTTCTCCACTTCTCGCCGGAGTTTCTGGACCGCCCGGTTGTCTTTGCGGACGTCCTTGCCGGTCTTCTTCTTGTAGAGTTTGATGAAGTGCTCCATCACCCGCTGGTCGAAGTCTTCTCCTCCCAGGTGAGTGTCCCCATTGGTGGCCACCACTTCGAAGACCCCGTTGTCGATGGTCAAGAGAGACACGTCAAAAGTCCCGCCGCCCAAGTCGAAGACGAGGATGTTCTTTTCTCCTTCGCGTTTGTCCAAGCCGTAGGCGATAGCAGCTGCAGTGCTACAGGGAAAAAAAACACACCCCATGTTAGAATGGTACACAAAGGCATAACCTTTGATAGTGGGAGGAAGAGCAGCGTTGAGGCGGCGGCATTCACTTACGGCTCGTTGATGATTCTCATGACGTTCAATCCAGCGATGGTGCCGGCATCCTTGGTGGCCTGGCGCTGAGCATCGTTGAAGTACGCGGGCACAGTGACCACAGCATGAGTGACCTAGTAAATAAAGATGGGGAGTTAATTGAATGCTGAAGAAGTCTCTGATGTAATTCACTCATTAAAAAAATAGAGGGGGCTTCCATTCTCCGCTGAATTGTTCCTTCTAAAAAAAGACCCTGGTCCAATGAGCTACATCTCACCTTCTTTCCCAAGTAGGCTTCAGCAGTTTCTTTCATCTTGGTCAAAACCATGGCAGAAATTTCTTCCGGGGCAAAGGTTTTGGTCTGGCCTCCTCCAATATCCACCTGGATATATGGCTTGGTCTTCTTTTCCATAACCTGTTTAAGACGAGAAGGATCAGACACCATTACAATCCAGAAATCTTGCATTCGCACAATATAAAACCATTTTTTTTCCTGGAGAAAAGTGAAGAGGCTACTTTACATTCCAGAATGCAGGTAAGCTGTCTTATTATTAATGACCAAACACTTTTCTAGTTTCTAACAGAATATTGGTAACAGAACTTCCCCCAAAAGGCTTCAAGAGTATTTCTCCAAGTGCAACAAGGTGAATGGACTTAAGATTTAATATACAAAGTTAGGTGGATGCTACTGCATTTCCAAGCTAATGTTAGACTGGATTCATAACTTTGTTCAGCCATAAATTTAGGAGACCGGCCCCTCAAAAGTGGTTTGATGTGTGAACCAATCATTGTGAGCGGATTAGAATGAATGCCAGCCTAGCTGGTGGGAGCAAATATTGCAAAAATTTCAGATATTTACAAGATACATCAGAACCAAGAGGGAAACTCTGGCTGACCTTGAAAGGCAGGTACTTGATATCCTGCTGCACAGAAGGGTCGTTCCACGTTCTCCCGATCAGGCGCTTGGCATCAAAGACGGTATTCTCGGGGTTTGAAGTCAACTGATTCTTGGCTGCATCACCAATGAGACGCTCCCCTTCCGGAGTGAAGGCTACGTAGGAGGGCGTGATCCGGTTGCCCTGATCGTTGGCAATAATCTCAACACGTCCGTTCTTGAAGACACCGACACTAGAGGGAAGAATTGTGGTCATTCCATCAGCATATGCTTGCTTTTTTTTTTTTAACTGGCAGGAAGCTATCTTGATGCAGAAGAACATTCTTGTTATTCATTTTTAATGAGAAATTTGCCCTGCATTGCAAGGTTGGTTGTACATAAAATGAGAGCAAACCCCACTGAGGATGTTACCTAGTTGGGTCATGCAATGTCTGCCAGAAGACAGCCAAGATCAGAGAGCACCAAGGACCCCACAGTCTAACCCAGAGCTACAAATATTCTCTTCCATTGGCTGAGACAGCTATTTGCATGCCTCCAAGTCTTGCATAAGACCACCAATTCCATATGCTAACCAATTTACCCTATTGTACCAAATTCCAACCACGTTCTGCACCAAGATCTTCAAGGCACCCCCAATTAAACCCAATACCCCTAGATTGGAGCAGTTCTCTTCTTTTACATACCAGGAGTAAGTGGTTCCCAAATCAATGCCAACCACCGTCCCCACATCTTCCTTCTTATCATCATCTTCGGCAGCAAAGACGCTGCCCACCAGCAGCAGACAGACAATGGCGTACTTCATGTTGCTTTTAGAGGGGGGGTTCTCTCACACACCAAACAAGCAATAAAACACTGCAGGAAGAAAAGATCAGACAGAGAGCCATAAGACCAAATGGAGTTATATTCCCCCGCCCTCCCCAGAGGGTTTTGCATCATCACTCAATGGAAGCATTCGGGAAGTGACGACAAGACTGAGCCTGGCCTACGGAAACTGAATCAAAGAAAATAAAACCTGTAGAGTTTTACTCCAGCTGGACTCTCCCAGTCTGCCCCCTTTTTTTTCTTTTTAAAGAAATTGTCATCAGCTATTCTAGCACCATGCCTGCCAGCTCTACACGTAGCCTTTATATCAAATTACACAAGCCTACAAATGCCAGCTGGGCACATACTGGGGTGAAACCCAGCCACCCCGGGCTCAAAATAAAAGGCAAATAAACCCATATAGCACCCAGGGATGCTGCATCAGGTTAAGCAGGCTTGGCTTCAGGTCTCCCTGCATTCAGATGACATTTCATCTTCCAGGCTTTGGCAGCTGACATGAGCTGCTTTTTAAAGACCCTGTAATAATGCATCAATCCCCCCCCCAAAAGACACAGACACGAAAAAGATGCCAGAACAGAAGAAACTAACCATATCCTCTTAAGAAGAATTGCAAAATATAAAGGCAAATACATAAAGGATCTTTAGGGATAAAAGAGGACCCCCATATACATTAAATTCAAAATAAAATGCTGCAATAGGAAAAATAAAACAGAAGCCAATGTCCAATTCTTTTTTTAATAAAATCAGGCATCAAATTGGCTAGATCCAAGAGTTGATTGAAATATTGGAATCAAATGAAGCTCCCCCCACCTCCAAGCAGCCCCCCTTCCCTTGCTGATGCCCCCCATCCCAATCCCATGATCGTGTAGGCTGTGGATGATGCGATCTGCAGTCTCGGGTCCCTCCTGGGTGGAACTAAAGGCGGGGGAACCCCCATCGGACCCCCCCATTCTCCCTTCTCCATTTGGGGGGTTCCCTGCAGGGAGATCGAGGCAGGGAAGGGGCGTCTAGAGGATCGCCCGAGACAGCACGCGGTCTTGGCTCATGACAACCCCGCCAGGGCTCACCGATCTCGCCGCGAAGGGCTGCCCGCCGCCGCTTAACGCCTCTAGCTGCCGTCCAAAACTCGCGTTGCCCTGATCGAGTATTCAGGCCCCGGCGCCCATCCGCGCTTATATACCCTCCCGCAGCCTCGCGTGGAGCTCCTCCATTGGTGCTTTTCCCCGCGGTGGAGCTTCCCCATTGGTGGCCGGCTAGCAAGCTGGCCGGGCCCGATTGGCCCGCTCCGAGCGTGACGCGCATACCCCCTCGCCTCCCCCGTTCTTGTTTTTTTTTTTTTTAGTTGCCGCCGCACGCTTCATTGGGCCGTCCTACCGGTGTCGCGGACCAATGAGAGGCCGCGCTGTAGGCCAGGCGGAGAGCGCCGATTGGTCTGGAGGGGACGTCGTGCAACGTGCGGACGAGAGGTTAATCCTCGACGAGGCTGGGTCTTTCTGGAGGTATCCATGGTTACGAGGCCTAGCAGGCCTCCGCAGGCGTTGGCAGGGTGGTCAAAGGGGGATTATATTGAAAGGAAGCCTTTGGCCGGGTCGGGAAAAGGAGAAGGAAAAAAGAGCAATTAGGGTGGAACAAGGAGCTGGGTGACCCCTTTGCATGGATAGCTTCTTCCCCAGGAGCAGTTTCCATGAAAGGGAGCAGTACAATAACCCTCATCCACAGCCAGCAAGCTGCCTGGGGGTCATGGGCATTTGAATCCCACAAGGAGCCTCAGCTTGGCTCTCCAGTAGTTCAGAGATGCTTCATGCCCATTTTCTCCCTTGCAGGACCACATACGTGGAGCGTGAGGGATGAGCATCATATAGGTGTGCTTTTTAACATGTGCATTGACCCTGTATAATCTTTATACTGGCCTATCATGTGCACAAGGCATTATTATCCTGTATTGCTCCTTTATGGGACGTGGATTTATTACTCGAATAGATTTAGTATTCCGCTGGCTCTTTACTTAATATTATTAACTACTGTATTATGTACTTGTTATTAACCATTACGTATTTAATAACATTTCCTCCAAGGGTGGAAATTGACCCACAGAGGTTTTCCTCCGCCTCATTTTTATTATCGCAACAGCCCTGCAAAGTAGACGCCATGGTCACATCATCAAAATTTCGGAAACTTGGCAACTGGCATGTACTTGTGCCGGTTCCAACGTCCCGGAATCCCGTGATCCCCTTTTGTGACCTTCTGACAAGCAAAGTCAATGGGGAAGCCAGATTCACTTAACAAACCTGTTACTAGCTTGAAACTGCAGTGACTCACTTAACAACAGTGGCAAGCAAAGTCGCAAAAAGGGGCAAAACTCACTGAACAACTGTCTCACTTAGCAACCGAAATTTTGGGCTCAATTGTAGTCCTAAGTTGAGGACTACCTATAGTTGGGGTTGTGAGTCATATTGTGAGTCACGTTGTTTCTTTGCATTGCACCACATCCTGCCCTGCAATTTCTTCCAGACTGAGGCATCCTTCTCCACATACTGAGCCGTACACTCCCTTGACTTGTGTAACTGCCCTCAGGGAGGCATCAAGACAATGTGTCTAACCGGGCTACTAACTTATAAAATAAAACAAAATGTATCCTGTGAGCACAGTTTGTGTTCATTAAATGACCTGTTTTATTATAAATCTTCCTAACTACTGGATACTGTTAAATAAATTGGAAATGATACATTATGACTTCAGTGGCACAATCTAGATAACCTCCAAGGATTCTTTCCTGTCAATCTTTATAGTTTCTAGATATGTCACACTAAGCCATGATTTATTAAAGAAACTACAGTTGGTAGCATCCCATATGTGTTTGGCCCGAAGCAACCCAACCACAGTATAATTTAGCAAAGCGAATGAACCAGATTGTGGATTCGCTCATCATATTAAACTATGGCTTTTTAAACTTAGCTGGTCACATTCACCTAACACCTTAATCTAGTATAATTGCATTTGGACAATATACCCAACATAGTTAATAAATCCCACTAAATCTTAGTATTATTTATAAAAGAGTCAAATGCTACAGCTGCTATTCACCATCCAGCTACAATTGTGCACACTAAAAGTTGTATAAACATGTACAGGTAGCCTTCAACTTACGACAGTTCATTTAGTGACCATTTGAAGTTACAACAACACTGAAAAAAAGGACTTAAGACCATTTTTCACATTTAACAACCATTGCAGCATCCCCATGGTTACAATTCAAACAGTTCAGATCAGATCAAAAGAAATATTAAGAGCCATGTTACACACGGTTGACGTGCGCATCTCTTTTTAAGGGAGGAAGCTAACACTTCCTTGAAGTTGGAATTATTATTTTTTGTTTCTTGTCATCATTATCTATTTACAGTATTCATAATTTGCTACTTTTTTTATTTGTCAGAAGCAGCTACAAATTATAGACATGTATCAAATTATATGGCTATAATTTGCTACTATAAGCAAACAAGCCTTTACCATAACACTCTTCCTTCAGTTCTATACTCTGCATTTGACTGTAGAGGGTGCAGTGATACCATTTTTAGCCTGGATTTTTCAAACCATGTCTTTCTTGAGCGATAGTCATTTAGTTGCATATATGATAGAATATTATATATTATTAGACATCTCGCAAGTACTGTAGGCAGGGCATCTAAGCTGGGGAACATTTCTCTTTTAAGGGCCAACAGTTGTGACCCCGTGCTTTCCTTTGCCCTCCTCGCCCATATTTCCTTTGGTGATATCTCTTTTAGATTATAAGACAGCGGCTCATTTCTTTGAATCCATTTTTTTTTTAAAAAAAGTGATCCAAAGGTGCATGTTTTAACCCAACAGCTGGCTGAATGCGAGCTTGTTCAATTGCATCACGACATAATATTTCATTTTGGCATGGGGCACCAAGCCAACAGTCTTTGGAATGTACGGGAAATTCTGTTCGCTTGTAAACAGAACGGTTTTTCCTTTGCTAGCTGAAATGCCAATTGCCATTCAAGGTGTTACGCTCAAAGGATTCCAAAAATAGACATGAACTGGGCAGAAAACATTCCTGAGCTGGCTCTCGAGAAACTACAATTGACAGAAAGTGATTTGAGAGAGAGATTTTTTTAAAAAACAAGAATGTATAACTGATATAAAACTATATATAAGGGAAGGCCTATGTAAAACAAGATCTTTTGCACGGGGGCACCATTTTTCTTTCTGCATGTTTATTTCTAACATGAAGAAAAAACATTCACACCCAGAGATAGTACCAATCTTAATTATATTGCCTCAATTATATTTCATTGCCTTAATTATATTTCACTGGCAAGCATCACAAGATCAACCCTACAGGCCACAGGAGTAAATATTAGAGATTGGATTTTTTCCAGGTTCCTGCCAAAGTTCACCTCACCACACCCCCAAACAAAAATCGGGTATAATTTATACTCATCCTTAGTTTATGTTCACTGTTAACCTATCCATTCCTTAAGGGAGGTCTTTACTGGAGGGAAGGGGGTTATATAGTTGGATTAGTTGCCCTGGGTCCCACCAACTGTGTTTCTCTGCACAGAATACTTGAAATACTTAGATACAGTAGATCGGTGCTTTTCATTTAAGGCAATGAATCAAATCAGTTAAAGCATATTTTTGCATTGTTCCATGAATTTCAATTTATTAGGTCCTCAGCGTTTAGAATTAGAACAACAAGAGTTGTAAGGCTAAACCTGATCAATTATATACCGAGAGCCACATTCACACAGGACATGAACAAATACGTCCAGACATGTTCCTTATACTGTTTACCAACATGAAATTAAAAAAAAAGAAAAACCAGAATCATCTACCTCCTTGCCCTGGAGGAGATATTGAAATTTTAAATGTCAAAACTCTGTTGGATTCCAGCATCCATTTGCTAACCACCCTCTGAGGGCCACCAGGTTGAAAAGAGCTTTCAAACTTAACATTGGGAGTTGCCTTTTTGGCAAACTTACACCTTCCCTTTGAAGTTTTAAGGCGTGCTTTCCCCTCCTTTACAGATTAAATCTCAGTTCTGCCTCCCTGTTATTTTTCGGATCTGATCACAGAGGTCTGTGTCTGTATTATAGCAAATGTTTATTTCATTTCTGGGGACTATATGAATCTGTCTGTCTGTCATCTATCTATCTATCTATCTATCTATCTATCTATCTATCTATCTATCTATCTATCTATCTATCTATCTATCTATCCATCCATCCATCCATCCATCCATCCACCCACCCATCCACCCATCCATCCATCCATCCACCTACAGTAGCTGTTCATTCATTTTGTCCCCGCCTGCACTTTCCCACCTTTCCAGGTAAAGCAGGCGCTTCTCACCTGAAACCCTCTTCTCCACCGCGGGGCACGACGGGAGCTGTAGTTTCCGGCGCCTCCGCGGCCCGCCGGAACTCGCTTCCCCGGCGTCCCGCGGGCGCGCACGCGCGGTGTGGGCGTCGGCGAGCGGCTGCGGAGCGGAGGGGCGGCCGCGGCGGGTCCGGAGCATCGGCGGCGGCGGCGCGAGGCGAGAGGCGGGCGGGCGGCGGCGTTTCTGTTCCCAGGTGGGCCCTTTGCGGCGGTGGGGGTCTGGGGAGGACGCCGGGGCGGCCCGGCCTCCGCTCCCAGGCCTCGTGGCGGGGCCTAGTGGGAACGGGGGGCGGGTGAGGGGGCAGCAGAGCCCCACACCCCCTCCTGCCTTGTGCCTCGTCCTCGGAGCCCCCCCTCCGTCTTGACCGCCCCTTCCTCTTTGCATGGACGCTCCTCCAAGCCTCCTGTCAATTCGGCCCCCCTCCCACTCCATGGCGCCCTCCCCTATTGACATTGGGGGTCTCTCTTCCCTCCCCCCAGGTCCCCTGTCAATTCAGCCCCCCCTCCCACTCCCCATATCGACCTGGGGTCCCTCTTCTCCCTCCCCCTTAATTTACACCCATCCCCTGCCTTTAGGGCTGACTTTTCTGCCCCCTTTTCAACCCCAATTTGTCCTTCCTGCCCCGCCCCACTTTTGCACTCCTAATGCTGCCACCCCCCCTGCACCCCTTTTTTCCCTACCCCCTCCTCAATTTTCCTTTGACACTTCCTCCTCCTCCTTCCCCTCCTCCTCCTCTCCCCTTTCCAATCTTTGCTTGCTTCTCCTTTCCCATATTTTACTCCCACCCCTTATTTTGGGGTCCCCCCCTCCTTGCTCTCACCTCAAAGTCACGTTTCTCCCTTTTCCCTCCTCCCCCCAAAACTTTGGTCTGTTCCCATTTGCAGACGCTTCCTTTGTTTCCCCCCCTCCCTCCCTAATTGCCCATCACCCTCCCCCATGTATACAAATACATTTTGTGTTTGCATTTATTTAATTATGATTAAATTTATTTGCCACTTGTCTTGTAGTTCGGGGGGGGCGACTGAGCAGATATTTATATACTTATTTATTTATATCTTACCTACGGCAAACATATCTATCCAATATTCCTTCCTCCTCTTTCCCTCCCAACGACAACCCTGTGAGGCAGGTTGGGCTGAGGTGGGGGGCTGGCCCAAAGTCACCCAGCTGGCTTTGATGCCTAAAGCAGGACTGGAACTCGCTGTCTCCCAGTTTCTTGCCTAGTGCATTATATTCTCCCTCTCTCCCACCCTTTCTATTCTTTGCATAGGCATCCTACTTTTTTTTCCCTCCACAAACTCAGGGTATTATTGTCGCCACCCCCAAATCCTTTGCCCCCCCCCAATGCATTTTGCTTTGATGCTCGCTGTCAGCCGCCTGTTCCCAAAATTAGCATACCTGCCTCCTCTTTGCACTCAACTTAATCTCAGTTTCTCTCTTACTTTGACAAACCTCCTCTTCCTCCGTTTCAGTTTCATGCTTAAGCCTCATTGGCAACCTAGAATATTTCCAGCCCACGCTTGGCTCTTTAGGATAAAGTATTATTATTATTAAATTTATTTGCTGCCTACCTCGCCATAGGGTTACTCTAGGAGGTGGCTTGCAACCATGAACAATAATGTAGAAATAAAAAGAGAGTTTAAACAACCCAGAAGTAGAATAATAGAACTGTAAAACGAATAAGGAAAAAAAAGAAAACAAAATGCACTGATATGACTAGTAAAAAAGAAAAAAGAAAAAATAGATAAATGTTTAAACTGGTGAAGAATCTTAAAACGATTTTTAAACAACTGATTTATTACAGGTAGTTCTCGACTTACAACAGATCCTTTAGTGACCGTTCAAAGTTACAACGGTACAGAAAAAAGTGTCGTACGACCGTTTTTCACACTCATGACCGTTGCAGCATCCCTGTGGTCACGTGATCAAAATCCCGACACTTGGCAACTGTCTCATATTTATGACGGTCGTAGTGTCCCGGGGTCACGCGATCCCATTTTGTGACCTTCTGACAAGCAAGGTCAATGGGGAAGCCAGATTCACTTAACAACGGGGTTACTAACTTAACAGCTGCAGTGATCCACTTAACAACTGTGGCAAGAAAGGTCCTAAAATGGGGCAAAACTCATTTAACAAAATGTCTTGCTTAGCAACAGAAATTTTGGGCTCAATTGTGGTCGTAAGTTGAGGACTACCTGAACTGTACAGTCAACCCCACTCCATCGGATTCATTCCAAAATTTAGGCATTAAATAATTTTGTTAAGAGGTCAAAAGAGTCTTTAAGGGTGTTTTAACAGACTAACTTTAGTAAAAGATGGCGGGAGAAAAATTGCTTTCCCGACTGGTTTCGTCCCCAAATCTTAACATTTTGCAAAAGAGAGGAGAAAAAATGGAGAAGAAAAATAATGTTAAAATATAAATGGATGCAGTCGCAAACTTGAAAATCTGGTATGAAGAGGAAGTAAAAACTACCACTGCAAACTCAAAGTAGCTTCATTATACAATTCCAAACTTTTAACCACAGTCTTCCTGGTGGTTTAGCTATAAAAGTTTGTGGGTTTTTTGTTTTTTAATTTTTTTTTTAATTTGCTGGGAAAGAGTGGAAGCAGAACTGATCTTTTTTCTTAAGGGACATATTCTGTCTATTCCTGGGCACTAATTTTTATCATGATGGGTTAATTGATTAGGTGGCCATCAAGTTCCTATGGAACTGGATAGATTTTTTTTCACCATGACAATCTGTTCTTTCAGGATTATATCATAAATGGCCCGTGGAAAGAAGTTTACTATACCCAAAGGTGAAAATATTATTCACAGAGCAAGCTGCTCTTTAAGGAGTTAAGACTGTCAATTTTGTAGCTCTTTACATTAAAGCCATTTTTTTAAAGAAATACTTCCAGTAGCTGTAAGATGGGAGGGTTTTTGTTTTGTAAAAGTTCTGCAAGAAGAGGAATTTCCCAGCTGTTTGCTGGAGATCAAACTTCACACCATTTCTCTGTATATTTTGTCTATCTCCTTCTTGTTGATGCTTGCTGGATAGGAAAGGACTATAAGCAATGTTGCTCCAGGGTTGCAAGAGAGGAGGGAGAATGAATAAACAGAGAAAATGATCCTCTCCTTTGGCAAAAACAAGGGATCAAGTTTCTGAACTTCAGCTTGTTTGCAGAAGGATGCTTTTCATTTTTCTAAGCCCCACTTTCAACCTCGCCTTATGAGACTTTAGTGATACCTACTCAGAACATTAACTAGATTGGCCAGTTATACTAGGAGATGGTGAGTTCTAGTCCTGCCTTGAGCATGAAAGCCGGATGGGTGACTTTGGGCCAATCACCAGGAGACGGTGAGTTCTAGTCTTAATAGGGACTCCTTCGTTGGTTGAAAAAGTTTTATTTTTAATTTTTTTCCTTCAGAATTGCAGAATTTTTCTCCGTAAATTGTATTCGAAAGTTGCATTTCAAGGGGAGATTGTCCCTTGCACAGTCTCTCTCTGTATCTTTAAGGTTGTTGAATGTTCAATTTATAAATTGAATTTATAAAGTCGCACTGGAGCGCTATCAATGTCTCTATACATAAGAAAATATTTTTCGCCCTGCCCTTTTTCTCCTCTCTCTCTCTCCAATGTATACAGTCGGATGAATGAACAAGATGCCGTTTTTCTCTCTTCCTTTTTTCCCCTATCGTCCCACAACATGGCCTGTTCTGAGATTAAGTTACCGTTAAAATGCTGAATGGCTTCCTTTTGATTAAAGTGGCTCCTTTGTGAAACATCAGGACCCTTTTTTTATAAAAATAAAAATCCCCACACTTTTGGCACGCTTCTGCTCTTGCAACACAGAACACTGATCAAAGTCCATGCAAAGTTTTGGTTCTCTTATCGGGGACTAATTTGATGTCCGAAGTAAAACAAGCGCGTTTGCTTTCAGCCAGTGGGTTCGTGCGAGGGCTTGAAAGAGGAAGCGTTCAAACCTCGGAAAATTGCCGGGCCTCAGAAAACCCTGAAGGTGGAGGATAGATTGATGGGCTGCCTCAGATGTACCCTCTTTTCCTGTTAATGCAATATGCGTTTCTCAGTCAAAGGAAGACAGGATGAAATAATAACATTAGACATCCATTCGAGCAATGAATTTAGAACTTAAGGAGCTGGTAGGGCTGTAGAGTAAATACAATTTACGATTTGGCACTGGGCTAGCAAGCGGGAGACTCTGAGTTCAAGTCCTGCCTTAGCCATGAAAGTTGGCTGGGTGACCGGGAGCTAATCACTAGGAGACGGTGAGTTCTAGTCCCAAGTTAGTCATGAAAGCCAGCTGGGTGACTTTGGGCCTCTTTGTCTTCAGATGATGAGGGTGTAGGGGGCTTTCAAGAAGAGACTGGACAGCCATTTGTTCAGAACGGTATAAAGCCTCCTGCTTGAGCAGGGGGCTGGACTAGAAGACCTCCAAGGTCCCTTCCAACCCTATTCTTTGTTCTGTATTCTGTTGCTGATTAAACCAGCTTGAAGGTGTTCCTCACCTGTTAGACAAGGTCCATAGAGAAGGGCCTCCTAATTTTTCTCTCCAAGGTGGAACCCAAGCTGACTTCTTCCCATTTTTCCCTCGGCAGCGAGCTTGGCTGAATTCTTCGGTGGCTGCCCCCTCTTTTGAAGATGGTCAAACTGGACATGCATATTTTGGCCCACCACCTCAAACAGGAGCGGCTCTACGTGAACTCCGAAAAGCAGCTGATCCAGCGGCTGAATGCCGAGGTGCTGAAGACAGCCGAGAAGCTTTACCACACCGCTTGGATCTCCAAGCAGCAGAGGATCAACTTGGACCGCTTGATTATCACAAGGTATCTATCCATCATCCATCCATCTATCATGTCTATCCATCAATCCATCTATCATATCCATCTATCCATCATATCTATCATCCATCCATTATATCCATCCATCATGTCTGTCTGTCTATCGTCTGTCTGTCTGTCTGTCTGTCAAAGGTTCTTCTGGAGAAGCTCGTTGTAACTTTTGAGTGTATTTCTAAGGGGCCGGTCACGTGGTGGCCTCCCTCCTTTGTGCCTAGGACTTGTAAGGAGATTTCTCCCCCTGCTCTTCCTCTTGTTGCAGCGCGGATGCCTCCCCGGCGGAATGCTGCCAGCACGCCAAAGTGTTGGAAGACACGCAGTTTGTGGATGGCTACAAGCAGCTGGGCTTCCAAGAGACGGCCTACGGGGAATTCCTCAATCGGTTGCGCGAGAATCCCCGCCTCATTGCGTCCTGCCTGGTGGCGGGCGAGAAGCTCAACCAGGAGAACATCCAGAACGTCATCCACACGGTCTTCACCTCCATCTACGGCAACTGCATCATGCCGGAAGACGAGAACTTTCTTCTGCAGGTCTTGCGCTACCTGGTCGAGTTTGAGCTGAAGGAGAGCGACAACCCTCGGCGGCTCTTGAGGAGGGGCACCTGCGCCTTCAGCGTCCTCTTCAAGCTCTTCTCTGAGGGCCTCTTCTCCGCCAAGCTCTTCCTGACGGCCACCTTGCACGAGCCCATCATGCAGCTGCTGGTGGAGGACGAGGACCACCTGGAGACCGACCCCCACAAGCTGACCGAGCGCTTCTCGCCCGCCCAGCAGGAGAAGCTCTTTGGGGAAAAGGGCTCCGAGAAGTTCCGGCAGAAGGTTCAGGAGATGGTGGACTCCAACGAGGCCAAGCTGGTGGCCCTGGTCAACAAGTTCATCGGCTACCTCAAGCAGAACACCTACTGCTTCCCGCACAGCTTGCGCTGGATCATGTCCCAGATGTACAAAACGCTCTCCTGCGTGGAGCGGCTGGAGGTGGGGGAAGTGAGGGCCATGTGCACCGACCTGCTCTTGGCCTGCTTCATTTGCCCGGCGGTGGTCAACCCGGAACAGTATGGGATTATTTCGGATGCACCAATCAACGAAGTGGCAAGGTTTAATCTGATGCAGGTATGGTATCCTTCCCTCTTTCCCTCCCTCCCTCCCTCCCTCCTTCCTTCCTTCCTTTCTCATCTCCCTCCTTCCTTGATTCCCTCCCTCCCCTCCCTTTTCCCATCTTCCACCTTCCTTCCTTCCCTCCCTCCCTTCCTTCCTTCCTTCCTTCCTTCCCTCCCTCCCTCCCTTCCTTCCTTCCTATCTCCTCCCTCCTCCCTTCCCCATCTCCCTCCTTCCTTGCTTCTCTCCCTCCCCTCCCTTTTCCCATCTCCCTCCCTCCCTCCATCCCTCCCATACATTCAACCCTAAAAACAACATAGAAAACATAGTATACAAAAAAAGAAAAAGTGATCAGTTAAATTTAACATTTAACATGTAGGATCCACCCTGGCTCAGTGCTAAAAAAAAAAGCAGTAAATTCTCCCTTTTAAATATATCTTCTCTCTCTCTCTCTCTCTCTCTCTCTCTCTCTCTCTCTCTCTCTCTCTCGATCGGAGGTCGGGAGGCTTCTGCAGCAACTGGCTATGTTTGGCTCTGAAGACGGGGATCCCCGCACCAAGGCCAGCCTGGGGAAATTTGACAAGGTAAAAATCAAGGCCATCTTTTAAGCTTCCAACTTCAGGAAGTTGAAGTTTCACCCTCCCGAGAAGCCATTTAGCTGTTGTGTCTGAAGTGCTTTAAGCCATAAACATTTAGAGTTCCCCCAGAAGAATGCTGGCTTGATTTGTCTATGGCATAAACTGTAATTCTGAATTAACCTTCTTAATGTTGAATGAGTTTCGTGGTCTTAGTGTTGTATATTATGCTTTTAGAGGATTGTAAACCGCCCAGAGTCCCTTGACAGTGGTGCCATACAGATTTAATAAATAATAAAATAATTGAGGTTTGCAGCACAGGCTAAACAAAGAGGCTTCGATTAACCGTGCTTTGTTCACACAGCAAAACCCAGTTAAGCCGCAATTTGACTTAGCCCATTAAACCAGGCTACGTGGGTAAAGCATCGGCAGCACAGAGAGATCTTGTTAAAATTTCTGACCAACGTGGCTTACACACCTTTTGTAGGGCTGTGTGGCTTCGTTCCTGGATGTCGTCATCGGTGGCCGGGCGGTTGAAACCCCTCCGATGTCTTCAGTTAATCTCCTGGAAGGGCTGAGTCGAACCGTGGTTTATATGACCTATAGCCAGCTTACCACACTGGTAAGTGCTGAAGAATCTAAGGCAGTGATGTTTGGATGTTTATCTGTTTTCTGCCTTTTTCTTTTTTGGGGGGTCCTTGGTGCTTTCCAAGCTTGGGGGTTTCCTTGGAGATGTTGCATGACCAAACTAGGTAACATCATCAATGCTACAAGGGGGAGTGGGATTGTCTCCCTGTTTATATACTAGTGCAGGGGTCTTCAAACTTGGCCCTTTGATGACTTGTGAACTTCAGCTCCCAGAATTCCTCAGCCAGCATGGACCATATAAGCCAGGGGTCTTCAAACATGACTCTTTGATGACTTGTGGACTTCAACTCTCAGAATTCCTCAGCCAGGCAAACGTGCCTGGCTGAGGAATTCTGGGAGTTGAAGTCCACAAGTCATCAAAGGGCCAAGTTTGAAGACCCCTATACTAGTGGCTTGTCCTATCAGTGTTGGTGGGAGTGGTCTTGACTGGTCTTCCTTGATTGGGCTGCTGTTTAATGCTAGCTTGCTTGTCTGCCTTGGTAGTTCCTTGGGTGTCGTTTACTTGATTGTTGGTCTAATTTTAATCCTGATGCTAACCTCTGTTTTGCTGGGTGGGGATCACCGGTGAGCTGGCGCTTTGCTCTGTTTCCTTTTAGGCTTTTTGATTGTCTCTTTTGAGCGCTGTGTAGACATCATTTACCTCCACGTGCCTGTTGATGGCCAATTATTATGATTTTTTTTTTTAAACCATGCTCTTGCTTTCCAGGTTAGCTTCATGCGGAATGTCATGTCTGGCGACCAGCTCAAGGAAGATCGAGTGTCTCTGGAGAACCTGCTCTTAAATCTACCCCAGAACAAGCCAGGGAAAAGTGGGAGCCTGGAGCTGACGCCTTACAACACCCCGCAACTCTCGCCGGCAACCACTCCCGCCAGCAAAAAAAATCGACTGGCTATAGGTAAACCCGGGACTAGCCAGCTGGGTGGGCAAAAGGCAGGTTAGTCCTCAGCTTACGACCACGATGGAGCCCGGCATTTACGTTGCTGAGCGAGACAATTGTTTTAAGTGAGTTTTGCCCCATTTTTTACGACCTTCCCCTGGTTGCTAAATGAATTGCTCCGTTGTGAAATGAGTCACGCGGTTGTTAAGTGAATCCGACTTCCCCTTTGATTTTGCTTGTCGGAAGGACGCAAAAGGGGATCGCTAAATGAACTGTTGTAAGTTGAGGACTTACCTGTATTTACAAACCTGATTTGCTGGCTTCATTTTTAGATGTTTCCCTTTTGATATACTTCCTGGCTGCCTGTTGCTCCATGCAATTGATAATATGTTTTGTAATTTGCAACTGATCTGGGTTTGTTTGTTTGTTTTCCCCCCTCCAACGATTTTTTTTCTTGTGTTTCTCTTTAATGCGGCCAATCCAGGACAACAATTGGCAACCATCACTGCCTGGGATACGTCTGCTACCAACCTCACAGCTCATATAAATCTCGTAACCCCTTTTGGTGGGTAGTGGATCTCTTTGCTTCTTCCTGTTTCTGTTAGGGTGTCTGCAAAGCTGATTTCTCTGCACGCCGGCTTCTCTCTCCTTTGGTTGACAACTCCCAGAATTTATCTATTTATTTTCTTATCCTGCCTTTATTATTTTTAAAAATAAAGCAGTATGAGCGTGTCCAACACACCATCCTCATCTTATTTTCCCAAAACAACCCTGTGAGGTTGGTTGGGCTTAGAGAGACTGGCCCAAAGTCACCCAACTGGCTTTCATGGCTAAAGGCAGAACTAGAACTTTCCATCTCCTAATGATTGGCTCAAAGTCATCCCACTGGCTTTCATGGCTAAGGCAGGACTAGAACATCTCCTGGTGATTGGCCCAAAGATACCCAGTCGGCTTTCATAGCTAAGGGCAGAACTAGAACTCACGGTCTCATGATTGGCTCAAAGTCATCCCGCTGGCTTTCAGAGCTAAGGCAGGACTTGAACTCATGGTTTCTAGCCTGGTGCAGAGCCCTTGAAATGGTCTCGGCGTACAAAGCACTCAAAACACTTCCCCTCCACTGAGGCTGGTTAAAACGTGAAGTCAAAATGATCCAGATTCACACATCGTTCTAAGCCATCCTGGGACAAGCTTGATTTTGCCTTTGGAAGCCGAGGGAACCTGCTTCCCAGCTTTCTAAACCGAGGTTTGCGGGACAACGCGTCTCAACCAGTTTTGTTCCATCCAAGAAATCTGAGGGGAAATTAAAATGTAACTTACGGCCATGTGAGAATTCAGACAACCTGTTCTTTAAAAGGGTGTTCTGGAGAAGGCAAGGCCGTCTCCAGATCCTTGGATCTTTCTGCATGATAAACCATGAAAGGGAATCCCCTGCTGAGGCGTAGTAACGCTTTAGCCCTGATTTGCAGCCATCGTGACCGAATTTCAAAGCAACGTTGAAATCTCACAGCGCTTCACAAGGACCGCAACCCAGTTGCACTGCGGTGTAAGTTCTAGTTGGTATTAATTTCCCAGTTTCTTATTGATCTACGTCCAACTGCATACGTGTTACATCTTATAAGAGTCGGCTTCTGCTGCCATCTTGTCTTCAATTGTAAGATGTTCCTCTACCTTCAAAAAAAAAGAATTATATATTTATATATATATCTATTTATCATTGTTCCAGCCACTCGCAGCAGGAGCCGTTCCAACATGCAGATGGACCAACATCCAGATTACGAGGGGGTCTCCCAAGAGACCATCCAGGAAGTCCAGCCCGAAGAAGTTTTGGTCATTTCTCTCGGGACAGGTCCCCAAATCACGCCTGGAATGATGTCAGAAAATGAGGTACTTAAGCAAAGTGAAATAGGTGCACATTCAAGCAATTTTTTTTCTCTCTCTCTCTCTGAAGAGCCATTTTGGGGGACAAAAGAATCCAACGTTTCAGAGTGGTGTGTATTTTTTTTTCCCCTCCAGAAGCGGCTTTGTAATTTGTCATTGCATGGCTTAATACTGCCAAGGTCCCTTGATCACATAATATTCATTGGCCGTGTTCCTCCTACTTTCAGGGAAATGCAGAAACTCTCTGCTACTTCCGAGGAAGTACAGGAGTTCCTTGCTACTTCCAGGAAGCGCAGCAAGAGATAGCCCAGCTCCTGGGCCAAAGATGGCTTCTGAATCCTGCAAGAAGGCTTCTCAAGGGCCAGTTGGGAGAGCAATGCAGCTGTTTCTAGGCATCAACCCCCTCTCTCCCTTTCTCTCTGCCTCCTTCCCAGGTTTTGAACATGCAGCTGGCTGATGGGGGTCCAGGCGACGTTCCGGTCGACGATTCCAAACTCCACGGTAAACCTGATAAAACCCTGCGGTTTTCCCTCTGCAGTGATAATCTGGAAGGCATTTCCGAAGGTGAAGGGCTCATTTTTTGTTCCTTGTCCATCAGAACCGCGTTTAAACGGAGCTTCCGCGCATTGCTATCGCTGAACCGCTGTCGCAGAATTCCGTTTTTGTTTCGTGTGTTTAGACCTTTTTCCTTACGGTTTTTGTTCCGTCTTGGCTTCCTTCTGTTGCATTTCCGGGATGTCGGGTGCATTTGCCAAGGGCCGGGCACAACTCTTAATTGGTGTATTCTGTTTTTATTTTTTTTCTCCCCTCAACAGGCCCTTCTAATCGCTCCAATTCGGTGTCCTCGCTGGATTTAGAAGGGGAATCCGTTTCCGAATCGGGGGCTGGACCGTCAGGAAGCAACGGGGTTGAAGCCTTGCAGCTTCTGGAGCGTGAACAAGGTGAGACGCGACCTGCAGGGTGATCTAGCAGAAATATCCCTAAGAGGTGGTTTTTTTTTTTTTTAATGGCTGAGAGATTAAAGATGCTGAGCTTGCCAGGTTCGAGATCCGAGCGCCTTGCGATGGGGTGAGCTCCCCTTCCTTGCTCCAGCTCCTGCTTTTAAATCTAGCAGTTTGAAAGCATGCAACTGCGAGTAGATAAATAGGCACCACTTCGGTGGGAATGTAACAGCGTGTAGCCATGCTGTCCATATAACCAGGGAAAATGTCATCAGCTATCTCGGCTGAGAAACAAAGCTTTTTGGTTTGTTTGGTTTTTTTGCAAACAGCTACCACCCAGGACAATCTGGACGATAAACTCCGTAAATTTGAGATCCGCGACATGATGGGCTTGACCGAAGACCGGGACATCTCGGAAACCGTGAGCGAGACCTGGAGCACGGACGTGCTGGGAAGCGACTTCGACCCGAATATGGATGAAGACCGTTTACAGGAGATAACAGGTAAGCTATTTTGAGGTGTTGAGCAAGGAGGCGAAAGGCGTCTTTTGATATATCAGTTGTTAGGGTTCCGGCTAATGAAACACTTCAAAGAACTTCCAGGCATTGATTTTTCTAAAAGTCATTTATTGTTACAAAATGTTGGCACAGGCATAACGGAGGTATGCCAAGATCTAAATTCTCCTCCCCCGAGCAATTAAATTACCAGCATGTTCCCTCCTTAAATTAGCAGTCATATATCACGTCAAAATACCAGACAGTTCTGCATATTGTCAAAGCAAGAATATACAGTATTTGCAGCGTTGACATCAGTAGCATCGCAAATGTAGACGAATCTACGTGCCCCATGATAGATCCAACCTGAGTCGGTCCCCGGGACCTTCCGAGATTTTGGACTGGTAGAGGAATGGTGACGGTTCCTTGGCGAATTCCACAAAGGGTCATCAAAGCTGATGGCTCCATAAACAGTCCTTAATTATAACACCTATAAAGGCAAATGCTCCAAGCTGTAAAGCGAGATCTTTCTGGAAGGTAGGCAGGCAGGCAGGCAGGCCTCTCCACTTTTGACCTTGTGACCTGTTCACGGTGGCTTCTGTGTGTCCCTCCCCTCTCCTCAGGGGCTGCAGCCGAAAACGTCTTGGGCAGCCTGCTATGTTTGCCTGGATCCGGCTCGGTGCTGTTTGATCCCTGCACGGGCTCCACCATCTCAGAAACCACCAGCGAAGCTTGGAGCATTGAGGTCCTCCCCAGCGATTCAGGTGAAGGATCCCCAATAGGTAACGTTTTGTCCAGCATGTGAAGGGTGGAGAGGTTGAATGACTGAAAGGGGGCAGGCCGGAGAAGCTGCTTTGTTCACTTCTGTCTGCCTTCCGTCACCTGTCACAGTTCCTTCTCTTTATTTTGGAAGTTCTCCATCACTTTAGGGACCTTAAGATTTTTATTCTTATTTTTTTTAACCTCTTTGATTCACACGAACCTCTCACCGGTGTCCTGCATTTCGTTAAGATGACCGTCCTGTAGTTCATGCACTGCACAGGGTCTCCTTCGTGTCTGGAAGTCTGTGCCCACTCAGGGCTTTAACTCAATGTAGCCGTATTCACCTATGCATCCTGGGCGCTCTCTGAACTTGGTGGTTTTCTGGCAGACATTTCATGACCCAGCTACGTAACGTCATGAGTGCTAGTGAGTGTGGCTTGCTCTCTGTTTACATTCAGTAGCTCCGAGCTTGGTTGCACGGTTGATGTTGCCTAGTTGAGTCATGAACTGCAAGAAAACCACCTAGCTCAGAGATCACCAAGGACTCCACAGTCCTCCTCCTCCTTCACTCCACAAAGCCCACACTCTTCTAGCACTGATGATGTTCCCTAGTTGGGCCAAGAAACGTCTGCAAGAAAACCCCCAAGCTCAAGAGAGCACCGAGGACCCCACCGTTCAACCCTGGGCGACGAATCTTCCCCTCTGTCCATACTTCCTTGTATCCATCTCTCTATCTTCCTTTAACAACTTCCCTATTGTCACTTTAAAAGGGGGAGGGGGGCAAAGTGGCTATGCAGAGAGAGACTAGATGGCTCCACCTTCTTTGGGGTGGCCCCACCCACCCAGTGGGAGAATGTGAACCTGGAAGAGGGGGAGGGGAAAGACAGTTCAGTTCTGCCCTACAATGCAAATGGGGGGGATCACACAACCCCAGGACTCTGCGACTGTCGTAAATACAGCACCCCAATTTAGACTGCGGGACCACGGGGAACGTTGTAATGGTCGTAAGCACGAGGACTGCTGTAAGTCCCTTGATTTCGGCAGCCTTGTAACTTTGACCAGTTTTTAAATAAACGGTCCTACCCTGAGGACTGCATGTATCATGAATCCGATTCTTTCTCTCCTCTTTAGAAGCTCCAGACCTGAAACAGGAGGAAAGGCTGCAAGAATTAGAAAGTTGCTCCGGTGTTGGAAGCGCCTCCGATGACACCGACGTCAGAGAAGTCAGTTCCCGGCCCAGCACACCTGGCCTCAGTGTTGTGTCCGGTGAGAACCCCTCTCCCCCTCCTTCCCTGGAAGAATGGAAGATTCCTTAACGGGGATCCAGTTACTCGTGAAGCCCAGCATGCTTTACTCTTTTAGAGGAAGCAGCAAAGCAGAAATATACCTGGGTATCTGGAACCGGATCCGGTACCTTCTGCTGAGTAGGCTAGCCTTTTCTCCCCTCTGGGAGACTTCAATTCCCAGAATTCTAAGCAGCATGCGTTAGAGGCCGGAATGTTATGCCTTGGCTACATGCCTTGGAATTGTGGGAATTGTAGTCCGCAGGCCTAGAGGGTGTCCATCCACTCTTACAGTTCTCAGCCAGGATCAGGTCGGTCCAGGGGAATTCTGGGAATTGACATCACGTCCTCCGGAAGATCTGTTGGATGGGAGGGCTGCAATTCTAGTCTTGCACTTCAGGAGCGTCAAGCTCATGAGAGTTCTATGTCGTCCTTTAAAGGTATCAGCGCCACGTCCGAAGACATCCCGAACAAGATAGAGGACCTCCGATCCGAATGCAGCTCCGACTTTGGTGGCAAAGATTCAGTCACCAGCCCGGATATGGACGAAACGGTGCACGGTAAGACAATAAGGAGAATAACCCCAGAGTTGGAAGGGATCTTGGAGGTCTTCTAGTCCAACCCCCTGCTCAGGCAGGAGACCCTACGCCATTTCATCCAGGAGAGAAGCAACCTAAAACTAAGGAGAAATTTCCAGATAGTTAGAACAAATAAACCAGTGGAACGCCTTGCCTCCAGAAGTTGTGGGTGCTCCATTATTGGAGGTGTTTTTAAGAAGAGACTGGACATCCATGAGATAGGCTCTCCTGCCTGAGCACAGGGTTGGACTAGAAGACCTCCAGGGTCCCTCTGTTCTGTTAAAGTGGGCTCCATGCCTTGGGAGACTGGCCGGCGCTCAGCACGAGAAGAATTTTGCCAATTGTTTTCCAATTTGTACCGATCTTCGCATTTCAGGTGCCAGCCACTTGACCTCGCCTCCTTGCCAGGCGGATACCCTTCTCGCCATGTTTGACCCCTTGGTTTCTCACGAAGGTAACGCGGGTAGCCCTCGTGTGCTGCTCCTTCGCCTCTCCTCCCTCTTCCCTGAGGCCTCTGGCCACATTCTTGCACCCACGGCCTTTTCCCCCGCAGTGGTCAGGCCCAAAGTCCACTACGCCCGGCCGTCTCACCCGCCACCAGATCCCCCGATCTTGGAAGGGACCCTGGGCGGCAGCGACGCCAGGCTGCCCAGCTTCGCCTCCCACACGGCCATGCTTTTCGATTCGGAGGCCTTCAAGCAGCGCTACTCCTATCCCGAAAGGCTCGTGCGGAGCCGGAGTTCTGACATTGTCTCGTCCGCCCGGAGGCCCATGAGCGATCCCGGCTGGAACAGGCGAGCGGGAACTGAGGAACGGGACCTTTTGGGGCCCGGGAGCAACGTCGGAGGGGTGCCGATGGTTCCCGGACCGCAGTCTTCCTCTTCATCTCCGAGCAAAGATTTCTGCAGGGGAGAGGTAGTGATCTGTCCGTTCCTCCTTAATTCCTTCCCTCTCTCCCCTCCTCCCTCCTTCCTTCCTTCCTTCCCTCCTGCTTTCTTTCCTTCCTTTCACTTTTGCTTCCTTTCTTCCCTCCCTCCCTCCCTCCTTTCCTCCTTCCTTCCTTCCCTCTTCCATCCCTCCCTCCCGCTTTCTCTTTCCTTCCTTTCACTTTTGCTTCCTTCCTTCCTTCCCTCTCTCCCTCTCTCCTTGCTTGCTTGCCAGCTTTCTAACAGTATGCAAGTATGTCCCAGTCTCTTGGCATTGTGCTATTTAGCCCCTACTTCTGTTTTTACGATCAGCCAGAGGAAAGTAGATTTTCCTACATATCGGAATCCAGCTCAGCCTAATTTCTCCCATAGATTGAAGACCGAAAAGACAGCGATGATGAGAAGTCCGACCGAAACAGACCCTGGTGGAGGAAACGTTTTGTTTCAGCCATGCCCAAAGGTAAAGCATTTACTTTTTTTTTTTAATAGTTCCTTTACCTTCCTTTAAAAAAGAGAGAGAGAGAGAGAACCATCCACTTGCTGGATTAAGAATTGGAGCTGTACTAGCAAACAGAAGTGCCTCAAGAGTTTCGGTGATAAAAGCCAAGTCCAGCGAGCTGTAAAAGCAATGAAAATTAGAACATCGTGTAACAGTTTTATTTTCCATAAATTCGTTCCTCATCATAACGCAGATTCAAAATTGCTTTCCTGGTTGTGGGGAGTAACCAACTTCCCATTTAAAAATAGTTTCCAGGGATCTTGAAAGACCTGCGACAATTCATCACAGGACAGCCACTTGACTGAAACTTTGGAGGACATAAAATAGGAGCATTTTGGACGGTGTGGGGAAAAATCCTCCCAAAAAACAATACCGTAAAGCAGGAAGAATGATGGTGTGCCCAGACCTCTTAGCTTAGAAGTCTTCTCCCCAAATGTCTTTTCGAAAAAGAATCAGATGCTTAATATAAAAGATGAAAACAAGTTTTTAGGATGACCGTTTTTCCTTCTTCCTTTCATCATGTAGAAAGTGATCTGTTGCAAATTAAAATATGGCTTAGTGTGACTTCTTTTATCCTTGCTTACTTCCCAGCTCCAATTCCGTTTAGGAAAAAGGAAAAACAAGACAAAGAGAAGGATGACTTCATCCCGGATCGATTTCCTTCCCTTCAAGGTTTGTAGGTGTTTCTGTTCTTTTAGCCCGTTCTTCCTAACCTACTATTAGCTTACCTGTACTCCTTGAATTATGAGCCTACCCATTGTGGTGGTAAGTCGTAATTGTCGTAAAAGGGGTGGGTCACGTAGTATTATCCTGATTTCTGCAGCATAAGGACTTTTCGGAGATCAACAAAAACACGTATCTTGAATCCACCCTAAAGCACTCCTTTCTCCCGCCTGTGTATTACATATTCTCTTAACTGATTCTCAGGATCAGCAGAACCAAGATCCATTATAAAATGTCACCGTCTATAAGAGAAGGACAGGAAGAGATGGAGTGGAGTCAAGAGAGGAATCAGCCTGGAATCATTACATTCCCACCAATGGCCTAAGTCTTGAATTCGGTTAACTATTACCTAGCTCCAGTTTAGTGCTGAGAGTTGACTAGATTAAGAATCAGGACCGCCCCATTAAGTTCCAGTTAAGCTGATTTACTGCTCATGGTTATATAGCAAAGATCTAGTCAACTAATGGTCAGCATTAAACTGGGGCTAGATAAGAGTTAACAGAATTCAAAGAGGGGTTAAGGATTTAGACCCTTTGTGGGAATGTAACGATTCCAGGCTGATTCCTCTCTTGACTCCACCTTCTTCTCTCTGGTCCCCCTTCTCTGACATCTCCCATCTTTTTTGGAATATAATTTCAGTGTCACGTTTAGATCTTTAATCCTCACCTCCTTTCCCCAGGCTGGGTTAACCTGGTTATTAATTGGAGACCCAAAGAGAGCAAGAAGGAAATTCAATCCAGGATTCCAAACGTCTGACCTTTGTTGTTTTGCTTGATGTTTCAGACGACCCCGGTCCTCGGCTGAGCAGCCAAGCCCAGGCAGCTGAAGATATTCTCGACAAGTACAGGAACGCCATCAAGCGTGCCAGCCCTAGCGAGGGGGCCGTTGTAAATTACGACAGCGCCGGTGAGTTTCCCCTCGCCCTTCGCCATTCCTTCAACAGGCGGGTGGGGAAATATGGCTGGCGGCCGCTCACCGTTGCCTGCCGTGTCAAATACCTTTTCTTCAGAAGCCATCGGAGACAGCGAGAGCATCCACGACGCCTTGCAAAACATGTCGGCCGACGATCTCCCCGATTCAGCCAGCCAGGCAGCTCAGCCTCAAGACTCCACTTTCTCCTACAGGTGCTTCGATGGGGGCAGGGGGTGTTCAGGCGCAGTCTGGGGAGATTGCGTGGGGCTGGGGGGGGGAAGGAGACCCTTTGGGGCCCGGCAGAGCAGAGTGGATTTCTCTGCTTCTGTGAGAGTCATTGTGTAACGGAGGGTCGAGTTCTTGCTTCGTCTCGCCAGGCTTAAGCGCCTTGGAAGGAATGAAAACTGATAAAAGAGATGCTATAAGCACTTTTACCTTTGGAAAAATTTGAAAGAAAAAACCCTTCTAGAACTTTGTGGAGTTCTGCTGAAGTCCTGCATGGGTGGATGGATGGATGGATGGATGGATGGATGGATGGATGGATGGAGAAAAAGGGAGGGAGGGAGAAGGGAAGTAAAGAAAGAAAAAAGAAAAAGAAAGAAAGAAAAAGGGTGGTGGGGAAGGAAGAAGCAAGAACAACAAGAATTGGAAGGGACCTTGGTAGGAAATCCTATACCATCTCGGTCAAATAGTTGTCCAATTTCTTCTTAAAAACCGCTCGTTCTGGAGCATCCACAATTACTGGAGACAAGTCATTCTTAATTGTTCTATTAAGATTAATTGTTAATTGTTACCCTCCCCTCTATTCATGTCAATCTTTTGTTCTTGGCAGGGATGCAAAGAAGAAGCTGCGTCTCGCGCTCTGCTCCGCTGACTCCGTCGCTTTCCCCATGTTGTCCCATTCCACGCGGAACGGCCTTCCTGATCACACAGACCCAGAAGGTAAAGCCTTGAGAGTCCTGGCCTCCCTCCCTTCCCCTCCAGGTTGAGAGGGAGGCCTGCAAAGGTTCACATGTGCCCAACCCTCGCCCTGTGCGGTTTGGGTGCTCTCCCAAAGATGGCCACATCTGTTTGATGCTTCATCTTTCCCCAATTCATCCTTTCTTTCCCTTCCCTTCCCTTCCCTTCATTCTCTCCTGCCTTCCCTTCTTTATCCCTTCCCAATCCTTCCCTTCCCTTCCCTCACCTTTATCCTTTCCTTTCCATCCCACTTCCCTTCCCTTCCATTCCCTCTTCTTTTCTCCTCTTCTCTTTTCTCTCTTCTTTTTCTTTCCTCCTCTTTCCTCCTAATTTCTTCTTTTTTTCTTTCAGACAACGAAATCGTCTGCTTCCTCAAAGTCCAGCTGGCCGAAGCCATCAACCTCCAGGACAAGAACTTGATGGCCCAGCTTCAGGAGACCATGCGTTGCGTGGGGCGCTTCGACAACCGGACTTGCCGGAAATTGCTGGCCTCCATCGCCGAGGATTACAGGTACAACCTCTCCATGCTTCCATGCTTGTCAGAATGGATTTGGGGCAGGGGCCTATCAGTCAGCCTGGAGAGGTGCTGTGCGTTTGCCACTCAGCTAAAAAAAAAAATCATCTTTAAGAAGGTGGTCAAACTGTGGTTTGGCTTCTTGCCATGCTTTCGGTGCCGTCTGGCCCCAACAGGGATGTTTTTTAAAATTCAGAGGAGAGCGTCAAGTCTATTAAAATTCCCTCTGAGCGGAAAGGGAACCTCTGAGCATAAAGGTAGGCCCGCTGTCTTGTCTGATTCAGGAAACGGGCGCCTTACTTCACCTACCTGACCCGGTGTCGCCAGGGCCTCCAGACCACCCAGGCCCACCTGGAACGGCTGCTGCAGCGCGTCCTGAGGGACAAGGAGGTGGCCAACCACTACTTCACCACCGTGTGCGTCCGCCTCTTGCTGGAGAGCAAAGAATCCAAGATCAGAGAGTTCATTCAGGGTGAGGGGATCCCCTCCGGGGCGGGGGTGGCAGCCCGCGATGGGAATCCCAGGGGGCCAAATGAAAAGGGGATGGATTGAATTACAGTTTAATTTTTTTAAAAAAAGAATTAAAATTGGATGGGGCCAAGAAGTAGATGGGATCATCTCGCCCCCGTCCCCCTTTCATTCGAAACGCCAGAATTATTCTTGGCAAAGACTCAAGGGATGGGGATGGCTGGGGGGCAATAGGCTGACTCTGTCAACCGGCCTGTACAGCCCGGTGAAGCGGTCTATAAATCTAAGGGCCGTTGCTAGCGCTAACCCTCTCGATTCCTTGCCCCAAGATTTCCAGAAGCTGACGGCAGCGGACGACAAAACGGCCCAGGTGGAAGACTTCCTCCAGTTCCTGTACGGGGCGATGGCCCAGGATGTCATCTGGCAGAACGCCAGCGAGGAGCAGCTGCAGGACGCCCAGCTGGTGATCGAGCGCAGCGTCATGAATCGCCTCTTCAAGCTGGCCTTTTACCCCAATCAGGACGGAGACATCCTGCGGGATCAGTGAGTTCACTTGCGGCTCGTGGCTCTTCGCCAGCACAGAGGTGGCCAGTCCTTTTGGGAAGCGAGCTCTCCTCCCACCGTCCTGGGTTTCAATAAAGGAGAATATTGGCAGCTCAGGGTTGAAATGAGGGGTCTTTGGTGCTCTCTCTATGCTGGGCAATGTTTTTGCAAGAGGTTTCTAGCACTGAGGATGCTACCTAGTTGGATAATGAAACCTCTGCAAGAAAAGCACCAAACTCAGAGAACAACAAGGACCCCACAGTCGTCTTCCTCCTCCTCCTCCTCCTCCTCCTCCTCCTACTATTACTACTACTACTACTACTGTACAGCTTTGTCTGGGAGAGTTGGGGGGGGGGGGGAAATAGACCTAAAAAAGAAAAACACCTCTCATCCTTGGCTTGTTCCAGGCTTCTTCACGACCACATCCAAAGACTGTCGAAAGTGGTGACGGCCAACCACAAAGCCCTCCAGATCCCAGAGGTAAACCCTGTCCGAAGTTCTCAGCTGGGTCCCTCTCTCCTGGTTGCAAAGTCCTGGGAAACCCTAGAACGGGAAGTGCGTTTGTGCACGTAACTCGTGCGGAATTAGCCCACCGTTGGAAAGAGGGGAAGGCTGGCAAGTGCTAAGCCAGGACACTTGAGAGAGCATCCATCTGTAGTCCTCGGCTTAGCGAGCATTCGCTTAGCGACCGAACTTCCAGTGCCAACCAAAAAGGTGACGTGTGAACGTTTTTCACCCTTAACGACCGTTGCACGTTCCCCCATGGTCACGTGATCCAAATTCAGAGGGTTCGTCCCGGGGAGGGTCATGGGATCAGCCTGACTCGCTTAACAACCGGGTGGCTAACTTGTCACGTAACAGTTGTGGCGAGAAAGGTCTGAAAAAGGGGGCAAAACTCTCTGGACAACTGTCTCGCTTAGCAACGGAAATGTGGACTGCTTGTCGTGGGGGAAGACAGGTCTGCCGAGGTGGCCATGCGGGGCTTGGTGTCTCTGTCTTGAGAGCTTCCTCAGCCTTGGGTGGTCCTTCAGACCCGGGGACTCCGACTCCCAGTCTTCCCCAGCCCGCCTGGCCGAGGCAGAGCATGCTGGGAGTCGAAGTCCCCCACATCTGGAAGGCCAGCAGGAGAAGGAAGCTGCTCCCCTGTCCTTGCCTCCCAGGTCTACCTGCGGGAAGCCCCCTGGCCGTCGGCCCAGGCCGAGATCCGGACCATCAGCGCCTACAAGACTCCCCGAGACAAGCTGCAGTGTGTCTTGAGGATGTGCTCCACCATCATGAACCTGTTGAGCTTGGCCAACGAGGACTCGGTTCCCGGTGCGGACGATTTTGTCCCGGTGCTCGTTTTTGTCCTCATCAAGGTGAGGAGAGGCGGCCAAGGGCTGCTGAGTTCCTCCAGAGGGAACTTGGGAGTGGCCCGTAGGATAGGGTGGCCTTGGTGGTTTGAGGAGCCTCTGGGAGTGGCAGGGAGGATGGGGAACAGGGCCCGCTCTTCTTAGGAGAAGAGAAGGTGAGAGTGAAGATACTTTCAGCTGGAACTTCCCTCCCTCCCACTGTTTCCCCCCTTGTCCCTGAAAAACCAGCAGCCTTCCCAGATGGAAACACCCCCTGCTTGAGAGCAAGTGACTAAATTTCGTCTTTAACGTGTCCCGTTGTGCCTGTGGGGGGGGGGGGAAACGGCAATAAAGGTGATCTAATCTCATCTAACCTTATTAAGCCCCGAGTCTCTCCCCTGGTTCTCTCCGCAGGCCAACCCTCCCTGCCTCTTGTCCACCCTCCAGTACATCAGCAACTTTTACGCCAACTCTTTAACTGGGGAGGAGTCGTACTGGTGGATGCAGTTCACCGCAGCCGTGGAATTCATCAAGACCATTGACGAGCGGAAATGATCCCCCCAGCGGCCACGTTTCTGCCACGTGGAAGCTCCTCACGAATGTATTCTCCTGGGCCGGAGAGATTCCCCCCCGCAGCAGCCATGAAAACGAAGCCTAGTTTTCTGTCTGTAAATACGGTATTAATCCGACTAATTCTAATAAGGGGCTACGGAGCGTGGATGTCTTTCTCTCTTTTTTTGTATCCGAAAGATTTTCACCCTCCTGCTTTTTTGTTTAGGAACTAGCACTGTGTCCACCCAGATTCCAAAGGGACCATGTTTTAAGGAATCCTGGAATCTCCCAAGACCTCTTTCTCTCTCTTTCTTTTTTTCTTTTTTTTCTTTCCTTTTTTTTTTCCAGTTGTCATTGGGAATCTCAACTGACAAATGGCTTTATTTTCTTGGAATAATTTTTAGTTCACCTGTTTTTCTTTTCTCGAATAATTAAAAAAACAACGCCCCACAATATTTTTTTTTTAATTTGTAAACTGGGCTAGGAATGAAGAAGGCAGATGTTTTTTAACCGTCTTTTATTCACATTAATATTCTGTGATGGGGGATGGAGGGAGGGACGACAAGAAGACCACAGCCACAGGAAAGAGTTTGCAGGATGCCAATGGCGAAAAGGATTTTTTTTTAAAAAAAAAAACCCATGATCAAATAGCACGGATGAAACTCTTTTGTTGTCGATGATGGTGAGAACGCCACCTCTCTGGCGACGCACGGATTCGACCTGGACCCATTCTCCAGAAAACTGCTGTGACTTTTCCCTTCCTTTTGGAGAGAGGGGGAATGGCCAAAGCCTCAGTATTTATTAAAAATGTGAGAGGTTACTAAAAACTGGATGGTTTTTTTTTTTTTGTTTAATCAGTTCTCACTAGTTTTTTTTTTTTTTTCCATACGAAATTTGACAGGGCATTTAGTATTTGTCTGTTGCACAAGATAGGAAGTTAGAAACAAAAGGGATTTTGGGAAAGAGACGGGAAGTTAAAAACAAAAGGGATTGTGTGAAAGAGTGGAGATATATATACACATACACCTGTGCTTTTTCCTTCTGGAAGACTGTGTATACTGTACAAATCCCAAATGAATTCCCCCCTCCCCATGAACCAGAAACTGTAATATATATTTTGATTATTCATATTAAAAAGAAACATACTGCAGGTGTTCGGGTGAAGCCTTTAATGATCTGGCACTTTGTGTTTCATTTTGATTATCCAAGGCTTAACTTACAACAATTCAGTCAGCGACAATGTGAAGTTACAACGGCACTGAAAAAAAGGGGACTCGTTACCCTTTTTCACACAATCATGGTGTCGTCGTGTAATCAAGATTCAGATGCTCGGCCACTGCCTCACACTTACGACAGTTAGGCAGTGTCCTGGGGTTGCGTGATCCTCTTTTGTGATCTGACAAGCAAAGTCAAGTCAAATTCATTTAAATCATGACTTAAATGAATTTGAAGACTGATGCCTAAGACTGAAAATCAGGCTGGTCAGATGCTATATTTTTTCTATCCTGCTCTATGGAGTAGAGAGTTGGTTTCTGACAGAAGGCCACCTGAAGAGACAAGCAGCATTTGAAATGTGGATTTACAGGCAGCTGTTACCTATAAGCTGGGTTGACAAGATCAGAAATGAGGAGGTCATAAGCTGCCTGGGAAAGCCAAGGGAAATCATCAAAACAAAAAACGAAAATTAGAATATTTCGGACCTGTGATGCGACACCCAGAAAAATATGGCATGCTCCATTGAATCCTTCAGGGAAAGATTGAAGGCAAACCAGGTCCAGGCAGAAGAAGAACATTGTGGCTTCAAAATCTAAAGGACTGGTTTGGACAAAACTCAGCAGCACTTTTTCGTGCTGCTGCTGATAAAAATAGGATCGCCAACATGATCGCCAACGTCTGATAACGGATATGGCACAAGAAGAAGAAGAAGGAGAATGGCTTAACACTGCAGTGCTTTGCTGAATGCCTCTGGCAAGAAAAATCATAAAATGGGGCAAAACTCACGTAACAAACTGTTTTGTTTAGCCACGGAAATTTTAGGCTGAGTTGCGGTCATAAATGGTTTAATAGCAGACGAATCACTGGCTTGCTTTGAGCAATCCAGTTTAGAGAGTCTTCGTGTGGGAACCTGGAAGTTTTATTGCTGTTTTTACCACTGGTCAAAATTCAGATGTCTGGCTACCGACTCCTATTTATATGTCAGTGGGGGAAAAAAGGGACTTTTATCTTTTTAGGTCATCTAGTCCAACCCCCTGTTCAAAAGCAGGAAATCCCACATCATTTCGGACAAATGGCTGTCCAGTCTCTTCTTTAAACCTTCCAGTGTTGAAGCATTCACCGCTTCTGGAGGCAGGTTGTTCACTGGTTAATTGTTCTCCGTCAGGAAATTTCTACTTAGTTTTAGGTTGCTTCTCTCCCCGATAAATTGACCAATAATTTATCAATTGATAATGGAGGCAGATAAATACGTAAGCCCAATACATTCCTGCTCTCTGCTTAGGAAGAGATCTTTTTACATTCCAGAGCAGGAATGTGTTGCAGGCTTTGACTTGCAGCAATGCAAGGTGGCCAACAGCACAGGAATCCTGGTTAAATTTCTACTTAACAGTGAAATCAGTTTAATTCTTGGCTATAAAGAACTGGGTTAGGTTGGCAGTTCTAGAACGCCAGCTAGCGGCCATATCTTCTTGCTACACCTCAGTTTCTGCTCTTTTTTTTCATGTAACTTATTATATTTTATAAAGAAAAAAACACTAAGAGTCAAAAGAGAAAACAGAAGAATAGAGAAGTAAAATGACTGACAGGTGCAATAAAATAAAAAATAGAGAAAAAAAGATTCACGAAAAAGAATGACTTCCAATTTCTTTTAGAGCAAATACACATAAAACTTAAACTCACACTTACGACCTAAACTCCACTTTTGAAATAATCTGTAAATATCAGCAATCCTCAAATCCATATCATGATTTCATTTTTTTCTCTCTCACAAATACAAAGATTTAAGTTCCTGCTCTTCATTTACCACACTTGGTTTACATTATTCTATTATTATTTTTATATATCTAAAGGATTCCATATTGAAAGGATGCAATGCAAGGGCACTCTTGATTTATTTTAAAATTTTATTTATTGATTCAATTTATATTTTATTATGCGTAAGTAAGGACGTTTTCCTCTGAAACTATCCTAGCCTGGCCTGCGTTTTCTCCCCAGCAGGGAATCAGATGAAAACATGAGCAAGAAGTAGCCGTTAGTAGAACAGAAAAAGTGCAAAGGAGAGCATTAATAGTGAACAACTTTCCTCCTCTTCGTTTAACAGTTCTCTCTTTGCAAGGCTAAGCACTTTTATCCTTGAATTTTGAAGGAAAAACCTTCACCAGTTAGAACTTGTATGCTGAAGTCCTGCATGGATGGATGGATGGAAGGAAGGAAGGAAGGAAGGAGAGAAAGAGGGAGGAGGGAAGGGGTGAAAGGGAGGAAAGGAAGGAAGGAAGGGGATGGAAGGAAGGAAGGAAGGAAGGGGATGGAAGAGGTAGAAGGGCAGGAAAGAGAAAGAAGGTTGAAGAAAGGAAGGCAGAAAAGAAATGAGGGAGGAGGTGAAGGAAGGAAGGAAAGAAGAGGGAGGGAAAGGAAGGAAGATAAAAGAAGGGGAAGGGAGGGAAAATAAAAGTAGGGGAAAGGATTGGAAGGGATTCCTCGCCACCAGGAAGACCTTTTGTGAAAGGTGGGGGCCAGGGGGCCCTTTGCCATATCTTGGCCTGGTCTCCCTCGCCCAGTGACCTTGAATCTGGATTGCCCACTGCCCACATTTTTCATCCCCTTGAAGATGGCGTTGGGGGACCTTTCTGTCATTAAGTGGATTTACGGCAATTTCCTTATGAGTTTTCTCCAAGGAATTGTGTTATGAGAGGCACATTAAATCTCCATTAATACCTCATTATCCTACTGATAAGATTACCATGATAATGAGGCAGAAATTCTAATTGTCTCACTTCTTATTGTGCCTTTCATTAAATCATATACCTGGAAGGATGAATTTGGGGACAGGGAGTGGGGGGGAAACGCATCTCCAGCCAACAAGTTCCAGGAAGAAAGCTCAGAGATGCCCAGGACATCTTTTGTCTTTTGGGGAGGGGGGAGGCAGAGAAAATATACATTGGGGGAGATGAACCCCTGAGGGCGGTTGAATTCTCTTCTTGGCTGTTGGTCCCCCAACATTTGTCATGGCAGATTCTGCTTTTGTTCACTCAAGAGAAGCAACTCAAGGTCCTATCATGTTGGAAAAGAGGGAAGGAAGGAAGGAAGGAAGGAAGGAAGGAAGGAAGGAAGGAAGGAAGGAAGGAAGGAAAGGAAGGAAGGAAGGAAGGAAGGAAGGAAGATTTAGAGACAGTGGTCTAGTGGTGAAGATACCAGGCTAGAAAACAGGAGAGTGGGAGTTCTAGTCCCATTTTAGGCATAAAACCCAGCTGAGTGACTTTGGGCCAATCACCAGGTGATGGTGAGTTCAAGTCCTACCTTCGGCACAAAAACCAGTTGGATGACCTCAGGCTAGTCCGTCTCTCTTCCAGCCCAACCCACCTCATGTAAAAGGAGGAGGAGGAGGAGGAAGGATCATTATCCATTTTCACCACCTTGAATTGTTTATTAAAAAAATCAACACACACACACACACACACAAATATCCAGTCTAATAAACAACCCAATCCAACTGTGTACACTGTCACTTTAATGTACAAGAAGCAGCAGAGGAAGCTTATCAAAGAGAGAAACAACCTAGTGAGAACAATTAATCCTTAGGCTTGCCTCCCAGAGTTTTGGGTGCTCCATCACTGGAGGTTTTGAAGAAGAGATTGGACAGCCATTTGTCTGCAACGGTCTAGGGTCTCCTGGTTGGGCAGGGGGTTGGACTAGAAGACCTCCAAGGTCCCTTCCAACTTTGTTATTCTGCTATTCTGTTTTCCTTCCTTCCTTCCTTCCTTCCTTCCTTCCTTCCTTCCTTCCTTCCTTCCTTCCTTCCTTCCTTCCTTCCTTCCTTCCTTCCTTAGCAGGGGGGTGGACTAGAAGACCTCCAGGGTCCCTTCCAACTCTGTTCTTCTGTTCATCTTTTCCAGTGCTCCTGCGGGAGAAGCCACCTGGTTGCCTTCAAGAGTTCGCCTTGACTGAGACCGCCTCACTTTTTAAACAAAGAAGCATCAGATCTGTTTGAAGCTGTCAACGCATCTGTTCTGAAGCCCCTTCTCTACCTTCTGCCTGAGAGATTTCAATACCTGCTCCCCCTCCATCTCCCAAGCCGTGGTCCCACCTGCCCAGGTGCGACTCCAAAATGGAGCCCCGCTTGTCTTCCAGGTGTGTATCTCCCTGCAATTGCTTCAGGTTCAGATTCACGGGGCCCGGGTTAACCAACATCCATCTCCATTTCCCAGCTTCAACGGGAGCGTTTGTTTAATTACGTGCAAGGAACAATGCATTCCGGCCATTATCTAAATCACACTTATATGTTCTGGATGTGATTTTCATCAGGCTCCGTTTCCTTCTCTCCCCACCGCCAGCCTTTGCATCATTAACAGGGAAGAGTTAATGAATATAAAAGCATAAAGCCTAATTACAGTTTAATTTAGAGTCATCATCTCATTTTGTGACTGGAAGAAATCTGTTGTAGGGGGGAAAAAGAAAGAAAGAAAGAAAGAAAGAAAGAAAGAAAAGGGGAAAAAAGATAGAAAGAAAAGGGGGGGAAAACCACCAAACTTTCAAGTGAATAATGAAATCAGCTCCATTTCAGTTTTGCTATCAAATCAGAGATTTTCTGGTTTTATCTGGAGAGTTCAATAATTCAAAGGACATGGAGGGGGCATTGCTGAAGGAAGCCCACATCAAGGCAGACTTTGCCTGGATTCAGAAACCAAGCAGGCTTCGTTGTATTTCCTTTCCTTTCCTTTCCTTTCCTTTCCTTTCCTTTCCTTTCCTCTCCTCTCCTCTCCTCTCATCCCCTCTCCCCCCTTCCTTCCTTCCTTCCTTCCTTCCTTCCTTCCTTCCTTCCTTCCTTCCTTCCTTCCTTCCTTCCTTCCTTCCTTCCTTCCTTCCCTCCTTCCCTCTTTTCCTACATGATAGGACCTTGAATTGCTTCTCTTTCCTGGGGGGAGGGGGGGGGTAGAGGAGGGTGGAGCAGTTAAGAGCA